AAACTCCCTAGAAATTTCTAATAAGTGCTTTTGGGTCGTTTGTACCGTATTTCATCAATATTGAGTAGAACCGAAAATAGTCGAGAGATCCCGAAAATTCCCGGCATGAAAATTCCCCTTATAAGGTCCCCATAAATAGCCAAGAACAGAAAAGAAAGGTCATCCGGCAGAGATGCCGCAGAACGATGCGGCCGAGCCCGTAGCCTTTTATGGAGACATTCATCTTCATAGAAAAAAATAGATGTATTCATTTCCCAAATCCTTTAACTTAGGGATTTATCAATTCGTTAAGTTCCTTGATCAAAATTTGCCATATCCATCGGGCCGCAACTGTACACATGACTGTACACATGCGGAACGGCTAGTGCCAGTCGTAGGGATACGTCCCAGCAAGCGTTCTGCCCGATTCTACCTTTGATGGCAGCCGATACGACCCCAAATCCCTAAACCTTAAATCCTGCTCCAGCCTGGCGTCTTCTCAGAAAACCACAGCACCGGCTTCCAACCTTCTCAGTCAGCTCCCCAAACCCTGCAATCCTAGCACAAAGCTCAGGGGAAAATTCTTCCAACAAAGACCCGGCAACAGGAGCTTCATGATGTCCCTATCGCCCCTCTGATGTGCCAAGGCCAGGGGCGTAGGCCTGGTGCATTCGGCAGCGGCCACGTTGGCGCGAGCAAAGAGTAGCAAGCGCACGATCTCCAGATTGCCAGTGGCACATGCTGTGACGATTGGCGCCTGCTTCCGGCCAGATAAGTCCACCTCTATGTTCGTGCTTGCACTGGCCTCTAAGAGAAGCCGAACGGCATCCACATGACACCCGGCAACTGCCAGAGCAAGGGGACGTGCATCTATCACGTCTCTAGAGTTGTATTCACACAAAAGTCCCACCCGCCAGCCCTCACGACTCCGTGACACCCTGCGCATCATTTTCCTGGGATGCGCAAATCGAGCAGTCAGCTGATTTCAGCCATCCTAGCATGGAACTACCAAATTCCCTGGAGGTGCATGGGGCGGCGGTGGACAAGTCTAAAGTGCAACCTAGCAAGAACAGACCTCTACCCTTTGCAGACCCTTCGAGCTGCAAAGGCTTCGACACTGTAAACTGTGTTCAAGGCAACAACGAGACGCTTACCGTGCTTCGCTTCGCTACGCACTAACCAGCGGCACCTGACTCCAACAGCAGTCTCATCACATCAACCCGGCCCAGTCTCGAAGCCAAGCACAAAGGGGTGTCACCAAAACCTGCATCCTGCACTTCCAGATCGGCGCGTGCCTCGAGCAGCGCTTGCACCACTGCCGCATGGCCCCCGGCGGATGCCACACCCAGGGGTCGGTGCGAGTCCCGCTGATCAACCACATCTTTGTTGGCCCTCGACTCCAACAGCAGGCCCACGATCGACGCATTCCCTTCAGCAGCAGCCGCGCACCTCAGCTTATCAAAACCTGGGCCCCATGCACAAAACCGCAAACAAGTTCGACCTTGCAGGCAAAATACACGGCCACAGAGATCCTAAATGTATGGTGCACGGCACAGAGGCGTGTCTACGTCGACGACACCATTGGCGCTCAGAAGAAGATGCACGACCTCCAGCTTCCCGTTCCTTAGCTGCGCTTTTTGGACGCCTTCTCTTCTTATGCTTCTTGTAGTTTAAGGGTTCTTACGTCACCTACAAAACGTCAGTTTGGGTGGTTTGGTGTTCTTAAGCGTAAGCTTCTGTGAAGCCAAGGCCAGTGGTGTAGACCGCCTCAGCCGCCGAACCTTGTTCTTATCCGCCCTGGCCTCAAGGAGCAGGTGCACCGTCTGTGCATGGCCGGACTCACAAGCAAGAGCAAGGGCCGTGCAGCCTTTGGGTCCACTCACCTCCCAAAAAAAGGCTTTGGGCTTGGGGCTTGGGGTTTAGGGTTTGGGGGTTGGCGGTTTAGGGTGTCTAACAACAACATGGTGTTTGGGGTTTTTGGTTTGGGCGCTTTTCCACTCAGCGGCAGGATCTACTATGCACATATGGCGCCACCACTGCAGGGTGTGAGGGGTGGCGGCATGGGACTAGCCCTCAAGCCCCTTTTTGAAGACATACACCCTGCACGCTTGAAAAGACCTTCTTTCAAAAAGACCTAAGGGTGTCAGGGTGTTTGCGGTTTGATTGCATCCTTGGCTGCTGTTCATGTGGGCTCCCCCCCCCCCCCCAGTCTCTCCCAATCTTGGACCCCTGAGAAGTGTTTGGGGCTGTTGGACTAGTAACGCTCCTCCCCACAGATGACCGGTGTGGACTGGTTTCGAAACTTAAGAAAAAGAAGCGGCTACCCTGACCTGGACCCCCCCGAATCCCCCCGATATACGGTTTAGACCCCGAGCCCAATGCGGACGGGCCTTGTCCTTGTCGGCAGCAGCCTCCAGCAGCATGCGAACGACCTCATCGTGTCCGCCAGCGGCAGCCGCTGCGAGTGGCGAGAGGCGTTGGGTTTGATCCAGGTCCGGGTCTTGCGGTCGATGAAGTGCGGCCTCCACCTGCAATAAGGATTGCGTGGGTTGGGATACTGGTGGTAGCTTTGCTCTCTGTTATTCTGAAGCGGCATACCCTCGTGTAGGCCAACAGTCCTTGCTTAATAAGTTGCGCTCGTTGTGGTACTGGTTGGGTTGAAGGTACCTTCTGGTGGAGTGCCTGCTGCAGAGTCCACGGCCCAAACCCTGAAACCCTGATGCCGAAAGAAGCAGAAAGAAGAAAACAAGAGGGTGTGGAGGTGAGGGTTTTTGGTTCAGGGTTGCTCAAGTAGTGGGTTTGCGGTTTCAAGGGATTGGGGTTGATGCGGTGCCTCCGCCAGCAAGCCCTGCGAGGCAGCGCTGGCAAGCTCTTCGACCTGCTGCCTCGTCGTCTCGGCGAAGGGCAACAGCACAAGCTGGAAATCTGGAGGGGCCAGGCGGTGTTATTTGGGTGTATTTTGTGTATAGTTCGCGCGTTACTTGGGTGATGTGTTTTAACGGAACTTCCCACCTGAAATCTCCTTCAACTCCGCTTCGTCCTCCAAGGAGACCACATCAACCAGAAGCCTTTGCCGGAACCGCCCATATCCTGTTAGCTTCTGCAGCCATAGCTTTAGTGCTCGCACATTGCTGATTTCGCCCTTCGGTCTGGATGCCACTTCTTCCCCAGAGGCGCGCCAAACATGCAGCATCCCCTATAAAACTCGCGCGGGGCTCGAAGCTGCGCGGCTATGGCTGAGAGCTGAGAGCCGGAGATCAACGCCGTCGTTTGGTTCTCGGAATGGGCCCTTAGCCAAGTGTTCCCGATACCTTAATCTCAGAACTAATTTGAAGTAGACTACACCAGAAGCACCTTCTCCCCAGGTCTGCCTGCTATGAGACTGCAAAGCACTTCCTGAATTTAGGGCTTGAGAGGACCATCGGACTCTTCAGACCCGCCTCGACCTGTTGCAAGCACTGTGGCTACGCGTTCCTCACTAGTTCTGAGTATGGAAGAAGGGAACGAGGCACCCCATGTGCTTTCTTGAAAAGGGTGGTCATTTCATATGGTACCGAATTCACTAAGACGTAAACCCTGCTCAATGGGAAGCTCCCAGGCGTAGGGGCTAAAGGAGCAGCCCACAGTCCAAATTGGGTTGGAGCTTGGGGTGCAACAGTGTAGGCTCTTGTGGTTCACGGTTTGGGGTTTAGAGTTTAGGGCTTGGGTGTTTGGCCTGGAGGTTTCGGTGGAGGGGCGGGGCATCACGAGAGGTCTTTGAGGGCAGCTGGGCTGGTTGAGGATTTCAAGGCCCTACGGCGTCCCCCGTCAAAGGTCTCCGTTTCATGGGCCTCCCGCCCGAAACCCAAAACGCTAAGTAAGCAGGAAACCCGATGATGTGAGGGTGCCGTGTTTTCATCGGGGACCCAAAAGCCACCAGTTACTATATTGCTGCAGGGCAAGGCTACCAATAAAATGAAATGACTCCGCGATGAAAAGCCCAAAGTTCACATCATTATTGTACACTCGCGGTTGATGAAGATTCGTTTACATAATTTGATCCGTGTTTGCTTCTGGCCGGACAACAATGGTTACATAATGGACATATGAGAGTGGAAACGCGCTCTTCAGAATATGAGAACTGTAATTCAATACTTTTCTGGCAAGCAACAATTACTTTCGCCGGAAAACAAACTCAAGTTTGACTTCCGATTGCGAAAACGCACTTTTGGTTGGTCAAAAGTGCTTTTCTGAGCCTGTCGTTTGAGATTTCGGTCGTTTTTTCTAGACAAAGACACTCTGTACTCTGTCTTCTGTCTTCTGTCTTCTGTCTTCTGTCTTCTGTCTTCTGTCGTCTGTCGTCTGTCGTCTGTCTTCTGTCTTCTGTCCTGTGTCCTGTGTCCTGTGTCCTGTGTCTTGGGTCTTCCGTCTTCCGTCTTCCGTCTTCCGTCTTCCGTCTTCCGTCTTCCGTCTTCCGTCTTCCGTCTTCCGTCTTCCGTCTTCCGTCTTCCGTCTTGCGTCTTCCGTCTTCCGTCTCGCGTCTTCCGTCTTCCGTCTTCTGTCTCTGCCCAGTCTCTCTCCCTGTCGTTGTCTCTGTCTCTTAGTCTCTCTATCTCTGTTACTCTACATCTCTATCCCTGTTTCCCTCTATCCCTCTATCTCTCCATCTCTCCATTTCTCTATCTCTCTATCTCTCTATCTCTCTATCTCTCTATCTCTCTATCTCTCTATCTCTCTGTCTCTCGATCTCTCTATCTCTCTATCTCTCTACCACACTATCTCTTTATCTCTCTATCTACTCAGCGAAGAGGCCCCCCCCGAAAGGCGACCTCGGCCTATCTCGTTTTTTCTCTCCTTTTCTTCGTATTCCTCTTCTTCTGCTCCCCTCCTCTTTCTTTCTTGGGGGCAAGGGGGCAAGCCCCCGGGCGTTCTCCCCCTCCCCGGCATTCGGGGTTCCTCTGATGTGGGTGGTCGGGAAGAAGGAGCTCTGACATCTTGTCTCACCCCTGCACAACCCTCTCTCTCTCCCTCTCTCTCTCTCTCTCTCTCTCTCTCTCCCTCTCTCATGGTGTTGAGTTTAATGGTCCGTGCACATTTTCTGGTTTGACAGTAGAATGTAAACGCTACTGTATGCTTGATTTGTAATCATGTCATCCTACAAAGAAAAATTGAATCTAAGTTTTTCAGGCAGAAAAGTGGATTGAATTTACCATATTGTGACGTAGGACGAAGCATCTCTGCTTTTCTTCATGGATTTTTCGTCGTAATGGAAAGAATGATACATCATCATCGTTGATTTGTGGACCTGCGAGCAATCCTCGTCACTATATGACCAGTATATTCGTCGCCAATTGCTCTGCGATGCTATCGCTGGCCTGAGAGGCCTACTGGCCGCTATATAGCCGTTCTTATCCCATCTCTTATCATCTTGTAGCGTGAGAATCTGGAGCCCTTTTGACATGGATTGGGGCGATCCGAAAATATCCTGTAAATCAAAAATCCGGCACTTTGTTCTTTCTAATCGATTGTTGTTGAGCACCCTGCAACGCGGTCACTCATCCTTTCTAGCGGGATACGTCAGGCAAGTCTGGGATCCACAATCGATTTGCACGCATTTGGCAGGTACCCTCTAACTTCGTGTAGAAGAAGAGGCATCCAAGAGCCGAGCAGAGGACGCTGCAGGCTGCAGCAATAGATCCAAATGCAACGTTGATGTCTCAGGCTGAAGGCTTCGACGGCACAGACAACAAGAACTCCTGCGCAAAGTGTACTGCCACATAGCGCCAAGAAGCGATAGCGTCTTCTGGAAAATCGAATTAAACATTGTGACGCTCAGAAACGGAGCAGGTGCTGTCAACCACGGCATCCGTGTCACCTTGGTGTTTTGGCGACGCACACTCTGACAAGCATGAAGATTTTCCAACAAAGACGAGAACATTGTGGGCAAAGTAGATGGAGAAGGTGACTTCTTGGCGGCTGCACTGAACTTTGGAATTCTCTGCTGAAGTCAAGAGGCCGTCACTGAAAGCGTTCCGTCAAGTAACAAAACTCCCAGGCAAGCGCCACCTCAGCAAAGCTGCTTGCACGAGGCACGAAGGGCTTGCATTTGTGTTGCGGCCGGGCGCTAACGTAAGTGACTCTGCTTTCGATTTCATGCTTGAAGCCACCCTGCAGTTTGAATAGCAACTGCCTTGCGCGCGGAACTGCTGAGAGGCTGAGAGCCCTACTGCTGGGGCAGATAGGTCCAAAGAGAACCCCACGGTTGCCAGGTTGGCGACCTTGAGAAGCACAGAAGCTTTGCCCGAGGCATACAGGCCTCTTCTAGCCAATGCTATCGCGATGTGCGGCTCTGGCACAAGTGTTCACAAGCAACAAGTCACTATCTATGTCTCTGAACCCAGCGCAACAACTGGACGAATCGTCGTCACGTTTGAGCATCCCGAAATCAAAATTGTGGCGGACATATCATCCGCAAGTGGGCGCTTCAGCGGGGCGCTCCAGGGATTTATACGAGGTGGCCACTGCAGAGATCATCCGATCCCGCCGCAGCGAGTAGGACACTTTCAGCTGGAGGGGAAGAATGCACATCAAGCCATGTCCATGTGCAAGCTGCAAATACAAGTGCTACATAAGCCTAAGGCGATCAGCATAGCCGCGGCAAACGAGATCAGAGCCTCAATGCAATGTGAATGGGACCGCGTTTCTGGTCGGCGGCAGCCCAAGCCCGGACCAAACTCGCAAGAACTTGCAGAACTTGCAGACTAGGATCCATCCACTCATCTCCACTGTGCAGCAGGATGAAGCAAGCGATGACAAAGGACCACCTGACTGGTGCGAGCCATGCCAATGCTATGCCGTGCCCATGCAAAAGCAAAACAGGACAACTGCTGCCCTGCACCTTGCATTTCTGCAAGGTTTCTATTATACCATGAGTGCTATGGCTGTGTGTGCCAGGCCCGTGGCATGTGGCATGCCATCTGGGGCAGGAAATCGTAGCCCCAAACAACCTGAAGCGCACAAGCTGGCAGTATAGCCCAATAGCGACAACGCGAGCGACAGCATTATGAATTATGCTCCAGTGATGCATGGTGGCAGGCCTTTGGCAGAACTGGCTTGGACAGCATGATGAGAGGCGTGATCACCAGAACGTAGATTGCCTCACTTGCGTCTCTCACGCTACTCTTCTCAGCACCTGCAACACATCTTACGAGACATGAAATGGACAGGTTTTCTGAGCATGAGCGCCATCTTGTCCAGCAGCTCCATGGTGCAAGATGTGCAGGGCGCCCCTCTATCCACTGCCACGGAGGACAACGCCGTCTGCCAACAGTATGAAAAGAATGTTGAAGCGTTTGCTGCAGTTGACATCTCATGTAGCAAGCTTGGGAAAGCCGGCCCATCACAGACATCTCGCATCCGTAGTTTTGCAGTTCAAGCTCAAGCCAGCACCATCGCTGAACGGCAGAACTCAACATCAAGAATGGCGCAGTGCCCTTTTTCGGCCCGAGCTGATGTGCATATCTTCCGCTATCAAAACGAAGATTCGATGTCATACCCTTGTCTTGGATAGCAGCTTTAGCACTTTAGCGTCTTGAGTAAGATCAACGGCCAAGCCCCAGGCTGTTGTCACTTAGTGTGCCCTGCAGCTGGTCTGTACGTTCAAGACGCAAAGGCGTTTGGGAGGCTGGTCTCCCACAGGTAAACAATTCACCGCACAGCTCACCGGCGGTACCAGAAGTTCTTTTGCGGTCCTCAGGACCTGGGCAATGGACAGTTCTTAGGCACCTCCGGAGATGAAGAATGGACTTTGCTGAGCTTTGGCTTCAGACTCAACGTGTTCGAGGAGGTAGTTGAACTCCCAGAGCAGGGCAACCTAGAATCAATGCCCAGCAACCGAAACAAGGAAGCGTTGATCTTGCGGGAGAGTTGTGGTTATCGCTAGGGAGCATCAAAAGTGCAGATCGATACATCCACGGCTACGGTGCACAGTCATCACGATTGTTTTGTGAGATGATGAGTTCGCGCCGCGAGCGAAAGTGCAGCTCAGCCGTTGGCTGCTGGCGCGCAGAGATTCAAAGAGAATCCCACAGTTGCGAGGTTGGCAACCTGCAGAAAGATGCCGCAGGGACACTTCTCTACTTTGATTGGTTTTCCTGCTCCGCAACTGTTACTGCTGAGCTCCCTGCGATCAGCATTGCTGATGCAAAGGAGATGAAGGCCTCGGTGAAAGCTTGGCAGGATGTTACAGTAGTGAGCGGGCCAAGTCATTGTTTGCTAAGTCTGCTAACTTTAACCCAGGCTCCATCCACTCCTCCCCGCCCGTGTGCAGGAGGATAAAGCAAGCAATCACGAAGGACCACCTGGAAACAGTCTGTTTTCAAACTGCGCATTCTCAAAAGAGACGTCACCCCAGCTGAGGTCCTAGCATGTGGCATGCCATCTGCGGCAGAAAATCATACCCCCAGACAACCTGACAACATCCGACGCCAACCGGTCGGGTGTAGCTCTACAATTTGCTGTGCCAGTATTTGATACGTGTACTGATACGTGTGCTCAAGCACACTCTGGGAGGCCACTGGTCCTTAAGCTGCCCGCCTTGGGCAAAATAGGCTTGGAAATCATGATGAGGGGCGTGACGATGGCAACATAGATCGCCTCAGCTACGTGACCGAAAGCGAGCGGTAGTCGGCAAGTGGAAAAGAGTGAGCTGGATTTGATTCCCCCAGGTCAGCCTTCTCTCACTACTGTCCCGAATTTCTCGAAAAGGGGCTGGGGGTTTGGAACAGCTTTGCATGGCTATGGAGGGCCTTGCAGTGAATTTGGCGTGTGGACTGGGCTGTGCCGTGTAGAAAGGGATTCGGAGGCTGAGGGGGGGGGGGGGGGGGGGGGGGGGGGGGGGCGGAGCTAACACGACGAGAGCTGCTCACTCCCCGTGGTAGGCTGCGTCGGGAAGGGAAACCGGGAATGGAGGTATGGAGGGAGAACACCAAACAGTTCACATGTTCGGGTCCGGTTCGCTCGACGGAAACATGTCCCTCGGACATGCTTTCTCCAGGCTGCCGAGCAGCCGTTGTTGGTTTTGACTGTTCTCAACTTCGGGCCGATCGATATCAGTACATCAACTGCAGCTGCTGCCCGTGAAGCATGGAGGTGGGGGCGGGGAGGGGGAGGGGGAGTGGGGGGTGGGTGAGGGGTCGCTGTTCAGAGTTCACAACTCATAAGGGGCGAAGCTGATCCCGCTGATCCCACTCTTCATTGAGGCGTCCGTGTCCATGCTTGCGAGAACATGCTTTGCTCTCAATGGGGAATCCAAGCCATGCTGGAAAGCCATTTGGAAACCACATGCTGGCTGCTATAAACACAAATCTCTGTGTAGGCCGAGGTCATCACGAGCTTGTCAAGGAGCTCCATGGTGCACAAGGACGAGCGGCTATGTAATGAACGGACTCACCTGTACCAGCCAGGCCCGTGAAATGATGGATGCCCTCTGCCCTGCTCACTGCTCACGTGCGTAGATAGTAAGTCTCCTTTCTGAGAGCCCGGTGCTACATGGGTAGTGCCAGTTGGAGGAAATGTACTTGCCGACTTCTCGAAATCTTCCAAACGCTCCACAGGCAGGAGCACCGCGCTTCTTTTCCGGACCACGCGTTCGGAAGAATCCGAGAACAGGGTGAGTTCATACTGCTCTCAGACTTGTGACGGCCATGATAGGTCACAAAAATAACACGCTTGTGCTGTCTACGCAACAAAACCTCTATCTGACAACTCGGTAGTGTATCCTCGTTATAGCTTGAATGCACGAGTATTTGCATCCCGGTCCAGACTCACCAGTGAGAGAGCATCTGCCTGGAATGCGTCCGGAACCTATGCCTTCATGCGGCCCTGGAACCTGGCCACGAACCAACGTGCAATGTATGTCCAATGACATTCAATGTATGTCCGGATGTGGTGATGTGCTGTGGCGTAGCAGTCTGAGTACGATCACTATGCGCCATGCACAGCTGAATGCCGGCAAGGCCTTTGCTTGACCTCGTCGGGGGATAGCGGCTGTCCTTCTTCCCACGTGTTTTCGTCCTCCAGTCGAGTTGACGCATCTGCGGAATCAAGCTCAGCAGGCTTACCACCTAGAGGTTGAGCGTGCTCGGCTCTTTCGTGCTTCTGAAGCACACGTCTGGTCCTGAATGTAAAGGCACTCCTTTGCGTACATGATCTGCTGCTCATGGCGCTTGCCTGGGAGCCAGAGCCACCGATGAAGCTTGGAGCTCGGCTCAGGTGTACAAGGGTCATCGCGTGCTCGCGTGCTCGTGTGCAGCTTCCAGGGTGAGCACTTGAGTTTGGATCCACAGGGACTGCTTCAGCCGACCTTTCCAGATTCACAGAATCCGGGTTGAGACTAGCGGGGGTGAGTGCACGGGTGGCAGTAGGCTTTTGACTCAAGTTCGATTCCAGCGGAGGAGAACACGTTCAGAACCTGCGCGCAAGCGTGGAATTGGGACACGCCGGGCGTCGACCAGGATTTCCATCTCGGGCCACACCTTGCGCTCGTCCTTCCCCTCATAGAAGACATGAATCAGGCTGGAAGCCTGAAGCTCAATGACATACGAAGACTTGAATGGCCGAAGACCATGTGACTATCCTTTTTTACGCGCTGTTCTGCGCAGAAAAAAGGAGGAGGATTTGTCGGTGCCTGAGCGTCCAAACCACCACTTCGCGAGTACTCTGACAAGTTCCAGCATGCGACGGAAAAGTGGACCTGATCATCACAAGCATTCTCGAGGAATTGCAGCATGTGCAGTCCAGCATGCAGTGCCTTTCCCTGCTTCTGGCAGACTCGCTTGATGTCCAAGTCCTCGCGATATTGTGTGATACATGATGGCATTGGCTGCCAGCGCCACATTCTACCCTTGGAGCTCCACGTGGAACTACAGGTAAGGTGGTGAAAGGACTCACAACTCACAACTGCTGGGCGATGGGTCAGGATGTCCATGTCCTTGGCAACGATCTCGCGCCTGGCTGAACAGCATCCACTAGAAAGTGAGAGGAAACATGTACAAGTTTTCGCTGCTGACTCCGATTGCCGCTGTTGCCTCTTGAGAATCTTCTTTGGCACGGCCTTCAGCTGTCGAATGTACCTCGCAGAGTAAGAGTCCACACTTTGCCTCGTGCCTCGGGGCAGCGGCAGGTCACTCAACGTCATCAGGATGCTCGCCCCAATCAGCCACCTGTGCCTGCAAGCAAAGTGCCGCACAGCAGGCTGCAGAATGATAAGCGTAGTCCCTCCGTCACTCCGCCCTGTCACTCAGGTCCACACGACGCAGGGTCCTGGATCTGGGCGCCACATTGCCAAGGCGCGTTGTCGAAATGGGGCCGCAACGACGCTCGAAACAGCTTCTCTTGAACAGTAATGGCAATACACCCGTGAGCTTGTGGCAGTGATGCTGCGCCGCAGAATGCCGCAGACACATCTGCCGAACTGCGCAACGAAAGGGTAGCAGCTCTGTTTTGGAGTAGGTGTCCAGCTCTCGCTAAGCATGTCCTAATCCTACATTATGTCACGTCTGATCACATCGGCTGGGCTGCTTGTGTGATGCAAAGTGCGCAGTTAATCCTCATGTCCATACATTCTGCCACCCTTCAGGGCATCGATGGGAGGATGCGGCAAGAAGCGCTACCGCCGCACTGGCTCCTCGCATGACAAGCTATGAGAGTGGTGTTCCCGGCCTTCAGCTACTATTGTGGCTACTATTGTGGAATGTTGTGCACTAGAGCTGCGGGTGCAAAAGGAAACAGTTGACATCGCCGAATGTTATTGCGTGTTGCAAGACTCTGCAAGACTGCTGGAGCACCCGAATGGAGAAGCCCGCACCGGCTGGAACTGCACTTGCTGCACCTGCAAATGCCCAGGACTGTCCCTCTGTAAGGCTTCAAGCCCATCACGGACTAACTATTGACTCATTCTTCAGGAACTGTGTGGTTTTTACAGTAACACAGCACATCACAGCACTGTCGGCGCCTCCTCCGAATGCTTTGCCTGCGCAAGTTCCAAGTCTAGAACCGCTTTAGGTCTCTCTCCTATGACTCGGACCTGGAAAACACAGAGTTGTTGCTGCGCCTCCCATGGCTCCAGCGGCACCAGCGGCACCAGCAGCGCCAGCTCCGCCAGCTGCTCCGATGCCACCCAGGCCTGCAAGGCCTCCGAGGCCTCCGAGGCCTGAGCCTCTCAGAGGAAGTCTTCTTTTATGAAGACGAGGTCTGCTCAGTTTCAAGTCAGATAATCATACGTGACGCAACGCCACGAAGACGCTTCCTTTGCAGCAACCGGCCTCCCAGGATGTTGCCCAGACCGCCCCCGAAGCTGTCGAGAGCTTCCTGACGGCACACTGTACTTCGCTGCGGACAGCATCATGTGCATCATGCAGCCCTCGAGATTTCACGGGGCGCATGATCCAGGGCCTCTCCACGGATGACAGGTTGAGACTCTTTGCCACTTAAGTACCTGACACACACACACCCATACAATCCGGCCGGTATCTGGTGTCTATAACAGCATTGTCAACATTGTGTTGACGAAGCTTCCCTTCGAATGCATGTGCTTGCCACGCTTGCTAGAAGAGATTCTCGGGAAGGCACTTCTGATCCATCCACTCTATCATCTTCCTGTAGATGTCAGCCTGTGCACCCATGTGCGTCGCAGTATGACTCGTCAACTCATCCTGTGGCCAAGGTCTGTCAGCCTCGGTGAGGTGCCTTCGCGCAAACTCCCGTGGGCGGCCTGTAAAGCCGCCAGCCTGGCGGCCATTGTGGCAGTTGCAAATTGGAAACAGTTCAAGGCGCGAACGGTGCGAGTAGTATTCACTCAATATTCACTCATATACACGTAATTGCTGCCTTCTTTCTTTGTGCTTCTACTTCACGCCTCACTGAGCTCCACAAAGTCTGCCAACCTGCGGTCTCCAATAATTAGTTCACCAAGCATACATATGCATCACTGCATCACTGTCAGCACTCTTGATTTCTCCAAGTTGCCGCTCCGCAACCATTGCAGGGTCTCCGTCCGTGACGTGGCCTTCTCGCGCAGAGAGCCAGTGGGGGGAGGGGGGGCGGGGGAGGGGGGGGGGGGGTCAGCCGTGCAGACGAAGAGCAGCAGAATAAACAGCAGGATACGGACCAAATGGCTTGAATTTGTCTCACTCAATGGCACTGTAAGGCTCTGGCCAAGGTGTTGGACCAAAGGTGGCAAGCGAGTGGCCTCTGTGACGTAGAAGGGGGTGTCGGTGACCAGCCCCTGATGCCGAGCGACAAGCATGGCACCCATACACTAAACATATACTATAGTTGTAGTTTGTTTATCGTTGTAGTCTTATATATGGTGGGAACAGTGGTCGGTTTACTTCGGAGAGGGCCACGGCCTCGTATATCACTCGAGGATTGCAATCGATGACCGAATGCATCACCTGACATTCAGTTGCTTCTGGAAAGCTAGGTAGCTGCATGTCCCATCAGCTGAACATCGCCACCAGTTTCTCAGGAGGCTCACTATTCCCAGAGCAGCTGTGAATAGCTGTGCCAACTCTTCGTCCTCGAAGGAGGGTTCCGAAAGAGGGCTGCGTAGGAGGGGTCCAGAGAAGTCCTTATCTCAAGCTACACAGTCTCCGGATCCTTGAGTTGGTCAGCCACGACAACGTTCAGCAGCTTCTCTGCGTTGATCTTCTGTGTCAACGTCACCACCTTTTATTGATGATGTCTGGGAGTGTCCACAGCATAAGGCATGTTTGCATGAATTGGGGGGGGGGGGGGCGGTAGTTTCGGGCGCCTCGTTGCAATAAGTTTGATTGCCATCACAGCCACCAGCTACGACGATGGTCAGGCCTCGCCTCGTCAGCTTCGAGAGCTCCACACCCGCAACACACAAAGCTAAAAACATCAGTTCATGCACATCGTATTGGTACCATGACAGCACCCGGTACCTAATGAACATCTTAAACATCTGCAACGCAAGCTGGGCTGAGCGAAAGGTAGGGAGACATGAATGAAGAGGAGAGGGCATCTTGCAGATGTCATCTCCGAAATAGAGCTTCCCAGTACAGCTGCCCTGTAGACTACTGCACAGGACCCAGCATTCATGCATGTTCTGTCCCAGCTTCCCAGGATCCGCCACCGGCAAGACACGGCAAGTGACAAGGAAGTGGCCAGGACGTGACAAGGCCCTGCAAAATCGCTCTCAGGTCTTTGCAAGCGCTGGACAGCCGATGGTCTCCTGGCCTGGCCAAGGGGCCACAGGATTGTCATGGATTGTCATGGATTGTCAATGGGTCAATCTGGCAGGCTGGCCCCTTCAAAGAGCAGCCCGGACAAGAAGTCCAGCTGACCCTTGATCGGCCTATAGCATGCACTGGGGCGTGGCACTAGGGATGATGGCTGCAATCTACAACTGCGCGTGTACCTTCACACCGGGTGGTATTGCGCTCTCGGGCTACGGCCGGATGTCTGCTGGGAAGATTAGCAGCTTGTCCTTCGATCAAGACATGTGCTAGGAGGTTGTCTTCCATCTGTCTTGCCTACACGGCCGCAAAAAAAAGAATCCGGCTTCCGCTGCAAAATGTGCACTGTGCACCTTGGGTCTCTGAAGCCTGCGCTGTCTCTGCATGATGGCCTTCCAAAGAGAACGAGAAGTGGTGAGCCTGAGGCTGCCTGTTACGGACCTGTTGAGTTAAATACTGGCCTCATCCAGTGTCTTTCTGAAGGCTGGGTTTGGTGGCTTCAGGACCTGAATGCAAGGCTCATGTGCTGCTCTATGTTGCAGTGGCTCATGCGAGGGGATCCCACAGCATCATCCGGTAGCACCGACACACCAAGGTCCTAGCGAAGAGCTCCAAAGAAGCAGAAGGCAATAGAGCGCTGAGTCTACTGCATCACCAAAAGGGAGAGCTACAAGCATCAGAGCCTCAAAGTTTGCAATTTGATCATCCGACAGGTCATACCTGAGTAGAGTGTGAGTCCAAGGCGAGCGCCACTGAGCCACCATAAGCCACCATGAGCCACCATGAGCTGCCCATGCTGTCAAAGTCCGTTTGTTCCAGCTTGGGCTCCAAGCGTCGGGTACAGCAGAACCCGGCGCGCAGGCATCACCCGCGTCATAGGATGCCTTGAGCGACAGGGAAGCTCCCGAGTTCTGATGGTTTCTCCGCAATGCACGACCATACAGTACGTTACAATACAATCCACCCTCACAATAATGGGATGTCAAAAGATCGTGCTGCATCTTTTATGCGTGCGAGACTTCATTGAGACAATGTTGGCGACCATTTCCCGAGCGCGTGGCATCAAGGCATTGATTTCGAAGACAAACATCAGATCAATTGGCTCCGCGAAGTAGTTCGATGACAAACTGCACAGATCAATGCCCTGTAATTATTCTTAACTCAGACCATGCTCCGAAAGACTAGATCCAGATTCCGCACACCTGTGCCCAGAGTTACGTAGGCAGCCGCTTCGATCCATCCGATAAAGCCTGGGTGCGCAGTTCATCGGACTATGCAAAAGTCTGCAGGAGTGATGCATCCCTAGCCTGTGAGTGTCTGCTCAGACTCAAACGCAGCTCCCTTAAGTCCTGCATTAGGCCTGGAACATCCTGGAACTGTGACAGCCCTACTTCTAAGTTCCGACAAGTACTGTACTACTGGTGCACGGGGGTGCACGGGCCGACTTAGATCTTTGCCGGTCGGTTGAGTGCGTGCACCCCGGGCGGCATACATCTTTGAGCACAGCGATGTCCGAGACAAGTCAATTGACTGCTCAGCACAGCTACACAAAGGCACGGGCGTCTTCTGCTCATCACGGGCCGCAAGCCACACATCTACAGAACTGTTGGTAACATACCTGCACGCTGCATATGGCGCAGGTCACAAGACTTGTTGCGCACACGGCTACTTTAGGGCTGGGGCCGCTATGGTGATGGCGATGGCCATTCCACCATGACTGTGTTCTGCGTTGATCAGCCATGCATAGCTTAGCTTTGCCTTGTCCAGAACGGTAGACACCAGGAGCGTGTTCGGCATGCACATGGCGATCGCTCCTCGTTCAGACATTGCAATAGCAGCAGTTTACAGTTGCATGCCATCACATCCACCACAAGAAATGTGCATATGCAAGCACTGTATTACGAATTTACGAATGTTGAAGGCTTCTATTGATAATGCATGCCCCAAGTCGGATCGAGTACAAGAGCTGCGTGGCATGGCGCAGTGCGCACTTGATGCTGCAGTGATTGAACGATGGCAATTTTGAGTATTGCCTGTGTTGCTTGGTCGAAGTTCTTGCCGCAGGCAGATTTGCTTGAAAGAACCGCAGGCAACACAATGAAGGCTGATGACTCCGGCACCCTATAACCATATGCAGGCAAGCCCAACACTCCAATGCCTTCCCTGTCAGTCTGTCCTGATGGTAGAAGTGGTAGAACAGGACGGTTCTAAAATGGACGGCTACAGAGTCCCGATGCCTGGCATTGACATGCAGACTTGCAATGGGGATGACGTTGAAGCCGCATGCCACTTCGTGCAGGCCCTGTTACATAGCTCAGCAAGCCACAATATTCACTTGGGCCTTTCATTAGTGGCGAAGACCGCTAGAGCTAGCAGTGGCCTCATCGACAGGTCAACGGCCTCACCCATGCCAGCACCACCTGCCTCAACACAAACAATCAGAAGGCGCATCCTCATGTCATGTTTATGCTCTTCGTGTCTTGCACAAAATTCTTGCAAAAGCCCGGCGTTTCGAGACTTCGATGAAACGCTTGAGCTCACACCCCCCCCTGCTTCCCCCCCTGCTGTCTCATGTCTTGTCGGGACTTCAGTGGCATTGGTGAGATGCAGGTGCACCGCACCAAAGAAAGTGACTAAGTGGTCCAGCCCGCACTTACTGCCCTACCTACCAAAAAGCACAGAGAGCTAAGGCGAATTGGAACATGCAGGAGGGCCTGTGGAGGTCTGGTGATTGGGGAATCTGGGACCGGCAGGTCGGTGGGACGAACTGCTTTTGGCGCCCCGACCTGGGAGGCTGCGGTTTGCCCAGGCTGCACCTGCCACGCAGCTACAGACAGCTACAGACAGCTACAGCATAAGCCACTTGTGCCGAATGCGGAAGATCATCCTCGCCTCAACTTCGGCAAGTTTCATGGGCTGCTTGCCCAGAACCTCAGCAAGTTGCACATGAAGAGCCTCAAGTGACTTCATCAGTCCCAAGCATCAGTGCCTCAAGCCTATGGACTCGGGGCTGCACTTCGGAGTTGTGGTACATGGTTCTAATCAGCCTGTTTTCGCTTCATCGTCATTGAGGTCTCGCAAATCACGAAAGGTGCCTGTCTGACATTGGCCAGCGGCCGGACTCCTGAGCTACTGAGAGATGGCATTGGGCTGAGGTTTCAAGCAGCTGCCAGGGACCCCCGACCATTTTGGACATGAGCCCCGGAGTCGCGTACAACATGTAGGTAGCCTGAGCGTTTTAACAAGTTTCGGCCTGACCTTTTGGTGCTTCGCACAGCTACGAAAGATTGCTAAGTACTTCTGAGCAGGAGGCACGGTGCAGAAGCCTGTATTTCCAGTCGCGGTCCTGCAAAGATCAGTCCGGGCATAGCCATTCAACACGCATGGCTGCTCAGCCGGTGTCGTGGTCAATGATCAAGATTATCAAGTCCTGCGCTATGGACAAATACACCAATGCCGTCACTACTCCGGCCGGGCAAGCATCAAATAAGGATGGGTTCCTTGGAGCCAGGGTCAATTCTCTGCATGCGCGGCAACAGCTCGACACTGCTGCCAAGAGCGGGACTCTTCCCACGCCTCATGAATCTGATAGGACGCCTGGCATCTCATTCTGTATTCTGGAGCAGCTATTGAGCTATTGCTCCGGACGAAGCAACAGAAGGGTGTTCTGCGTGTCGCTTGGCCTCGACTGGGTCTTGTTCCAGTAAAGCGAGCTTCTGCAGCGCGTTATGCCTTCGTCAAGCGGGAAATGTACAGTCGAATGTAGCTAGCTGCTGAAACCATCGAGCGCCAGACAGCTTCACAAATAGCGGATTGGAAGCGCACGCATCGGCCAGAGGTGCTGGCAGACGAGGAGATCTTTCAAGACACGCGTGCTCTTTCATGCAAAGTCACGCTGCGCCGTCAGTGCCAATCAAAAACAATCATGAACCCATAAGCCAGGCGAACGGCATGAGGAACCAGTGACACTTACACCATCTTACACCCATTATCACTCATTCAACTCCGACTGTGCGCACGGGGAGATGTTGTCAAGGTGGCTGAGGGCGATGTGCCGAGACTGCCGAACGACTGCCGGAGCGCCTTTCAATTGAGTCTATCGTGGTTCGAAGTCTTCCAAAGTGTCAGCGTCAGTGCTTGTCAATGCCTCCAGCTGTTCTGCAGCAGATCTCTGCACCTGCTCAGGCCTTGGAGACTGGGGCGCAGTGAAAAGGTCTTGAAGCTGACGCACTCTCTACTGCATTTTAAGGCTACTTCCCAAAACTTTCCCGAACTTCTGAGGGAAATGCTGAGTCTGGGCATAGGTCTGCCCGCTCTGCCCGCTCTGCCCTGCATAGCCTTGTGCCTGGTACTGTGCTTGCTGACCATACATCTGGCCGCCATGGCCATATGCCGGCTGCTGCCCATACACCTGCTGCTGGCCGTAAGATGCGTAAGCCGGCTGTTGGCCGTAGGGCGCTGGCTGAGCATAGGATGGCTGCTGGCCATAGGCCGGCTGCTGGCTGGGGTAGGCTCCGCCAGTTCCGCGTGCTTGCTGTGCTTGCAGTGTGTGCTGACTGTATGCACCGTACGCACCCGGCTGGCCGAAGCCCTGGTTGACCGGTGGCTGACCATACGGGCCTCCAACAGCCTGGTGAGGCTGTCCGTACATCTGGCCATACCTCACAAGGCGAGCGTCCAATCCTAACCGGCTTGGGCGCCCATCGGCTCCAAACACTAGGATAGCGGCTGTCCGAACTGCTGCGGTGGAGGGTTTGGAGCTTGTGTAGCCTGCACGGGTATGAAGCATCGAGACTCAGAAGGCTGAAATTTCAACTCCCCGTCCCCACGCTTTTCGTGGCTCCTCTGCCAGTGCTCTGACATGCTCTCTCGATTTGTGCAGCTAAAGTATTGCAGCCGTCACCGTGACATACTCATCCTCGGTAACCTGGGATAGTAAAGCGCCCGCAACTCAACAATATTGGCTGCAAAGGTGTGTGATCATGTGTGATCGCTGCGCGGAATCAAACTCGTAGCATGCGCTCTCTCTTTTTTTACAGAGTCAGCTCTGGCCAATCTTGCCATCTCAATTGAAGAAATTCACATGAAGAAGGCCCCTCCTTCGCGAGCACTTGCATCTGCGGGTCGGTGTAACCATAAACACGCTGCGTGTTGCAGCGTTCGAATTATGGGCTACCACCAACCCAGAAGGGTGGTTCCTGAATCCATTCTCCGCCTTCCGGTCCAGCTTTCTTTGAGTTCAATGGTGTCTGCACATCGAAGCGATGCAGTTTTGACAGATCAGCTTCATAGGTCCAATGTAACGCACCATAGCAAAGGAAACAAATAGTCCAGGGCACGGCACACCTGAACGTCATGAGCCATTCAAGTACCAGCTTGACACAAGCTCGGACGGTTGTAACAGCTTGTAACACCTACACAAATGCTGCTTGGAGACATCACGGTAAGCCCGAGTCCCAATGCGTTCACATTGTGCAGGCGGATGTCCTGTGCAGATGGGGCCGCAGTCAGGACTTCCATACATATACACACGCGGACACGAAGACACTCACTGGTGGGATATCTGCGCACAGAAGATAAATCACACCCACAAGCACTCCAGTCCATGCCTTATCAATCTCGAGGAATTTGAAATCACGAACAAGAGCAGGATGCAAGGAAAGCTGCTCCGATGTCAGTGTCGTATCACATCATGTGAGTGTCGTATCACTCTTAAGCAGGGAGGGCTGGAGATTTCTTCGATGCATGTCGTATGTGTTTTCAACGGTCCTCGGGCACCTGGCTGATTGGGACGCGCTGTGTCTTGTACCCAAACCACTGCTCCGAGATCAGGGCGACTAAGGGCCCACCCATTGCTCCCGCAGAGCCAGCAATGGCGCACATGACTCCAAGAATCCTCTGTCAAGGAGTCAGGCTCAAGCTATGAGCAACACGACACCCGCAAAGTGAATACATGGCCCCCAGCCTGGCACGATGCTTCACTGACACCACCTCTGTCAAAATTGGTCGGTTCACGCCGAACTCAGACCAAGTGCAGACCAGGCCAAAGATGGTCACCAGCAGGAACCACTTTCCCACGCTGTCCTAGGACGATTGTCTTGCAAGGCAGCTGCAACTAAAGTTGAACTCCCTATTCAGATAGCAAGGCCATCTGCAATCTCTGTTGCAGACACAGCTTGCCCTAAGCAGTCGGATAGCTGGAGGGATTCCATTACATCTCACTCTACGTCCACATGTGGCCTACAGTTCAGGCGAGTACCACTTCAACACATACTTCAACCACCCCCATCCGAAAACTCAACCCAGCACGATTTGAAAGATGCCCTCGCCATTGACTCGGTTTTGTCCAACGGGCCCTCTGGGAAAGTGGCTGCATTCGGCACAGCTAGCCTGCCTGAGGTTTCCCGAATGGTCTCCTTGTGAAAAATCCGCTCAATTTCATGCATTCTGGTCGCCCGCCAAGGCGAGCAGGCAACGAATAAGAGGTTTGGGAGGAGACTGAGGACGGGCATCAAGGCTGCCCGGTGCAGTTACCCACCAGCCTCCCTGACGTGTTGATTTGCCACCCGATGCCGCTCCCAGAAGAACCCGTGACAATGCGGCTTGGAACCTCTCACCAGGCTTCGGCAACAAGACCACGAGCACAGACAAGTCCCGCGTTTACAATTAAGGCACCGTCGCCAGAGCCTCCCAAGCCTTCGTGATGAGTTATCCTCCTAAGCCTGCCATCCTCGCCATCCTCGCCTATGGAATTTCCAGGTCATCGCCCCCCCGAGCCTTCCTGGAATGCTTCCGGGAAGTCACATTCCGAGACAGTCGCCCGAATTTTGTACTACCTTGTTGTTTGCTTGCGGTCCTGAATGTTGCACTGCGCACTGTCTTGAGCATGTCACGTCACATGACGCATGCCCATCTGCCTTTAAACCATCTACGAACCCTGCTTGGCGGGGAAAGCTTAGCTAATAGATCGTATGAAAACATATGAATCAATCGTCTGCCAGGCAACAGGACTGCGTGGCAACAATGAGTAGAAGACGATCGCTGTCGGAACCGCGACCCCTGTGGCAATCTGAGCCGTAAAGGGCCGGCCATGAAATCGGCTCCACCTGTTGATTTGGTTTGAGTACGGTGGCATCTTATGACATATCAAAGAGCAGCATCAGGCCCCCCCCCCCCCCCCCCCCCCCCCCCCCCCCGCGCCTGTTCATATGGTCTCCAACATACCCACCAATCAACACTCCAAAGGACGAGCACAAGAGCATCATGCTGGAGATGCACCCTGCTGTGAGGTCGGAAACGCCACTGTACTGCAGGAACATTGTCCCGAATGCCATGGCAGACCAGGGGATGCATCCGAAGCTGCCCTGGAGGACGATGACGGCAAAGGACCACACCTGCAGCTAACATCAGCTCCCCTACAAGAGAAAAGCTGGAGAATAGCTCTAAAATTCCTGCGATTTCGCCTGTGCTGCTTTTTAACATACGTTGAAACTTTAAAAGTCTCGGCCTCGAAGAAGCGCAGCATCGTCTTCAATTCATTGGAGAGGCTCAAGGGCTCGCCGCCCGGGGTTTCTGGTTCGTGCTTCTCCTTCTCAATCTTCTCCTCCCACTGAGCCAGGTCTGCGGGGAGCACTGCATAGCGTTTTACGAACTGCCCGAGAATGATACTTGCCACCCCAATGATGCCGAAGGAGAAGCGCCACCCTTTGATACCAGGCCAGATCACCATGTTGGAAATCGCTGTTGTCATGATCGCTGTGACCATGGCGCCGAAGCCGAGCATGAAGCCTAGCCAACAGAAGTAGCGCCCTCGCTCCTGGGGCGGCGCGATGTTCGCAATCAGTGCCTGTGTCGTAGGAGAAAGAGTTGCAAGAGCAATGCCATTGAAAAGTCTGATGATCAAAATCCAGCTTGTGTCCTTAATGACTGCTGTGAGGAGGGTCAAGATGCCCCACGTCGTGCAGCCTCCGAAGAGAATTTGATGGGGAGCGAGGATGCCATTGTCGGAGAGCACGCCCCAAAAGACTGAGAAGCCTGCCAAGGTAATACCCTGGAAGAGGTTTGCAGCCGCTAAGGTGCTCGGCGAAAGACCGAGATCTGCTTCAATTGCCCGGTAAGATGCCGGAAGAAGCTGAACATCTGCACCCTCCAAGAAGCTGCAGGAATAGATCATGAAGAGTGTCCAACCCAAATCCGTCTTTGTCGGAGCCGGAGGCGAAGGCTGTGCCTGTGTGCGGGCGGTTGATCCCGGCCCCGCCGAGGGGGTTAGGCCAAAGTCCAAATCATTGGTATCGGGTTGTTTTCCCATGGATTGCGCCCGAGGGGTTGCGGGGCTTGTGACGAAAGGAGCTATAGGCACAAGGCTTGAGCCCGTGCCTGAAGAGTGCAAGATGCGTTGCAAGGATCACAACGTGGACACATAGAGTTGCTCATGACCTCACCAGCACACGCGATATGCATTCAGGGAGCTGGACATTGCCGCTGTCCATCTGCTGGGCCAACATGGCCGCTAACAGCTGAGTGTGGGGCAACAGGGCTACGACCAGCAATGTTTTGCCAGCTTACGTCTCACGACATGAAGCTTCCAAGCACCAGAAACAAGTCACAAAGTCTTGCAACCAGAATCATGCAGGCTCAGGACGTGAGCCGTAGATCCGGTGCGATTCCGCTGCCAACGTCAACATTGAAGTACGATATAAACCAAGATAATCCGCGCGCAGTTCTGGACACAGGAGTCGCAAACCAACATTCAGCTTCCTTTGACAGCCTACAATTTGTAGGCGTAACAATGCTGGGGAGATGCATGTAAGCTGCTGCACCTGTGCGCACATTGTGTGCACACATGGAAGATAGCGCAAGGGTGAACCACGTAACTTTTCGTAAAGACTCTTGCCAACCTTGCAAGCATCGTCCCCCTTGCCTCTACTGTTCCTCTAAGCACCTGGTACAACAAACTGTTGCTGCTTTAGGACGTGCAGATGCTTCGAGCTGGGGCCTTGAGGCGCTCGACCTCGGCCTTGAGGCGCGCGACCTGCCATCGGGCCGAAGCCACGAGAGAAATGGTACGAGAGACTCTTGAAAAAGCATTGAGAAAAGAATGGGAAGCACTGCGCTACACCATGTTGCAATAGACTTGAGAACACTGCACAGACCTTACCATTGCTATTCTTATTATTATGATTCTTGTTTGATTATTGCTACTATTATTTTTATTGCTTTTATTAGCTAAAAAGACAAGTTCTAGGCGGTTTCTCAGCCGTTGCGTTTTGGGGTTTCGCAATCAGGCCAGACATGCTAAACCCACAAAAACAATGTTTAAACAGGCAAAACCCAAACCGGAAAATTGGTTCTTTTGGTTTTTGGCTTTTTGAGTATTAGTTTCTTGGTTTTTGGGAATTGGTTTTTTGGTCTGATTTTTTTGGTTTCGGTGTCCCAGTTGTCCCACGAGTCCTGCAAAATTCGTATGTTAAGGCTTGTTGTTGTTTTATATTGTTTTCGGGCATAGGTCTTTGTATATTCGTTTCTATAAGCCTTGTACTCACATCCAGCACATAATTTGGCAGATCTTTTGCCTGCTTACTGGGACTAGAGTTTTGTATTACCCCACTTGTGCACACACACACACACACGTGTCGGGCTACAAACTAAAGGGGCCAGACAAGGTGTGGAGACAAGAAAAGAAGATAATAAGAAGAAGCCAAATATCAAGAATTAGATGAAAGAAATGTAATGCTTCAAGAAAAAGAAAAGACAACTGTAAAGTTAATCATTAATTGCGATAATACGAAATTCTTGAATCTACAAACAAATAAACAGAGAAGAGAAATAGAATGACCACAAAGTGAAGAAAATATTATATTGATGAAATCTTTACATCAATAAAACAAATTACTAAATTAGCCGTAGCAACATTACATAAAAGAAGTGTGCTAGCAATAACTAGTCCACAAGGATCTGGAAGACAGAACGCTACTCCAGGCCACATCCCTAAAGTTCGACGAAGAACGACATAAATAATGGAGCTTCAGAAACTAGAAAACCACCCAAAAAGAAGATAAACAGATTAGGGGCATTTACGCAAATAGAATATTAATACAGGATTGGGTTAGTAATACTTCTAAAGGATGGAAAGGGCATTTTTCTGGCCTGTGTGCACACATGAATGATTCATTGAATGCACTAGATTACAACATTATTGTATGGCGTGCATTTCAGTCACCCGTAAAATAATATTATTAACGTGTGCTCTTCATGGACGGACTCTTGGGCAGTGAAGGTTTCCACGGCTGGACAGGTAATTGGTACTAACTCCCTCAACTTATTCAGCAATCACACCTCGAAATCCTGCTAACGCCTGGTCTGGATAACACTAAAAGACCCGCGATGGGTACTCTCTGGACAAGGAACCCACCCTCGGGACACAGCTTGTTGAACGAGTACCAGGTGCGAAACTTGTTGAAGACACCGTCGCCGAGATGCTTCGATCGTGGAGATACTACAACAACCGGCTTCCAGAACACGGCAAGACTTTTCATACTTAGTTAGGCCGAAGGCCTACTTTTCGTCATTGCTTAGGTAGAAGCACCGATGATTCAGCGCGGAAGGTTCGCAAAAGGAAACGTACGCCTGATATACCCGCAAAAATAAAGTTGTGTACAGTGTACTAATCTCTTAAAAACAACAGATTAATAGCATGTCTCGGCGCGAGATGTGGGTTTTGCAGGTTTTCATGCTGCATTCTTCTTTTCTTTAAAAACGGGCGCGGGAAGTCATTGCGCTGAAAATCCCTTAAACCGCAGCGGCTGAGTTCCGGCCTTGAACCTGTTATTATAATATGATTATATCTTCACAAACTCTTCCAGGCCTCGGCCAGCAGGCCAGGATCTTCGCTGGTTGACCCCAAGAGGGTCGGCAGAACACCCAGCAGAAATTGGCGCGCGGAAACCATGTAACAAAATTAACAAAGCTGGGGAGCTATGGAGAGGAGGGTGTAGAGGAGGGTGTCAACGCCGGAGGCTTGCACGAGCATTCTTGTAGTTCGTTGCATTTCTGTATTGCATTCATGAACAAGTGCTTCCCCTGATGCTTTCTGCAAAGATTAACTGATTAGCTTGCATGACGGCAGGTCTGTAGGCTGGGTTGGCTGATGGTTTGCTTGGATGTAGATTCGAGCCGAACTACTACAGCCCACCACATGATTCACGCGGCAGAAGCTTACATGCTGACGAGTTCCACGGAAGTCAACTCGGCCGCTGTTTCCAAACAGACCTTTGAAGATTTAATGTCGCCGTGCAGCCTGAACGTCACCTCCGCACCACCAGTTCCCAGCCCAGCTTTCAGGCATGGCGAGTCTGGTAGTCCCGCGGTCCTCTTTCCAGACGTTTTGCGGATCGGAGGCACAAGTTGGGAGCCCTGCGATCACCCAAGGATGATATCAAATGAAGCATTGTCAAACTGTCTTAAACAAAGTCGTTGCTTCAAGGCGAGCGCAGTCCATGGCTGTGTTGAGTCCATTTCTTCCGGTTTTCGGAAACCAAGGGGGGCAAAAAATTGAGCTGCGTACTTCCCAACGCATATCCACGAAATAAAAAACCGGTGAAACATCGCGTCACATCGCGCTGAGTTCTTTGGTAGTCTTTGGAGCCATGAACAGTGGCACAACGATCAGGGACTGTCTGGCGCATGAAGGGACCTCGGCACCAAGAGTGTCGGCGAGATTGCCACTCTTGTCAAGTATGCAAGTCAAACTTTCAGGTGGCTGCGGGCCGGAATCCTCCTCAAAGATATTGTCATCGTCGTAGCTCGCGATGGAGCCTCTGCTCTTGGCACATCTCTACACACACATGCGCCTTGCTGCGCCTTGCGGCTTCGCCTCTGTAGTCATGATTCCTTGCAATTTAAGCCTACATTCTCGTCGAGGCTTTCTTAACTTGCGAGGTTGATCCAGGCGACGACAACTACCGAACTGCCCAGTACGCTCTGGGTACATCTGGCTAGCATGTTTTGGTCCATCTGGGCGCCCTTCCCGGAACCATGAAGCCGGTTGGGCACTCTACGCACTCGTGAAATTTCATGAACGAAGGTCCTGTCACGAGGAGTGAACCAAGGAGCAGACAGAACGATTTGGCCGAGCAGCCACCATCCGACTTTGGATTTGCATTTGATGCCTCACTGGGAGCGTAATACGAACCGTAGGAATCGGTGTCGCGACCATCGTCGGAGGCCTCGGCCTCAACCAGATTTTCCGGCTCTTCTTCTGACTCGAGCTCGAGCTCCAGTTTCGGCGAGTCTTCCTCCGGTTCAGAGTACTCGTCACACTCCGAGGGCTCGCTGTCTGCAACGGGAGCTGGGGGAGAACGCCCCGACCCCGATTCCGCCGCAGCCGGGGCAGCGGGGGAGTTGCTGTTGCTGCTTTCGGCAGCATCGTTGCTCTCTGCCGCTGCCACTGCCGCTGCCACGCTCGACCAGGCCACTTCCGGCTGATCTGCATCCTCAACCTCGAAGGTGTCGCTGTAGGCATCGTCTTCAGCCTCACAATCATCCTCGTAGTCGGACTCCTGGCAAGACACCCCAAGATACCCCAAGCACATCCAAGGGCTCTGGCTCAGTTCTCCGGCCTCTCCCTGAGTTTCCTCTTCATTGCGGGGTTGGACCTGCACGTCTTGCACCCGGAACAGAGTGATTGGCCAACTGCAGCCCAGCAACCGGGGCCTTTATGCACAGAGCCGGCCTCCCCAGCATCGCTTCCCTCGAAATCTGAGTACGTCGCATCACCTCCGAACGATGCGCCTGCCAGGAAGATAGATCCATCCATGCGATTGGGCTCCGAGAAACAGAGATGACAGTAAGTCTTTTTCAGGCTTCTGCTTCCACAAGGCTCCAAAGCAGCGGACAGTCATCTGCCAATTGAACCCCATCAAACATCACAACAAAAAGCACCTGGATCCACTGCGGCGTTGGCATCGCTTGCTGTACTTGCCGGATACATCTTCTTAAGCACCTTCTTCTCAACCAGCTCCAACTCGTTATGGGCTGCCTCGAAGCACACTGTGAGCTGCTCTCAGGTCTCAGGATATACATCTCTAAAATCTTAAGGTTCTTCTCATTCTTCGGCGCCACAAACCAATTTCCGAAGGCTTGTTGGGAACTTCAGTGGACATGGGTCCTTCTTGGCAGATCGAATCGGCTCCGGAGTGCCGGACAGAGCTTCTCCCTCCTGGCAAGAGACCGGCACTTGCGTGCGTGAACACGCGCACGCTCACACACAGAGACAAAGACACACACACACACACACACTCTTACACTTGTCACACGTACGCTCGGACAGACACAGCGGAACCACCCTTCCTAGAAAACCGCAATGCTTCACATAGCTTTTGTGCATGCGCGCCCGGTGCGTTTTGGTACTCTTCGAGCCGATGTGAAACACGCTGCACAATTGTTTTCAAACAAGCAGTGTCTTGACATGAAAAGCACGAGGTTGCAATCTTCAATGCTATGACACGGCGCTCTTCTTTAATCTTCGGTCAGAAGAATTGATTACAGGCTCCCAACATGACTGCAGCATCGCCTCGTCTGGAGCAGCCGGCCAAGTTCCCCCAACCCGTCCTGGGCACCCCAAACCTGCTTTGGACCAAGAACCTCTTAGGTTTATGAAAATCCTGTGGGTGAGTGGGAAAGCCCCCTCTTTGCTGCCTTCTGGACTGTTTGGCGGCTCCCACCACACGGCCTGCTGACACTGCAAGCCTTTGCTGCTAATTAAGAACACGATTCCCTGGTCCACTTGCACTGCGGGTTTAAGCTTTCGGGTTTTCGTGTCGGCTAGTTTTCCTCGACCCGTGTCTGCGCTGTGCCGTGCTTTTACCGCCGACGGGTATATGTGGCGCAAACGTTTGCAATAAAGAAAATCAGACACACGTAAACTCTCTTGGTTGGCACCCACGTGGCATGATCCCGACGTGACCAGTCCTGCTCATCGCCTCTGGCCACTTCCACCTGTCTTTATACAGTTCGCTCTTATCGTGCTTCCTATATGAGGTCAGAATTGAAGTCTCTCATCTCAGCGCTTGGCAGGCTCAGTGTCACTGCCATCAAAGCCCAAGTCAGAGTATGTTGCATTTCCGAGCGTCTCCGCTCGCGTCTGGGTGCCTTGCAAACACATTCCAGCAAGTCACATATGTGAGAGGAAACGCGCCAATGTGCACTACCGCAATTGAAACTTCAGGCCTGAAGCATCTGCAGTTTCATTTAGCTTGCTCAGCACGTGCTGGCCCACGAGATCGAGCTCTTTCTGCGCCGCCTTCAAAGACACTCTACCATTTTCATGATGTGAAATGAGAATGGGACGGTGCTGAAGTCATCTGCAGAGGTCGCGCTGGCACCTTCCGCGCGCTGCGCAGTGGCTCTGGAGTTTCCGGCCGGGCATCCTCAACAGCCGGCTCCTGGCGACAGAGTGCTGAGAGTGCTGTTGCAGAAAAAAGGCATCTTGTCGCAACATGTCCTACAGCATCCTGTATGTCAGAGTCAAAGCATTGTGACGATGGAGGGGCTCTGCAGCGGCTCCTGCGCTTGTCGGACCTCCTTGGAGGATTTGTCGACAGCTGGAAGGGGCAAGAGTGGCGCCTGTACGCAGCAGAACAACTTTTAAGGTCAACCAAGCTTTCTGAGCTAAATATGCTTCAATCTGTGCTGCCTCCGCAGTTGCGCGCTTTGGCTTTCGAAAGCGAGGCTCTCTGATGGGCGGAGGCGGTGTCCTCTGAGCACTTGCCAACACAAGGAGACCAATGTTGTGTGGGAACAATCCGCTCTCTCCTGTCTTTACGAAATGAGAGAGCAAACTACCTTTCTGTCTTTTGCTTCCAGGCCTAAAGTCAGGGGCTGCTGTCTCGTTCTCGAAAGCAGAGCAAAATCATGGGAGAGACAGGTGGCTGCGCCCTTGGTCGTCACTGGTTGCACCTCATATCTTAATTGCTCTATTTCAAGAAGAAGTAGAATGATAAGCCAAGAAGACAAAGGACGAAGAAGAGGGGGGGGAGGGAGTCTTGAATTCTACGCAGGGGTCGATCTTTCACTCAATAACCCTTAAGAATCACACGTGTGTTTTGCTGTTCGGAGACGAGACAGCTCTCGTATGACCCGGTTGAGTATGCAGCAGTATGCATGTACATAAACAATGTGTGCTATTGAAGTTTCGATCTTGTATGAATCCGAAGCCACAATGTAAGGACTCAGCCTGCAGCACAGAAGCTTTGGCTTTTCCAAGAAGGATGCGTGCATCCCCCTGTCTGCTTTATCTCTGATGTTTGCTAGGTCGTGTGTCCTGAAAACGTCAGCCTTGCTGACGGTCCGTCGAAGCCTGGAGTGCCTGAGGCCGAGGCACTCGCAAACTCATACTGAGTTTAGTTTAGTGGATTTGTTATTGCGATTTTACAAGCTGACTCATACTCTGAAGGGCATCTGCACAACTCACACCTACGCGAAGCTGGCCTTTTCACGAGTGTCGTGTACACCTGAAGCAAGTTTCAACATAGCCTCGCTTTGAATGGCACGGTTTGCCAGCCTCATATCGAGATGCGAGCGCAGCACGGTCACTAACTGTGGGCCCAATGCCTCAAGATTCACGCGCCATCTAAAGTTGTTTCGGACCAACACAGGACACGGTTAGCCAGCACTGCTGAAAAAAGAGTGCTGTGAAGTGTGTAAGTGTGTAGTAAGTAGTGCCACTTCACTCCATCATCAGAACTACGGCTGCCTTCCATGATCGGGTCGCTCTTGCACTTTGCACTGAGGGCGACACGAATGAGTCGGTCTAGCAGGACTTTGTTGTCCTGCACCGGTGAACCGATGGAAACTTGGAGCTCGTGCATCTGTGAGGCGGGTCTTCTTGGCGGCTCTGTGAAGGTGACGCAGCTCAGCATTGAAAACAGTTCCCATTGGTCACACCAACGGCCAGTCACTAGCTCCTTTTGTTCTGGCCCATCCCCTCATCGCAAATCCCAATGCTCCAGTAAAATCCAGCAATATGCCACACAATGCCAGAAAAGCATCAACGAATTCTTTCCCCGTCCTTGTCAATTTGCCGGGCAGCCTTGCGCCGCAATGTCAAATTCAAGGAACCTGGCACATGGCCAACAGAGTCACTCACACAAGCATTACACAAAGGGGCCAACATCCCGGCAAGTTTGGGTACCCTTGGGTTCCGTTGCCTGCTGCAGGGGCTGAGCTCGGCGGTTTCGGCACCAAAATCTGTCGCCGTCGCCCCTCGGACTCGCGCATCACCTAGTCAAAAGTCTCTGAGTGCGAAATCTCTTTCACCATCTGTGAGCGGTAGCAACTCTTGCGTGCCCGAAACTGTGCCCCAACAACAAGGTGAGAAACCATATCAGCACAGGCGGCGGCATCTGCAAAGACCCCTCTGCAGAGGTTTGCACCCCGTTGATGTCACTGGAAAGCTGCAAGCTACCGTTTAACACCGTTTGCTTTCAGGATCGTCCAGAACAACTTTTATCGACAATTGTCGAGCCCAGAACACAGCACTGATGGCTAATTGCATCCAGGTCTCCCATCTAGCTACGTTTGTGCTGGCACGAGTCAGTGCTGCAGGTTGAATTGTCGTTGAAGAGAGTGAGTAGCGAAGTTTTTTTGAAGCTTCAGCGACTACTGACCTGCCTCCACCGACGCTTGTCTGTGCTCTGCAAACGCTCATCGTGCACTGCTCCGGCTTGCCGAATATGTTGGGGCTTCTCGTCGAAGTTTGTTTCATCTTAAGCTGGGAGCTTGCGCCGTCTTGCGCGAAGCTTGCTCGAGATGGCCCGCGCAGCGGGGCTCAAAATGGTTTTCGTGGTTTCTTGCGCCGTGCTTGCTTGACCTGGATTCTGACAAGTGTTGGCATACTTGGTTTTGATATAAACCGGACAAGGGTTTTCAGACAACCTCATTTAAGCTTGCGATGCGGCCAAGTTGAAGGGTCGGAGAGCCTTGCACTAAACGGCTCATGGACGGATTTCCTTGCTTTCTGGTCACAGGTGCAAATCTGCAGTAGAGTCTACTTGTAGTGGCCACGTCGGAATCAGAAGATACGCTGCGTAGGCCACCATCACGAAAGCAGCTGGATGCGATGTAGGACTGCGAACTCAGCGCTTGAAACCAAGAGCTGCTCTTCCACACCGTAAGTGGCACACTGCACCCAGCCGTTCGACCAGCCGCTGGTTATCGCGATTGAGACTATCGGTCTCCTGGACAAGAGCGACTCTTGGTGAATTTGACCTCAAAGTCTGCTTAGTTTACTAAGTTTACCGATCTTTGCCGGAAGTCTTGGCCCCTCCAACTTGCCCTGGGCCCTGGCACCTCTTCCTTGCGCCTGGCCCGAGAGATCCGCATAGCCTCGGAGCCTGAGACGAGTGCATTAGTGGTTCGCTTCGTGCTCCCTTTTTGCAGAGCATTTCCAAACGCTCTCCGCGGGCAGAATGGACACGTGCACTCGAGAAAGTTCTTCTGAGTTCAAGACGTGCGAACAATGCACTAGTCTGCCTCTCCGTCTCAAAGACCTCGAAACAAAGCCAGCACACACCAATCCGACTATCTGACAGTGCAGATGATCCCACTACTGAATTTGTTGACAGCCCTAGCAGAGAAGTGAACACGTTTTGTCATTCTTGGGATATGTCATATCGGGAGATTGGTGACCCCCAGCTTCTCGTTCGGGTCTCCTCTTTGTTCTTTCATTGTTCAGGAAGTGCCCGTGCCCCATGCGAGCCAGGGGCGTCTAGGACGAGTCCTAAGACGCTTGATTTCGTGTGGCTGTCGGCTGTCTCTGTGGTGGGACGTGCTTCCAACCTCATCGCCAAAAAGGGCAAACAGCAACCTTGCTCCACCCCACAACCAGCGCAGGGGCATAGCAGGACTCGTGAAACATCTGTTTTGGTATGGCGCCTCCAATGCTCCAGCATCGTGCTGTACGTAGAGCAGCTCTGTCTTATCTTTCTGCAAATCCTCCGAACCGACATTTATTTTGTTGATGCAACCTCTCCTGCTTTGCAAATAGGACAGCTCTGCGCTGCGCCAAGATTCAGAAAGCGGCTGCGACAAATATTTGTCCTTTGCGCATTTGCGCATGCCAGTTTTGCATGTCTCAACACGGCCTTGCGCATAAGTGGCCAGGTTAAGCTCGCTTTGCCTGCTCATGAACTGAAGTAGCCTTGAGCCCAAACTGCTAGCGCCGGGCATTGAGTGCAAGATCTCACCAGCTGAGGGCCCCCGCATCGTAGTACGAGTTTGCGTTTTCAACTCGCTGCCTCAAGCGCAGGTTTGGTCTCCTTGCTACCTTGCCACGTGCCTTGCCTATCAACAAAACACGGTGCCTTACGGACTGTGTCTGAGAGTCTGTCCTGTGAGCATAGAGAACTCGATGCAAGTGCTGAAACCGCAAGCGATCCAGCGCCACCAGTTCCTGCAAAAACTCGCCCGGAGCCGAGAGCATCACCGTTTGGGTGAGGGTTTCTGAGGTCTGTTTAGCCAGTGTAACCGCTCCTGCGCATCTTCCCACGCTGGAGCTTTGGCTGTGGCATGGTCCTCGTCCCACGTGCTATATGTGCACTACTCTGTCTCACTGCTATGGCCATGCCCAGCATCTCGACGAACGCGCCTTTATCGCAGGTGGTCCCACCATGGCATCTAAAGCGGGGCTGCCGCCATATGTAATGTTGTGGCCCCAGCAGAGGGGCTCTAGCAATGGACAGCAACAGGCTGGCTGCGTTGCAAGTCGGGTGTGGAGGTTCTGATGAGTTGTTGGCTGTGCGACGGCTCCAGCGCCGCTGCAGGCTTTCCGGTGATGCACTGAAAAAAACATTGCATGTTGCAGTCAACCCTTCGCAACCTTCTGATGGTGACGACAGCTTCAACTCAGCACAAAGAGTGCTGAAAAGCACGACGTTTGGTGCGCATCAACTGAGCTACTTGCATGCGAATGTGGGAGCGCGCTCAGATTCACGAGCTGGCGAAACACATATTTGTCACCAGTGATGCTTCAGAGGCTGTGAGCAGTTCCGCGCGCATGTTCTTAGAACAGGCACTTGTGAAACTTCGCAGTTATCAAGCCCTGCCCTGGCTTGGAATTCTGCCTGAGATAAGACGCCTCCTGCGAATAAGCAATACCCCTCCCTGACCTTAAGGTTGGATGGTAACAGCTGGATAGGCAGATAGGCATGCCTCTCATTCATCTCACAAAATGCAGATGTCATGACCTCGGAAAGAACAAGAGTTAAGGCCGTTAAGAATCAGGACAACACCTCAGCTACCCGCCATCCTGCCCGCTCTCCGCCTTCATCCTGAACGAGACAAGACAGCTGCTGGAGGCCCGAGAATCTTGCCTCTGAGCGCGGAGTCAAGTCATTGCGCCCCCCCTTTTCTTCCGCAGGTCGCAATGCTGCATCAATGCTGCATGGGCCAATAGGTTCAAGAGGTCGTAGGACCTGCTACTAGCCAAAACTGGCTGCACAGTCTGCAAAATGGAGCATTACCGAATGAACCAAAGCTCGCTTGTGACAACTGGCGAGGAAGATGCGTTTGCAGTCTGTGAGAAAAGGTGTCCCTGGGACACGCAGAATCTGCACATCATTGGGTCATGTCTGTCTCACATGTCTTCAGTCCAACTCTCTTTGCAACAGTCGAGTAGAAAAGGCCCCCATCATCGAGAATCGGGCCCTGGGGCAAGTCTCTCTGTGACCGAGTTCGGTGGCCCTGCGGGTAATTTCACTTTAAGGTCAGGTCTACAGAGACATGCCGAATCACTCCAGCCTGATCAGCGCATGCATGGCGAATCCTCATTAAGGATCCGTTCAGGGCAAGTGGCTGCCCTGATCTCATGGTCGAGGCAGCCAAAGCTCCACCTGATCCAAAGCCTAGAAGAGAGAGCTGCCTTCTCGGCGCCCCTGCAGCCTTCGCGACAATGTCACGGCACAGAACCCGCCAGTGCCCCATGCCTAGGCTAAAACGTGTGTTCACCACAACTTTCGAACATGAAAGGCACGTGATACATCGAAGATCTGGTTCGAAGATGATGACTGGCACAGGGCATACTGCCGGGGCCGCAGGGCTCACAAGGCCAAAATCAAGCCATCAGATCTAGCATGGCGTGAAGGGCCTGGAAGGTTTGTCAGACTTTGTCAAGGTCTATTCTTTGACAATCTGAGGGTCTGCCACGCTGCCTTCCTCAGTTTAATCAGAGGCAGCAGCAAAAGCACACATGGAGTGCAAAGCATGCTCCGTCGATGCCTGGTGTGTTTCTATTTCCCATGCAGCGAAGCGCTACTTCCCACAAGCCAATCAGCCTAACCATACACAGGGAAGTGATACATGATATAGGCGTTGAGCAATGAAACCAGAACATCGAGGCATGCTGTTCGTCCCAACGCACTGGATGTGGTTGAGACGGCACTCTGATTCCGTGTATGTACAACAGCTGGCTGATGGACTGACAGGGTCCAACCAGAAATTTCATCAACCTGTATTCGATGCAGATGCAAGAATGGCTTGTGCTCAAAATGCAGACCATATCTTGCAGAAGTTCACTTGCAAGCAGCTCGCCTGAAGAATTCCATAGCAGCCGATCCGGTCACAAACTGGGTCCGGACATCTTTCCAAGCTGCATGGAAGCAGGTTCGCACAGCCCCGCGAACGCTTCAAGGAATGGTTACGTCTTTCCGAAACCTGGAGTTTGAATCATTGTCCAAGCACACTCCTAGATCTGCCACCCTTGTGGCGTGAGACGTGGCGTGTAGAGTGCAATCTTGCAGCAATGCACACAGCCTTTTTGGGCAATCGCAATCCCTCACAACAGCATTTTTTACTTTACTACCAACGGACGGAAGGACACGATGCACGCGGCCCCTCAAGAGTACATATGTCATGAAGTCCCTTGTTAGGTCTTTTTTGCTGCCAGGCTTTGTCTACTCCAAGCCATTTTGCCACTCAAACTTCTTCATTGCAGAGTGGGCAGGCCCTCTTCTGCTCGGTGAGCCATTTGGCAACACAAGCTCGGTGGAAAACGTGTGTACATGGGAGCTTGGCAATGTCCTCACCACCTTATTTGGGATCTCAGAGCACGAAAAAGCCCAGTGCTACAGTGCTACAGAATCTTCTTGCCCCAGAGTGGACATTTGATCCTTGGATGAAGTTTAGACAGCTTGGGACCGCGGCGTTCCAGCGACGCCAAGCAGACCGTGCCTCGAAAGCATGATCCGCAAAAATGTTCCGCCTTTTTTGGAGACAGAACAGCCCGAAGCAATCTGAATCTCCCTGTAAAGCTGGCAAGGGTCAGTTCTGTCCCAGGAAGTCGTCCTCTGATGCACTCGGCAGGGCATCCACACCTGCAGCGAAGCTCACAAAAAAAACCCGAAGCCGCCGAAGCGTAAGCCTTTCGCTCACCAGGCCAGGGAGATTCATTCTGATATTCACACTTTAGATTCTCTTTCGATTCCAGCCATGCTCTCCATGTGCGGAGGGAGTGCTGCAAGTACAGAACGTCCAAGGGCAGCTTACGCCTGCAGGGCCAGGCCTTCCGTGCTTGCCACCCTCTTCTCCACGGTATCATCCAGTTGCAGGAGCATTTCGTAGTCCTCTTGACAGATCTTGACAGACTCGATGGCTTGTCTATGGATCAGCTCAGATCACAGCCCGATCCTCTGGCACAATATCTCGGAAGAGAAGCTCCGAGACATCTGAGGGCAGGAGCCCGCAGGGCAAGGGCGCCTCCCACAAATCACTCATCGACCGAAAGCCCGATCGCCAGTGCCTCACAGAAAGGCTTCGCACAAGGCACCTGTGTGACTGGCATATTGTGTCGTTTGTGTCGTAAAAAGCGGCCTTGAATGCCTGGATCTCATGTGCTCACAATAGCGGCAGTCGCACGGGCCCTCCTCTCCGTAGCATGGCCTCACAGGTACTTCCAGCATCTTCCAGCAGTGCGTGCAAGACTTCCACTCTCTGGGCAAGTGGCTCTTCGCCGTTGCATGGCTCAAATGCCGGGCCCTCTTCTGAGGAACCTGAGACAAGTTGAGCAACCGATTCTGCAAGCGGTGCCGTTTTGTCCTACCACCCGCCTCCATTCCAACTGCTTTGCGCGCCACTTGGCTCAGAATGGGAGCTCGAAGCACTCGATCCTAAGAAAACCCCGGTATCAGACGAATCTTCAGTGGAAAGAAAACTCTGAACGATCCACACAAACAGCAACGCTGAACTCCATTTCCTAGCGTCGGAAGTTTCTTCGCCATGGCGGCTGCTGGCTTCCAGGTCGAAATGGCCTTCAACCGTTTCATACTCCACTCCAAACCCAGCCACGACATGCAGTCGCTATGCAAGTTACTGCATCAGTCGCGCCTCAGGCCGGCATCAGGCGGTTGCATCATCTGGCTCGGTGGCTCTGGCATCTGCGGCACGGGTACTTGAACCATCTCCTGGCCATTCACACAGGTTGCACCGGTTACACAAGTGACAGCATGTCAGTATTGCATGGTTCGGGTTTTTGTTGCTGCTTTCATCATCCAAGTCGCCATGGGCATTGGCATCGGACCCGGGCATGGCCCGAGATGTTGTCCGACATTTCCCACATGTCCGACACCTACGAAGCCCATCGGCTGAAAGCCGGGCCCGGGCATGGGGTTGGGGCCAGTGGCACCACTGGGGCCCTGCCAATCCTTGGCTTTAACATGTTCGTGCTTCGTGCTCCTGACACTGACACCTGGCCTCGGACTCTCCATGCCATGCGCTGCCGCAAGTGCCCCCAAGTCTCTTTTGCAGCAGGCCACGCTGAAGATGACGACTGGGCATCAAAGCTTTCCTGGTACCCGTCGAAGGGCCGCTGCATGCATGCCATCGGCATGCCACCTGCCGTTCACAGTAGTGTGCACAGCCATCTACGCCTTAAGCCTTCAGCATCCTTTCAGCCGAAACCCTTTCTTTTCATTTGAGCAACTGCAACAACTGCGACCTGCGACTGCACTGGACTGCACCATGCCCTGGTCAAAGGGTTGGGCAGGCTGCGGGAAAGGTGCTGGAGTAAACTGGCTGAACCTGAGCAGATGTGCAAAACTTGCAACATCCATGAGCTGCTCTCAACAGCCACGAATCCATGAATATCATCAGAATCATTAGTGGGCACATGTTCAATAGCCAAGCCGCCCCTGGGGTGCCCAGTTCTCGCAAACGACAAAGCCTTCTGGATTCATTGGTGCCATCTGCGCAGACATCTGCGGCATGGGGCCGCAGAACACCAGTGCCGGTACTGCCGGCACCTGCCAAACACCTACGCCAGCGACGCTCCCCATGCTCCCGGGTGGAGCCGGGCGCATCGGACCTCCTGAGCTTTGGCCAGGGCCGTTGTTGGGCTGCATGGCGAGCGGATGCAAACTGTGCTGGCATTCACTTCTCACAACGTATCACCGAGCAGAACGGGCTTTGGATCTGCTATGTATTGAAATACGTGTCGCAACCTGATTTCAGCCATGTTGACCATTGGTCTCGGTAAGTCTCAGCATGTCTCAACCTATCATTGCACCTAGGAACATGTACCACCATTTGCCAACATGTGCAAACGTGTGCCAACGCACAGGATCTTCAAAGGAGCTGAATGCGGCGAGCAGACTTGAAATCCCTGAAGACAGCTGACAGTTGGCTGTGCGGTTCACAGTGTGCGCAGCCGTCAAAGAAGCTGCACACAATTTGAGGCAGCTCCTTAGGTTCGATGGGATTCCTAGATTTGATTCGCCAGCGTTCTGCAGCATGCCATCGGCCATGGGAAGTCCAAAGGTAAAGGTTCCAGCCTGTGCGCGACGGTCTGGCCTGGCACTGCCGACAAGCCCTAAACTCGTGTTCAGCGCCAGTGGCTCACTGGAGATGACTTGCCACAATACTTGCCCACAAAGCGCAGACATCCTCTCGAGGACCCTGGAGTTGCAAGGAGTCTGGGAAGTCTTTTCGTGTCGCGCATCACCCATCGCTGTGCAGCCGACGAAGATTGAAATAAGTTGCTCAGTTTGCTCAGTCAACATGAAGGCACCGAACGCTATCTGTTTTGCACGGTTGGTTCCAGTAGTACTTCAGAATCCATGAAGCTCCAAATTGAGGCCGTACAGGTCGCAAGCATGAGAAAAAGCATCTAGTTGTGGGTCGGCTTCTTTGCTCTGAGCATTGCCGAAAGAAATTCACTCAGACGGGTCTGTCGAAGTCTTCTGGGGTGTCAATCTGGAACTTGCCCTTGTTTGTCCTGGTAGCAGAAGGCAACAGGCAACCTGCAAAGACTCAGTCTGAATGAGCCAACCTTTAGCCGTGACTTCCATTGAATAAGGCCAGAACGACATCGCCGCGAACATACCAGGCCTGAACAATGTCGTGTCGTGTTAAATCCATGTCACATGTCTGATACTGTTCGTGACCAAGCCCCGCTGACCGATGCTACAAGCAAGTTCTTTTGGCCAGGTAGTCCAGATAGTCCGGACATCTCGAGGGAACCTTGTCACAGGCCTGGCTTCGCCAAATGCCTTCCTTTTCTGCGATGCTTTCCCAGGGCTGCATATTTGCAGGGGGAATGTTTGTCGAACAAAATGTCCAGCCCCGTAATCTTGGCAATGCCATCAACGTTCTTTCCAGATGTGACCCATGACCCCTGGTCAAACACGTATCTGAGTTTAGGAAAGGTTGTTTCAAGTCACCAGTGTGCTGCAAACTTAGTGAACGCATCTCGCGGTCCAACCGAAGAGGATGACAAAGCGTAGCGGAGCTACAGGTGCAAGACAAGATCTCTTATCCAAGGGTGACACCCGAACTGCAGTGTCAGTGAGTGATGTCAGTGTCATGGCTCGCTGTCACTTTGCTGTGAGATGTTACGAACTGTTGCAGTTCGAGTGGGAGCTCAACTGAATTCGTCCTCTGAGCGATTGCTAAGTCGGAACTCAGCCCAGGTTCTTGCCAAGTCGCGTTGCAGCCACAGGCGATCTCGGCCCCCGAACCCCAGCCACTGGCTCTCATCGAGGAAGTCCCGTAACAGCGAAGGGTCAAAACCCAACCTGTTAACAAGCATGGCTCTGCTTCTCTGTGCTTCTGCTCTCCAAGCCCTGAACTCAACAAACCTGTCCTAGGCAGGGAGGGGTGGGGCTCCGGGTTTATAGCCCGGCCTCAGCATGTAACGAAGGTGCTCGCCCGCAAGGTGGCACCACACCTCCAGAACTTTCAGCCAAACCTGCTCAACGGTCTCCTCTGCAGCCGTGTCGCGCATGCCGGCAGCGTTCTGAAGCCAAGCCTGCACCTCACCGCACAATCGGATCATCACCTTTGTGGCCTTCTCTCCATCTATCTCACATCTGCACATGGAAGTCCGCTTCGCCATCGCAACAACTTCAGCCACGGCCTTTAGATAATATTTCAAAAGCCGGGCTGTTTCCAAGAACTCACGAGGCTTCATCGGACCACTCCCAGGGTAGAACTGGCAGACGCCCTTGGCCGGCAATTCGATCTTGCGAATACGTGACGAGGAATGTCGGAGGAATTTGCGGAAGACATGCCCGTCCAACTCGTAGACAGCCACAACAGGCCAGCCCTTTGCCGAAGTCTCCACTGCCCACCCTGCTACAAAGCTTTTGGCGAGCTCAGAGTACACCTCCACTGGCACCCACCCTGTCTCCATCGAGGCCACGCGCCGATCGGCCACAGGCACGGGAAGGTGCAGAGCGCGCGCTTCGTGCCGCGCCCTCGCCATGTCAGCTCAGACAAGCCCAGCTTGCCGAGCTTATGGGCTTAGTGACAGCTCATGAGGAAACCGAGATTCAGATTTGAGCCCAAATCTGGCAATGTCGATGTCGCCGGGTCCCGTCTTTAGGTCTGTGAATGAATGTGCAGCTTCTTTTTCTGTGTCTCTGCACGTGTGTGCGCTTTTCTATGTGTCCCTATGCTCAGGTGCGGGCACAAGCAGAAGGCCGACGGTAACGACGATGGAAAGGCCAAGGAAGATCGGGGTGTTCTGGCATTGACAACAAGCCGTGTACTACCGGAAACTCGCACAACATTCCCTCTGAAAGGGTGTTCTAGGGTGTGATTGCACTTCAAGCGCACTTTTCGGACTTTAGAGACTTCAGGCGCTAGAACTGGCAACTACTTCTACTCACGGTCTCACTCCAACATTGGCAACCTGCCGAGCCCCCGAAAAGCCGGCCAGGGATGCGTCTTCAAGAGTCTCCTGGAAAGACGGGAAAAGCCACTCGTATTCAGAACTCATGCGCACCCATGCTGCTCAATCGCTCTGAGAGCTGCCTTCAGGTTGAGAAGAGATGGGAAGAGGGAGCTCGAGGCTCTGCTCCTCCAGGCTCTGTGGCTCCGCGAAGGAGGGGGCAGCTGCCGAAAGCCTCAAAAGCAGACTGAAGCTCTGCTGAAAGCTCTGCTGAAAGCTGTGCTGAAAGCTTCTCTCCGTGGTCTGACTCTGCTCTTGAAGAAGTTTTTGGACTTGTTCCCCAGGACGGCAAGCTGCAGAGGCAGCCGCGATGCTCACGACCTGAGCCAAACCGCTTTAACCTACTCGCAGTATGGAGCAGGCGCGTGCAAATTGGGTCGCCGGCTTGATTTCGGGGGGCAGGCGAGACAAAATCCAAGAGTCCTCTGCCAATTGTAAAATTTTTAAAAACCCACTAGAATCAAGCCGGGATTCGGCAACGACCCGTGCATGATATGTTTGGTCTATGGCTTGGTGAGCACATCAGGCGTTCTTACTCTCCATGCAGCAGGTCAGTTCGGATACCCACGGATGAGGCACTGTGCAGCTTTCCGAGCAGCTTAAGACAGCCAAACCTGCAGACATTCCAGGCTCATCTGATCTTAGATGTGGCTTTTGGAGCATCCTCAGCATCCTGCAGAGTCCTGAAGCCGCGTTCAGGCTCAGCCGCAAACACAGAACAAGGCCTCAGAGCAGGCGAGGCCAGGGCAAGCGAGGCCACAGTGTGCAATTTGTCTAAGTTTGAACTATGTCACAAGAGGGCTAAGTGGAACGTAACAAGACTTCTCACACAAGAACACACTGCACTAGGCACAATTCAGTCACAGCCATATAGGGCTGAGACTGATAGCCGCCAGCAGACGTGAGCCACGAACCATCGCAATGCCAGGGGCAGCACTGCTCTACGCTGCTTTCAATGAGGTTAATTGGCTACTGCCGACGCGAACAACTGCAAGACACTGCAAGCACGTCTGCCCGGACACTGCAAGCACATGCAAGCAGACAGCCAGGTTGACCGAGCTCGCGAGCTGTCACGAAGAGCGGGCCGTTGTATTGACCTTTTGGGCAAGTGCAAGACAACTCAAACAATCCTCATCAACTCCTCGCCATCAGGCTTCCAGATAATCGGAAGTCTGGAAAGGACCAACTCAGTGCAGCGCATCGCAGACTCGACATGCTGGAAGCCCCCACAGCGGACTCCAGTCTGAAAGGCAGACGCAGCAGGAGCCGGTCTTTGATACTTCTACGTTCTCCGTGCGCATTCTGCTTAGAGCATCTTAGAGCCCTGGTCGGATCTGCCATATTCTGCCAGCCCAAGATCGAAAGCAACCAGCTCTCAAGCAAATCTCAGCCTGCGCCAGGCCCATTGGCACAGTGCCGGTGCCAAAATGCCTTTTCTGGATTGCAAGGTGTAAGCTAAACGGCTCTAATTAGCAAGAGATCATGGAGAAGATGTGAGTCGCAGAGGCATGTGCAGAATGTATACGAAAAGTGCCAGAGAATGCTGTCCCTAGCACTGTTATTAGATCATTAGTAGTACCCATCAGTACTCACCCCACATCCCCACGCTTTGTGCAGGCCTCGGCTCTTTTGGCGTAGTCGTCTCCAGAACTGGCCAGGACACTTTGTACAACAACATGAGCCGATGAACGAATCGCTAGGTGGTCTGGGGCTATCAGTAAGGCAAACTTGCGCTGACAAGACTGAGAAGTCCCGACACCATGGATCCCTTCGTTCCCTACAGGCTCTTGCGCAACAACCGTGAAACTGCCCACATCTGCCCATCTGCTTCTGCCTGCGGTACGCAACACCGGCTCGCTGGTGACGTTGGGCATGCGCCTTCCTGGCATCCTGCCCAAAGCATCCAGTATTTTCCAGCATTTTCCAGTAGACTCAGATTGACAAGTACCTGGTTGCCGCAGATGTCGCTGAAGGAGGTGGCTCCTGCAGAGGCTCTAGACTCTGAACCCGCATGCAGAACTGCTTGCTTGGCTACCTGAATCTACCTGCCTTCTTCTTCCAGTCTTCAAGTTTGGTGGAACACTTTCAGCACATGCTCACACCCCGGAGCCGCACATCTTCTTTTTTTCTCGGAACGCAGAGTATCAGTGTAGTATCAGTGTGGTATCAGTGGCGAAGTCACGTGCTTTCAGCACTATGGACTGCAGGATGCCCAGGGCCCAGGCTGCCCCCCCTCACAAAAGAAGCACTGAGTGAAGCAGACACCTCCTCTCTATATCTCTCTATCCTTTTTTTCCATACACACACAACATCACATATCGAAAACCATACGAGATTGTTCTATTCGGCACAAGTTTTCGTGCATGGCTGTCTTGCACAACAGCCATGTCGTCTGAAGACCAGAGGCGCGAAACTTGTCTTGAGGCGTGGCCACCTGACTAGCCTGCACCGCTGCACAGTGATGTCACGAGAAAAACTTGCAAGGACATCCATTCAGATAAAGGCTGTCGCGTGCGACGGAAAAGCAACTTGCACGCACACAGCCAAGCTATCACTAGGATCAGCAATTTATCGACATGTAACTGGCATGTATCACGCGGCGGGCATGGCTGGAGAAGCTATCAGTGCCACCAGTGCCACGGCCACACGCACCTCGGGAGGTCTTCTGCTTAAGTCAGACATTTTGCCCCACAGCCCTACCGTCATCTACCGTAATCTGCTGAAGCTGAACTATCACAGGGCGTGCACGTTGAGCACCGAACACACAGAGACACGCACCCAGACCCCAAAGTCCAGTCACAATCCGCTGTGCCCAGAACATATGACCGGCTTTGAACGCGCAATCGAGCGCAACCGAGCGTCATCCGATTCGATTTAACCTCTGCAATCTCGCGACCCATGTCAGAGCGTGCTTTCGGTGGGAAGCATTTAAGGCCGTCGAACAACTCTCGAGGTCTGATTGAGACTACAAGTAGCTCCGCTGCTCGAAAGTCCACGGGATTTTTGAAATGGCAAGGTCGTGGTTGTTTCCCTGTTGGTTGACCATCCGAAGAATGCAAATACTTCCCAACAACAGAGACACAGCAACTACAAGCTGCCGAAGTCACACATCGCAGCACAGTCTGCAATCTGAAAAGTTAGTACCGGCGAAGACCCCAAACAGCATGGATGTAAGAACTTTGGGAGGCGCCACCCCATCTGAAAACCTCTCGCCCCTAGCCCCAGAGCCGCGGGCCCCCAGCTCCAGAACCGCGTGCCACGGCCCCCGAGTCCACAGCCGCTTCCAGAGGAGGAGAGGACCCCAATCGTTGCTGTTCGGGGAAAAAATAGGAATGCGACGCGCATGCCAGAAGGATCTTCTTGCTGTTCGCACTTTCTAGCATTGGACAGCAAACGAGTCACACCGTACTTCTCTCTTGACGGAATTCATGGCTGGTCCGTATTCAATGTTTCGCAATGTTCCACAGAGATTCTGTCTTCCTCAACAGACATGTTCTGTGGCCGCATCGGTAAGCCTGAAGAGGGAGCACACCATGACTGATTTTTGCAAGGCACCGACTCGGCCTTCTCATCGCCACCAGTGCCACTGTGAAGTTGACTCAGACACATGCTGACATCTAGCGTCAATGAAGCCGGATCCCGACCTAGGCTTTGTAGTCATGACAGAAACTCCAGCATGGCTCAATGCATCATGGAGAGCGCAAGAGCAGGCGGTGCGTGACCACTACAGGGTGCCGTACGCGCAGGCGCAGTATCCATCCTCCTGAACTGCCCGAGACGAACAACTTTTTTGATCGAAAACCCATGAGCTGAGAGAATGCGTGATCTGAGAAACAGCAAGCAACCATTGAACCCTGTCAGCTTTTTGCGGTGACGCAGTCCTCGCATGCCACATCCCCCAGAGACTTATTGCACGGGAGAGTCCTCAGGTCTGTTAAGCTGAGTTGAGTGAAGCTGTCTAGCTAGGTTGGCTAAGGGCTCAGTGCTTAGAGTGCACGCAGCTTCACGCATGGGATGGCAACACATGGCACATCGGCGACGTTGTGTTCTTGCTTTTCCGACATGGTAAAGCAGCGAGCCAAACCTTCCCATATCTTATGCGAGAGCTGTTGGTCTGACCCTATATAGACATGAGACAGGCTGAGAGCTCGGCGAATTGCAGCGGCTGCCTACGTCTTTAACGACTTGGCAGCGGCCGCCAATGGCCTGCAAAACTCATCGGAATCCATCCCAGTCACGGTGAGGTCAGGCGATCGCAAGCACATAGAGTTCTAAGGCACTCGCGCAGAAGCCTGTCTTGCAGACACATTCGCCGGCCCTGTGTGATCAGGAACTTTGACACCAATACCAGAATGTGCTCGCGAAGAATCCTGAAGGCTAGGAGCCCTGCTGACAGTCAACAGCACCTCTTGACGATGCACAGCCCCAGAAACGGCACCTGCGCCGAAAATTTGACGCAGAGCTGTAGTTCTCCTAGTTCAGCAAACGACAGCTTCGACACGAGCCGGGCACCCTCCGCCGGTCTTCTTGGCGCACGTTTTCTGATCCTAGAACATCGATCGTTTGCAAACAGATCCCAGTGCTTTTCCATGCATCACTCGGGACATGCCGCAGGCAGCCAAGAATCCACAGGAATGCATTTTCCATCGCGTCCCCTCCAGCCCTGAGCACAGATGCACCTGACAGAGATCCGTACTTTCCAGACATTTTCGGATACTCCGGCTGATGCTGTTGAAGCAAGTTCCGGGGCCTCCCTCCCAAGCACTTGCTTGGACCGACTTCCACCTGGTCACAGACATGGTACCTCGGTGCTCAGACTTGCTGCTGAAACCTACATAACACGGATCATTTGCATTTACACTAGCACGACTCTGCCTGCGAGAGCGGCTCGTCCAAGCTTCAGGCTACAGCACTAGCGTTGTGGTGGGCCGAAAGCAAGCCCAGGCTTCTGACACCGTGGTGCTGCCACAGTCAGTGGGAAGGGTTGCTGGTTTTACAACAACCTAAACCCTTGGTATCCCTTAGTAGTCTCAAGGCCCCGCACTGCAAGGGCCATGACTGCGCGTTTGTCGTCGCAAGAAGGCTGACGGAAGAAGTGGGCGCTAACATCGTGTGAGGCGACGATGACCCTGTGCATAAGCTTGAAGATGTGAAGGGACGCATCTGCTTATCGACGGCCCCCTGGATCTCAGGGTCTTTGTCGCCTTGGAAACAGCCTTGGCATTCAACTTGCGAGTCAAGGTTTCGCGATCCCGTGCGGCAACGCAAGGATGCTTGCTCAGCCGCACTCCCTCATCTAATGCTTCTGGAGAAGCGGTGGGTGAAATCAGGGGTGTCATGACGGTTTCAGCGTTTAAAGGCGCTCTGGTGCTCGTTGTGCTGCACGCCTTCATCTACTGCTTTTGGCAAGGCGGTGAAGGCAGGGTGTCATGGCGATTTGAAGGGGCATGCTAAAGGAATGCCGAATGGGAAAAAAGCTCTCCCATGCCTGCACCCACTTTCGGGCTGGGCTACTCGAGCAGTGGCTGCCAGCCGACCTCCGCAGAGTAGCGCAAGTCTTTCGCCAGCGTCGTGGCTTCTACTTGAGATGAGCTCGTCAGCCATCCACAGGCCACGGGGTTCCCCGACTCGCGAAGCAAGGGAGAGGACTTGCCAATCTTTGGCTTGCAAACCCTTGCGACTTGCGCTGCGCTGCACCCAGTCGTTCCGGAAAGCAGGGCTCAAAGGCGACAGCTGGCAGGTGGCTCGTCGCAAGGCGGCAGCTTACGCCTGACGCGGTCTTGGTGCGACGTCCAGGTGTCGGCTGCAGAGCCTCGTGCAGCTCAAACTCCAAGCCCCTCATCAAGGCGAGCACTTCCTGCTTGCCCTCACGGAGTCTTAGCGCTCTTTTCGGGCTTCGAACCTCATCGAAAACTGCTCTCGCAGTCGCTCATAGGAGCAGGTCCCTTAAACCCTATACTGCTGGCGTCCTGGAATCCGTCAAAAGGCGTCTGCGTGCTGGCTTGCAAGCCTTGCTCCAAGTTGGGCCTCACTGGCAAGGCGTGGTGCCTGCCATTGCCCGGGGTTGGGCGTGGCCCAGGCAATGCCGGAGGATGCACCTCAGCCTGCTGCTCCTGCGGCTTGACGGAGCCGTGCTCTCTCGATCCTCCTCTTCCGCTTTGCAGTTTCTCTTCTTCCGCTTGCTGCTCCTCTTCTTCCAACCTCCTATCAACAGGTCATTCGTAGGTTGTTTTCGGCCATAGGCTGACGCCCCAAACCCCTAGATCCTGCCCTCACCTGCTGCTTTCGGGAAAGATGTTTCCTGCATGCCGTCGCCCGCCTCTTGCATGAGATGTTCAGGAGACGGCCACTCCCCCAGAACCGTCACGGGCATGGCAGTTCTGAAAAGTAGACAACTATGAACTTACCTTACAACTCTAAGCCAAGTCCCTCTGTCAATGTTGGAACAGGTCTGATTCATCAGTGCTGAGGGCGTTACTTGCAGTCAGTGCCAGAGTATGCTTCAGTCAGGAGGTCGTGTCCAAGTGGTGTAGACAGCTCGTCCCGCCAATCTGCGCGCAAACATGGTGAGGTCTTTCTTTGCCTGCTCCCTCTTCACAGCTCGAAAGTAGCATCGTCCGAGGCCCAGTCCAAAATAGGATTTCCAATCCTGGGACTATGCAAACATAACTCACAAGGCAATGCTGGACATGGCCGCAAGAAGATGTGCATACCGACCCGAGGCCTTGCGATCGGCTACATCTTCGTCTTCACCGTCACCCTCTTCTTTCCTGCACGTACGTGGAACTGCTTGTTCCACAAGGTAAGCCCTTCTAAGGACTAAGGCCATGGCAAATCTACGGCAGCTGCAAACTGCAGAAATTGGAAGGCCTGGAAACCGTTGAACGACTTTTCGTCCGAAGTATTCGAAATGTATGCGCAGGTAGCTTCAGGTTGCTTCATGCAGTCGACAACTTGTAGGTCTTCATAACTGCTTACGCTTTCCCTCACCGATTGAGGCTGTTGCGCATTTCTGGCCGGGACGAGTTGAACACTCGGCGTCCTAGCAGGACCGAGACCCAAAAGCTCGCAAATTGCCCTCGAACTACACCTGCATCCGTAAACACATGATTTTATTCAAAGACACATCTCGCATGTGCGACATGGCCTGCTGCAGTGCATCACCCAAGCGTCTCTTGGACCTTTCGCTCTCGCAGGCTGGCTAGTACGAGTTGATTTCAGCAGGACCAGCAATAATCGTTAATCTGGGATGTTCTGCCTTCTCCTTGCTTCTGCTTCAGGTGATGGTAGCGAGAATGCAGGCGTGGACAAGTGCAAACTTTCTCGAGGCCACAGCTCAGACAGTTACCACCAGTGGGAGTTTCATGGCGATGCCGCCACATGTGCGGAGGTGTTTATTCCTTCCTAGGTCTGGCTCTGCTGTTGCTCTTTTCCTAGGTCTGGCTCGACGCCTCTCTGTGCTGCCTCTGTGGTTCATAGGCTGAAAATACTGTAATTTGACGAGTTCTCCGCGTATCGCGCTACTGGAGAATGACAAACACCGTGCCAAAACCTGTAAGTCACCGTATTGATGTACGTTCGCGTGTCTGACAATGCTACAATTCGTGGAAAATACAGTCTTCACGGGCTTTTCACACTCTGAATAGCAGTGTTCTCGGTCCTGGGCAATTACATTGAGAACACTCCAAATCCTAGCAAGTATAGTATTCACGTGCCTTAAACACTGTAACAAAATGCCGTGTTCTCAGCATGTAGCAAGTATAAGTACAGCATTTACGGGTGTTTAACAGTGTTTGCTGCATTTCAAGCTCCTGTACACTTACAAGAACGCGACACAAAATGCAATGCGAACCATTTTTGTACGTCGGCAGGCCCCCCCCCCCCCCCGCCCCATTTGCGAACACGATGCTCGCATGATGGGATTTGGAAGGGATTCGTATGGTTCTCAACCAAACTTTGCACGGCTTCAAACAGCTGGGGGTTGGGGGGCGCAGCCCCCCCCCCGTTTGCAAACTCATATGATGGGTTTGGAAAAGATTCATATCGTCCAAAAGCATAAAGAACGGAGGATGGGTTTGGCCATGTGCAAACACATCCAAACGGATTCATATGGTCTTGAAGCAAGCTTGCACGGCTCAAGAATTGACCAGGGGATCGCAGGACCAAGGGTCCGCAGGACCAGAGGACATAGGACCAGAGGACCGCCACATGTATTTCGACAGAAAAAGAATGTGCGCGCCATGGTCAGCCTCACCCAGCATCTTATGTTCCAGACCTTTCCTTACAGAGGCTTTTCACGCAGCCACGGTTTGGCTGGACCGGTGCCAGAGCCTGCAGCCTTCGTCCCCTTCAGCTTTGCAACATTTCTCTGCGCTTCGCTTCTCCGGAGGTCGACCAAAGGCTCTGTCTGGGGTAACTCGATTCAAGACAATCGAAGACCAAAATCGGTTTGGCATCTGAACATATCTTAACCCAGACACAAACTGCAGAAGACACAGACGTCAAAGCAGCATCCCCTGACTAAGGAGCAGAATGTCAGAAGGGCTTTGGACTTTTGAGGGTTTAAGGCTAAGAGCGTCACACGAGGCTGAGAGTCTGCGATTTCGAGCATAGAGCTTCCAGTCCAGTCAATAACAACAGTCATACAAAGCCTAGCTTTCGACAAGAGTTGTCAAAAAAACAACTTTACTGCTATGTTTCAAGGGAGGTCTTCAACTTTACTACGTGCTGGTTTCCGGATGCTTGCTTCCTGGAAGGTGAGAACACGAAGTTCAGCCTTCGGAATGAGTTTTTACCATGCGTTCACTGCAACACTGCATAAGCAATTTCTTATATCTTCGGAACCAGATCATAAACTAGTTTGCGAACAAACGACTGCTAATAACTTTCTGCTTCTTGTTTAGCAAAGCAAGACCATGCAGTTCAAAAGAAGAGAAGATTGCAATGTACAATGGAACAACCAGATTGCAATGCAAAAAATGCAGTACAAAAAAATCTCAACTTCTTGACAAAGACTCTCAGCAGGGCAAAACCCAACTTAACATACAGCTTCTTTGCAAATGAGCTCACACCAGGCAGGACAGGAAGGTGGCCCCCTGAGCTCCAGACTCGGAAGTTTGGCCGGCCTAAGGACCAAAGCGAAGAAAGCGTGGCGCCATGTCGCCGATCGAGTCTTATTGGCTGGCTCTTCAAAGGCTCTAAGAGATTGATCCGGGCTGGCCTCATTGGCGGGAGAAGAGCCCAGCAAGACCTGGGCTGGGCTCAGACTCGTTCAACATTCCAGAGATCACAGAGACCTGCAACTAGAGTAACTAGAGCAGTCTCGGGATCTTGCGAGTGGCCAAAGCCCCAGCAAGCATCTCATCCGAGACGTCATGGGCAACAAACAGCCGGGCTCTCGCAGTTGTCTTCTTAGACACTACGACGCGTGATGCAACGTCGTGCACATAACAGCACTGCTTCTGCCGCCAGAGACTAATATCATGTTTGGCGGCCGCTCGTGGCATGGTGACAAATCTAGCGCCCTCTAGTAAGCAGCTCAAAGCAGCTGAAAGCTGGACATGCCCAATTTGCCCAATGGCCCAATGTGTCTTCAAGCTTGTTTGGAGCACTGTGGTGCCCTAGCCCGCATGAACCCCAGAGCCTAAGGAGGCTGCGGCAAGTGCTGCCTTCCTGGCACAATGACTAAGCGGCATGTCCGCCGTAGCTCGACTGGGTCCTACTGGTAACCCCCTCAGATGTCCATCGTTGACCGCTGCGCCGTCACAGCCTCAGAGGATTCCATTTTCGAGCCGACCTGGCACAGATCTGTGATGAGGAACCTTGGAGTTTTTGCAGCTAGTGGGTGGTGTTCCATCAGCACCCAGAATCTTTGAGAGGGGCAGGGGGGGGGGAGAAAGCAAGCAGGAAGCACACTACCCAGAATCTCGCTCAACGCGAGCTATGAGTTATGGCACCTCCTAGCTTTCATCAGCTCCCGCCCGCCTGTGATCCCGGCTTGGCATGCACCTCCTGAGGTGAGGTGGGATTTCTGGATGCTCTCTCTTTCTCTGTCGCTTGCAAAGGTTTTCCAATACCTAGATAGAGATCACACCTGTTCTTCGAGCTTTGCCCGGGCCTCTGATGGATCCACGTAGAGGCGGCTGCGCTTCGGCACCGACGCCATCTGGTGACAAGGCAAGCTCTTTGGACTGCGTGCTCTGTGCAATGGTAAACACAATTGCCGAACTCTTGTGCTTTGCTCGCCTTCTTGCGCTCTTCAGCCTGTCTTCGAAGGGCGGCGTTGCGGATCGGCTCCATAGAAGACCTGAACTGATGCACCTAACTAACACCTACCGATGCTGCTTTGCTTCACACCCTGGTGGCTCTTCATTGTAGGCGGGTTCTTTACGGGCACTTATTTTCAAGCCACCCCGCTGCACATTTGCTCCTTTAGCAAGCTTGAGGGCAGACCATGGGAGACCGGTCCGACAAGGTAGGGATTGGGATTATCATCTTGGAGCTCAGCGGTGACACTCATCATCGGCACAACCCTCGATTGTCCTGGCCTGTTTAAGCTCTTGCTGTGGTCTGACACCTCTCCCTTGACCGTCGACTCGGATGGATGGTTGATGTTTTGCAGCTCATCATGCTGCGTACGAGAAAGGGCCCGCATTGCGGTGCCTTTGGCTGTGCTCCGAGAAGGTGTTACAGTTTGAGCCTGACCCGTCTGACCCTCCGCAGATTGAGAGAGTGAGTGAGTTAAGGGAGTAGCAGCTTGGATTGGTGTTGCGTGCATCATTGCGTACTGACAGGGCGACACTGGCCAAGCTGAGTGCTCCAGGACTCCGCCACTATGTCACAAACCTACATGGGGAACTCCTGATGCAGATTTTGTACGTTGTCCATGTACGATCTTGTAACCTGGAGAGACCCTCGCCAAGGGGGGATCACGCTATGGTTGTAAGACCACGGCGTCAGATCGAGTGGCTCCAAGTCCTTGGGTCCAATTCGCACCTCAGGCCCATTAAGCGTTCACATGCAATTATCTTTACATGTTTGGGGAAATGTGTGGAAGCATTCGGACCCTTCGGGCCACCAAAGTGCGCTGGGACTGCTACTGCCGTGATATTGTCGAAGAGTCGGGGCTGATTTCGAGCCTTCCAAGGTTATCATGAGCGACCCGTGATCTGAAGAGAACGGGTTGGACACTTCCAAGGATATCCGGGGGGATACTTCCAGGAAGTGCTTTCGGTCGGATGTCTAAGCAAGTCTCGGCCTGGCCCCGCTCCAGCATGTCCGTGGACCAGCGCTTCACGGTCTTGCTGCCCAGCTCGGTCTGAGAAGGCACCGCAAAGCAGCCAGAGACCCCTGTTACGTCGTAAAACCCCGATAAGCCTTTGGTTTCCTGTCACCTTATGTCCTTTCACGCGCTCCTGGCGGCCCAAACTCGTCTTGCCAGCTGCCAGCGCTTTTGCGGAATCTGCACGGCGTTCACGTCTGCTCTCGAAACACAAGATCATCGCGTGAGATCAAGAAGCTTCACGGCCTGGCATTGCTTCGTAGGTGTCCCTGGGTTCATCTCCGAAGGGTAGCTCGGTGACTTTGAAAGCAGGCTCGCTGTGATTCCTGGACAAAGTCTCAGAACTCAAACCTGTCAAGCTCGATGCGTCAGTTGTAGCTATGTGCCTGGTCACAGTCTGTGGCGGACTAGTCCCAATGCGGGCATCTTCAGGGTTGGATACCTCAGCAAACACTGTTGACTAGAAGCCTGGATCTTTGGACATCCTTGTTGCCAGGTGTAGGCCCCAAACCCAAAAAGGAATGTCAGGATGATCAGAGAATTTTGGGTACCTGGAGCTGCAACAGCCTTCTGCACGACATGCCGCTTGAACGTGATCATCGACATTCTTCCGAATGGAAGTCTCGAGCACGGTCCCACCAACAGGCGCACTCTCGTGGGAAGACTTGCGGAAAGCCGAAATGGTTCATGTCATACTCGATCTGCGCAGTATCGAGGAGCATGAGGAGCTTGCGTAGTTGAGACGCAAGCAGCATGCCATCCAACACAGCCGACCTTATCTTTGTGTCTGTTGTCCTGAGACAAACATGGAAAGTGGGCTAACGAGCCTGCAGATACGATGAGGCACCGGAAGCACACACACACACTATTCTTCCTCTCTCTCGAACACACTCTCACTCTCTCTCTCCCTCTCTCTCTCAAACTCTCTCTCTCTCTCTCGATCGCTGCCTTTAGCTTTGTGAGCGTCATGGGCTCTTCTTTCGGCTGTCGGAAGTCATACTCGCGCACCTGCCAGCATGCCCATGCATGCCCATGCTGCCCATGAACCGACACCTGCAAGTTGCAACATGACTTCTAGCTACACCAATGGGCTCCAACCGGCTTCAAACTTAACATGTGGAGCGACATGTGGATCATACGTGCCTCTCGTTCGCCGTTCCTGATGGAGAGCGGCACGTAGTACTCGTCGCCATTGAGCCTCAAGTCCTTCAGTAAGAAGATGCTTCTAAGTGGGCCTTCAAGCGAGCTTTCTTCTTTTGCCAAACGTTCTTTGGCAAGATGTCAAACATGTAGACTAGCTCCAGCAGCTGGGCTGTCCTCATTGTCACGCTTCATGAGCTCCTTGCGGGTCTCCAAAAGCCTTCGCAATGCAACTACTGAAGCAGCAGATAAGGCCAGGAAAGACAGCTGAAAATTGCACAGCTGACTGGGCCCGGTCTTGAAATGCCCGCTGAGGGCGACGCTGGCCCCTTGTTCGGAAGGTTGGATCCTCCACCCGCTGCATGCCAACCATCCTGTCAAGATAAGCCTCTACTATACTGGAGGCTGCTAACGTATTTGGCTACAGCTCTCTGCTTTGGCATTCAACATTCATGGCAACGTTTGTAGCGCCCGTCAGTCTTGCATTCACGCTCCGGGTTCACCGGGTAGCTCATGGGCATCAGGCCGCCACGGACACGCGCCAACTGCCCAGGCGAAGAAACTGAAGGAACATAACTGCCATGTTGCCATTCGGCATGAGGAGGTGCATGGGGTAAGAAAGGATAGGAAGCCTGGTGATCTGCTTCTGCACGCTCGCGGATATGCGCAATCGGACCTAAGCCACCAGAAAATCCGAGGACCTCTTGGCTTCTCGCGGCCATATCCAAGAAGCCAACAATCTCGTGGATGTGACTCATGATTTGGGGGTTGGCGCTCCGACACCTGAAGCAGAGCAGAAGCAGAATCGGTTTTTGGGCAGAGGAAACACCGCTAAGCCGTTCAACTATGTCAAACCTGTCGAACCTCTGTTGTGACTGTGCCGGCACGGCTCAAAGGGCGACCAGTGGCTATGCAGTGTTTCGATCGCAAGATACGGTGCCTTTCGCTACTCAGACGCGTGCCCACAACCCTCAATCAAACATAGCGCGTTTACCAGGTACTCGGCTGGCTCACAGCGCGCTGCCCAGTTCTCACCCGCGATGAGCCCGGCAGCCTTGCCCTGCCCAAAAGCGATTTGCGGATTCAGATTGCAGCATGACTGCAGGATGGGCCCTTTGCTGCGTTTTGCCCGCTGCGGCTTTGGAACAGCTTCAATTTGCACAGCGGAAACTTAGATCCTTTGTCCGCCTCAGCCTTGCGGCTTAGGTTCAGCGCTGTCCTGCAAAACATGAAGGCAATGATTTCAACGGCTTCCCACGCTGCAATCGACCTGTCCGGGATCCGTCCTGGTATAGTGCTCTGGAACATGATGGGCATTGAAGTGAGGAGGATACCTGAGGCAGACTCTCGCTCTCCGTCGAAATATCTTTATGCATCTCGTGGTCACTTTGCAAGAAGAATGAATGATACGTCCTAACATCAGCTTATATAGGTGGTGCGCACGTGGAGACACTGGCAGCATTGGCGCTATCTGGGCCGCAGATGACGCCGCGCTTCTGTTTGACCTTCCCGTTGCGAGAGTTGAGAAGTAGGTTGGAGAGACAAAGCTGGGCGGGATGAATAGCAACATCTTCACTAGCGCCATCAAAGTCCACAATTTTCCTCCATGATCGCCGCGTTCATCTACTGCGGAGGCAGGAGTGTATCTGCACATCAGCTTATAGAACGGTATGTATACCTTTATTCAGTTTGCATGCCGGCTACCTTTTCAACCAATGACATACAAACTCCTGCCTGTCGTCGATCAGCAGCCAGTTTAAAGTTGCGGCTGCAAATCATCAATCAGCAGGTCATCGAGTGAGGCCAGAAGAGCAATCAAAACGGTATCCCGGTGCACCACTTTGCTGATTGACTCACATGCTTGCGAATCTCGACCAGCATTATCATTAGCCATCACAGACCTGCAGCCAGTGACATATAATCAAGCTTGTCCTGCACTCGCGGGACGGCTTTCGAGAGCTATGCACATAGGCTGGCACAACTGCAAACAGCACGCTGCGATGTCGTCATAGGACAACTCGCGTGCCAAGTGCCAATGCAAAGCGGCTTTCCATCGCCAGCCATGGAATGTGGCCAACAACTGCAAAAAATTGGTGGCATCATGCAAAACAAATCTCAAGCATTCAATGACTACAGACTCTAGTCACTGGACTAGTCTCGAAGGGCCACCAAATTTGCGAAAGCTGCGATTTGTACATCATTGGTCGAATTCTAGAGCCAGGCATCTCTCTTTGGAAGACCAAACGGGCGTTGTTCAAAATAACGGTCACCCCTGGTAAACGCTCTTTGGAGGACCCTGAGTTGGAACAACATAGAACCACCCCTATCGGGTTTAAGGCTTTTCAGTTTCTTGCACCACTAGCGATGCCTGGACTTCTACTGCGTTCTGCTGGCATTGGCAAATCAAGTCCGAAGTCTTCGACGATCTTCTGTTTCTTCTATGCTCTTCATTCCGAAAGGGATCGAGGTATAACAAGGGACATACGATACTTCATCGGTTATGTCGACAATCGACACTTTGTACAAGCTGCTCTGAGCTCGTCACAGCAGTGCCACAACAGCCCAGAGCCAAGAAATCCGCCCAAACTGGCCGGTTACGGCCAGGTCATGTCGGAGAAGCGTGAGCAATCGAGCAACAGCACAAATCGAGGCAATGGTACTGTTGAATTTGCTATTCGAGAACCACTGAAAGCGGACTTGAGTCCGCTCCCTGCTTCATGGGTGACGCTAAGTTCACCGCAGTTGGCGAGGCTCATTCCTGCAAAGTGCGTCTCAGCAGTTTCTTGCGGCAACACCACAGAGTGGGAATGGCAAAGGCTCCTTCGTGTCATCTCCTGCCCACAACAAAAAGCAAAAACAAGCGAGAATCCGGCTTCAGTGGGTTGCAGCAAGAGCTCAAATGGGCTGCCACGCGCCTGTACCCAGCCACCTGGGCAGGAGCCAAAAGCTTGAGCTCTTATGTGCAGTATGTCGTGGGGGCATAAGGCCAAATCTTGAGCTCAGATTCTCACCCTCGGAAGAGGCGCATTCGCTTGGGTGTCCGGAGCTCGTCAAATTGCTCCTGCAAAAACCAACGCCATCAACGTCCCCAGTGACTCTAGAGTCGGGTCTTACTCAAGTCTCGTCCACATGCCATCGATCCTTTGTCGGCACTTCGTCCACCTTGCAACTTGGCATTTCTTCCAACGCACACGACACATGTCAGAACGAGCTTGAATCTGAGCCAAGGTACGTTTGCTTTGGAATGCACCATCGCCAAAAGCCTGAGATGCTCAACGTGGTTCGCTTTTCGACATGCATCGAGTAGGAAAAGCATACACTGTCTGAAACCATATGCAGAGTCTACAGTCTACGGTGTCTACACAAGTGTACGTCTCACACGAACAAAGATGTGCCAATGCAATGCTTCGAAACTGTTGAAACTGCTCCAGAGTCGGTACATTGCTCGCGTCCGCCTTGAGACTCAGGTGCTCATGGACCTCGGAACAAACCGCTTCGGGTCAATGTTGCAGTGCCGTGAGCCACGGTCATGGCGCACCATGACACACCACGCCCATGGCATCCCATGGGCGAGGCCTCATGGGGAACTTGGGTCACTGCCTCTTCCAGCGTGACACTATTCTCCACGGCTGCCTGAACAACTCTGGTTGGATCCAGGTCCCGAAGCTTGCATGTACGAAAAGTGAGCAAAAGAAACTAGGAAAGACAAAACTTGATCAGTGCCTTCAGGTTTGTCATGGTCTGGTGCATATCTCTCATTTGCTGGCTCGTCGGCACGCGAAGCGTGTCAGCCTTCCCGAGCTTCAACTACTGCAGCAGCCGCTTGCTCAATCACAAAGCAACATTGACGGAGCAGCTGAGCCTTTCTTGCCACAATGCTTCGAAGCTCCTCAAAGGCAACCCGGAAAGCGCGAATGAAAGGCCAAGCAAATCGGCAATGAGTCTAGATGGCGGCGGCATTGGTTTAGTAACGAGAATCAGAAAAGCAACAGGTTTCGGCCTGCCACTGCTGAAGGGTAGGTACGCGGTCTGCGTTGGCCTTCAATACTGGTACATATTTCTGCCGATGTCCGCAAGATGCAAACCGGCCGATCTCTGAGCCAAGCAAAAACGACGGCGGCCTTCGACTTTAAGATGTCCATCACCTCGCTCTTCGCTGCCGAGATCATGGACTGGGCCTGAAGCAAACTCTTGGCTTGCGTCACGCAGAGCAGGCAACGAGAGGGCGTAGCTACCATGACAAGAAAAAGGATTCACACCATGACAAGGAAATTTTCGGCACCACGACAGAAAGAAAACTTACCACGACAGCGAATGAAACCTGAGCACGACAAGGAATGAAAACCTCGCTATGTTTAGGAGAAACCCAAACCTCATTTTCAAGCCTCAGAAGCTCCAAAACGGTGGTTCCCCCGCATTTTCTGCTTGCCCCAGCCCCCCCCCCCCCCCCCGCCCAGCCCAGCCCAGCCCAGCCCAGCCCAGCCCCCACCGATGCGGGGAATCACCGTTTTGGCGTTTTCAAGCCTCAAAGCTCCAAAACTACGAATGCGGGGGAATCACCGTTTTGGCGTTTCAAGCCCCCCCGGGGAATCACCGTTTTGGCGTTTTCAAGCCTCAAAAGCTCCAAAACGGTGATTCCCCCGCATTTTCAACCCTCAAAAGCTCCAAAACGGTGATTCCCCGCATTTTCTGCTTGCCCCAAGCCCCCCCCCAACCCGAAGCCTGTGTTACCACTGTCGAAGCCGCTGCTAACACTGAAGCTTGCTTGTCCCAGCGGGAAGAAGTAGGCATACTGACCCCTAAACCCTTTTCAGGCTAAACCCTAAACCCTGGTCAGGCTAAACCCTAAACCCTTGTCAGTGTAAGAAAAAACCTTGTCGCTGCAGTTGTAAAGCTTGTCATTGTGCAGAAAACTGTGTCGTGGTAAGAACGGCAACGGCCGCAGGCCTTCTGGACATGCTCCTGCGCTGCGACGTCATCCCGATCGGCCTGTCGCCCAACACCACGAGTGTGGATGGGCAGTATCTGCAGCTGCACGCCGTTGCCTTGCCCCGCAGCTCGGCTACGACGGCATCGAGGTCTGCCTGACACAAGCAAAGGCAAGGTGCATGGCGCCAGGCAGCTCTAGGACCCACTTTGACACTATCACTTCTTGAACTCTTCGCAGGCTCCTGGCCTTGTCAGCGTCCCTATTCTCGCAAAGCTCCTGCACCAGATCGGCCTTGTGCACCGAGCATGGTAGCGGCTGGTAGCGTGGAGCATCGTGCAGTAGCGCGCGGTGTTGCTGAACAGCGTTCGGTAAAGATACCTTCTGCTCCTGCAAATCCCTGGACCGAGTACGAACCCGCTGAGCACAAGCGATGCACTTGCACTTCCCGAGGTGAGCTTCTTGAGAACAGCAAGGCTTGCGGAGTCGAGCACAAAGCTTCTGGGCCAGCTTTGTGGGCACACCTTTAGTCAGACCTTGCTGCCTTCGGTCAGTGTTGGAGAGATATTTTGAAGACCCCGTGTACGCCGCCGGCCTCAATGTCATGGGAATTCAGTGACGGGGTGTTCAATTGCTGGTGGAGCTGCATGATTGGCACTTGTGTCGCTTTCCGCTCGCCAGGAGCCCACCCCACCCCAAAACCAACTTGGAAGCATCTAGGCCCGGCAGTTGCTCGCCCCAAAGGCACAGGAGCGTAACATCCCGAACATGTTCGCACAGCTCACACTCCCAGCTTCTTTTGGCGTGAGCTTCAATAATGACTCGAAACAGTCATTCCACTCGTCCCAACATGTTCTTTGGACGCTAAGATTCCTGTTTGGGGAACAAATTGGAAAAACTCACATGTGGGGCTTTCTTCATGTCCAGGAATGTGGCTTTACGAAGACGTCGATAAAGTTCTGTACACGATGCGGAGAACTGTATGTGAAAACGATATGCATCTTCAGCGAAACCCGGGACTCACCCCTCGTCTGCTTGCCCTACATCACCTCCGACCCTACTTGTAGTATCCATAACAACATGACCTTCTCACAACTCGAGTCATCATCTCGCAGGGATTCAAAAACCAAGCCTGCTAGTGTAGTGCTTCGCTAAGGTGCGACAGGACATCATGTCATGAAACCTGCAGCTTGCCATATCTTCCATGTTCTGTATAAAAATCTTGTGTGACGACATCGTATTTTGCAGCGAAGAACAGGTTTGCATTGCGTGCGTCAATGCAAGCCTGGTCCAAATTGCGAGTATCTGGGCTTGTGAAAGGCAAGCCGTTCAAAAACAACGATTGGAAGTAACAAGAAGCTACAACGCAACCTTCTACGTGAAGAAACTGAGGAGCACCTAACAGGAAGCCATGCCCGCCAGCGTCCCCGTAGCTGTCTGTCATGTTGTGCTTTACATCTGGAAGGAAAAGTGGAAACCAATCTGTCGAATACGATGTTTGCGACAGACTTTACCAGGTGCAGCGGTGCACTTCTCTTCGAAAAAATCATTTAAAAAAATCCTTGCAGATTCAGGGAAGGTATGACAATGCTGCTGTTTACGCCGCCCTCTGCTTGCTAAAAGAGGTGGCTCGCAGCTGCCGCCGAACATGTGTACACTGGAGTTTATGTCCTGAAAAGCTTGTGCTGCTTAACAGCAGGCCACCACCAACTCCTCTCTTTTGGGTCATGTTGGGTTATGCTGATGTGTCATGAGTCAGGGGCTGCCAGTGCTGCGTGCAAACACCATGATGATACATACATACATACATACATACATACATACATACATACATACATACATACATACATACATACATACATACATATGTACAGCTTCAAATTCAACATGTATATAATTACAGAAATGCATATGTACGTGCACAAACGATGTGTATATGTATACGTACACGTATAAGTATTGGACATACTTGCAGAAGCTATACGCTCATGCTGTGGCTGTGGAGTGCCTCGCTTAAATGCTGCGACTTGGCCTCAGACTGTTCCGCGACATCTGGCAAAGTGCGTGTCCATCTCAACAACCTGCAGAAGACCACTACTCAAACACTCCTCAAGAGGCGCGCATGACTTGTTTCAAGTGCTCCTGCTCCTGGCAGCTAGAGTCATCCAAGAAGATCCGGACTTGTGAACCACGGCGCATGGTCAACACAGCATAGGAAAAAGCTGCACAGTTGCCTTCTGGTTCAAGGATCCCGTCAGCTGCTGCACTTGCTGCTGAAGGGCAAGGACACCCCCAACGTCGGCCTGTGTCATGCGAGAGCAGGGCAAGCAGCAGCAACGGTGTAGACATTTGCCAATTACATTTGCCAACTGTCAGCTCTTGTGGCTTTCGTGCAGTTTTATACAGTCGCGACTGGTGCGCACTGTCGAGCCTTGCTGTCGAGCGTGGCCCAAACTTCTTCGGAGGTACTTGGAGTCTCCGGCTCGGCCTGCTGGTCAACAGTCACTCGAATACTACCCCAACTCCGAAGGCCGTGAACATCCATGCGAACACGCCTCTTACATGCCGCATGTTTGTGCATGTCTCTTACTCTCTTGCCTTGAGATCACGGAGCTGTTGCAAGCTTGGTGTAGACGCGTAGCCAGCTTCTTACAAGGCATCCGGTACATCAACAGCTCTGGCCTTCTCGTCCAGGATGGTAGCCAGCTGCTGCAACTTCTGCTGCATGTCCAGCACTGTTGCACAACCCGCCTGTGAAGCACGGGCTGGATCAGCTGTGCAGTGCATCTCCTCCCTTGACCCTTCGTAGCATTCAGCTCGACTCTTGCAGCTTCTTGGCAGCAAATATGTAACGTGTTGTGTCGTCTCAGGGCAAGATAGGTCCAGAAAGTACCACCCTATCATAAGCGTCAATAGGCCCCCACGTCCCCCATGTCCTTTTCTACGCTGCAGGCCTTCCGTTTATTTACCAGAACTCTATGCAGAGGCCCTACCTTGCGTACAGATCCCTTTTTCCATAGGCATAGACCCTATCCCTACCTGTACCACCTCTCTACGCAACACAGAGCCCTATCAGTTTTCCATAGACACCTACCCTCCCAACGATAGACCTACCTCTAGAACTCTAGATCCCTCTACCATAAAAAGCAACAAGCTTAGCTCTGAGGTGCGCGTATGTCTGTGCGTGCGCCTGTGCGTGTGCGTGTGTGCGTGTGTGCGTGTGTGCGTGTGTGCGTGTGTGCGTGTGTGCGTGTGTGCGTGTGTGCGTGTGTGCGTGTGTGCGTGTGTGCGTGTGTTCGTGTGTGCGTGTGTGCGTGTGTGCGTGTGTGCGTGTGTGCGTGTGTGCGTGTGTGCGTGTGTGCGTGTGTGCGTGTGTGCGTGTGTGCGTGTGTGTGCGTGTGTGTGCGTGTGTGTGTGTGTGTGTGTGTGTGTGTGTGTGGGGATGTGTTGTTGAAGCGAATACTCAATGTGTACGACGAGTTTTCCTTCCAGAAGTGCTGGCGCCGGAATTTCTCTTGCATGTCGTACAAGGGAAAACGAGCGCCACTTTTATATGGCAGGTTTTTCTTCCAGAAGTGCGCGCGCCGAAAATGGATGCTGCCATGTCGTATTGGATCTATATGGAGAAAAACACCACCTTGTTCCGGCAAGTTTTCCTTCCACAAGTGCTCGCACCGGACAAAAAAAAAGCCGCTTTGTTGCGGCAGGGTTTCCTTCCAGAAGTGCTCGCGCCGGAAATGTATCAGGCTTTCCTTCCAGGAGTGCTCGCGCACGAAATTTGTCTTGCCATGTGTATAGGAAAAAGTACACTTTGTTACTGCCAGTTTTCCGTCCAAAAGCGCCCGCACCGAAAATTATCTTGCCATATCTTCCGGGAAAAAAGTGGCGCGGTCGCACTTGCATCGTCTATGAATCACTACAGAACGCAGGTCAGGCGAACCTGCAGACGTAGGAGACAGATAGACCCCTATCGGAAAGGTCATAGGGGTCTATGCCATGACCGTCCTCCGTATAAATCCCTACTCAACCTATAGGAGGGGCCTATGCATAGGTACTCCGCTTTCAGACCCCCATGGATACAGAAAGGGAGGCTGTGGGTCTACAAGCCTGGGGTCGATAGACCCCTACCCGATAGGGGTGGGTCTTAATGGACGGGTATTTTCCAGACTCTTACTCGAATCAGGTCAGTTTCGCGACCATCCTAATTTGACTAGACTGGCTGGAGTCGTCTCCCAAACATGACATAAAGAAGGACCTGGCCTTGTCTTCCAGTGCTGTGGACAGACTGGCGAGCTTGTCTGCGTCTGCCTGTGAGAAGCTGTCCCATCCGCTGCACTTCCCAGCGACAAGCCCTCCCAGACACCCCACACCCCCGGAGTTTCTGTGAAGAGAGGCCTTCATCTCCAAGGTGCCCAGCACTTGCTGAACACTGCATTGCAGCTCATGTTGCTTCATCTTGACTTCAGAGATTTGAGCCTCACATGGGCACCCGCAAGAGTTCAGTAAAGACTGGAAGAGCATTCGGATCATTGTTTCTCGTTTGACTGACTCTTACTCGTATCAGCACAAGCAGGGCCTCTCACCACACAAAGCCCGACCAGGCTTGATACTGTAGCTCTCTGGAGGACTTTGGGTTCGTGTCCCTTTGTAGGGATGATCTGGGATGGCATACTCTACATACCCACTCGAATGAATGAGGCACCGACATCGACCGACGTGCAATTGTCACAGCCGAATGCACAAGGACCCTCCTGGCCTCATGATCCACAGGTGCAGGAGCATGTTGAAGCTGGTCCAGCTTCTGGTGCAGTGTGCTGATCTCTTCGGCTTCAGCCTGTGACTTATGGATCTTACAGGCCAGGAAATCCAGCAACGAGCGCTCTCAGCGGGCCTTCTGCTCCAGTGCAAGCTCCAGGCGATCCACCTCCTTCTGCAGCACCGCGGCATCACCCTGCACCTAGTGCTCTTGGCCACTCACTGCCAACCGATGCATCACTCGCGTCAGCAGCTCACCCTAGCCTTGTGCGCAAGCGCCGCCTTTAGCTCCATGCTTTCGTTTTCCAGGGCACTGATTCGCTCCGAGGCCTCACAGGGCTTAAGAGCAGCACACCCACAGAGTGCATCGACTCGGAGGATCTCGAAGGATCCGACATTGGACATGTCGCAACGCGATCGGCACGGAAGGCAACGGCCGCAGGCCTTCTGGACATGCTCCTGCCCCGCGACGTCATCCCGATCGGCCTGTCGCCCAACACAACCCATATCTCGGTTCGCACACAAGGGCACAATGATTCGCATGCACAGGAAGCCATGGTGTGAGACAGTGATATCACGCTGAGGTCTCACTTCTTCACATCTTGGCGGGCGCGCGCTCATGACGCGCTGGGACCAATGTCCTGGCCTTGTCCGTCAGAGCCGCCGAAAGTGTCTGGAGGCTGTGTTGCAAGCTGCTGAGATGGCCCGCATCAGCCTGCAGACGGCCCCTTCCAAGGCTACTAGCCTCGGTGATAAGCAACCAATCCCATAACCCATATTGTGTGGCCCGGCCTTCATCTCCAACGAGCTTAGCATGTGTTGCATGCGTTCCTTCATTTCTTGCTGCATCGTCCTCACCTCAGACATCTCTGCCTGGCGTTGGAAAAACGCACCGCGACCTATTGATGAGCCAACCTCTACTGGTGCGGTACTGCAGCCGGGGATACTTTACAGGACTAGGTGTCTATCCAGTCCAAGTGGAGTTCGACTTATGCTTTGCAAGATCCCTGCTTCTCAGGGCACAAAGGGCAGAATGCGAACTGGTCACGATGCCTTAGCTGCTTAGCTTTAAGGTTCTCCTCCGTTGCATTGCCTAAAGGGGACTTGGCATGTTACACCACACCTGGCCTCATGATCCACAGGTGCAGGAGCATGTTGAAGCTGGTCCAGCTTCTGGTGCAGTGTGCTGATCTCTTCGGCTTCAGCCTGTGACTTATAGATCTTACGGGCCAGGAAATCCAGCAACGAGCGCTCTCAGCGGGCCTTCTGCTCCAGTGCAAGCTCCAGGCGATCCACCTCCTTCTGCAGCACCGCGGCATCACCCTGCACCTAGTGCTCTTGGCCACTCACTGCCAACCTATGCATCACTCGCGTCAGCAGCTCACCCTAGCCTTGTGCGCAAGCGCCGCCTTTAGCTCCATGCTTTCGTTTTCCAGGGCACTGATTCGCTCCGAGGCCTCACAGGGCTTAAGAGCAGCACACCCACAGAGTGCATCGACTCGGAGGATCTCGAAGGATCCGACATTGGACATGTCGCAACGCGATCGGCACGGAAGGCAACGGCCGCAGGCCTTCTGGACATGCTCCTGCCCCGCGACGTCATCCCGATCGGCCTGTCGCCCAACACAACCCATATCTCGGTTCGCACACAAGGGCACAATGATTCGCATGCACAGGAAGCCATGGTGTGAGACAGTGATATCACGCTGAGGTCTCACTTCTTCACATCTTGGCGGGCGCGCGCTCATGACGCGCTGGGACCAATGTCCTGGCCTTGTCCGTCAGAGCCGCCGAAAGTGTCTGGAGGCTGTGTTGCAAGCTGCTGAGATGGCCCGCATCAGCCTGCAGACGGCCCCTTCCAAGGCTACTAGCCTCGGTGATAAGCAACCAATCCCATAACCCATATTGTGTGGCCCGGCCTTCATCTCCAACGAGCTTAGCATGTGTTGCATGCGTTCCTTCATTTCTTGCTGCATCGTCCTCACCTCAGACATCTCTGCCTGGCGTTGGAAAAACGCACCGCGACCTATTGATGAGCCAACCTCTACTGGTGCGGTACTGCAGCCGGGGATACTTTACAGGACTAGGTGTCTATCCAGTCCAAGTGGAGTTCGACTTATGCTTTGCAAGATCCCTGCTTCTCAGGGCACAAAGGGCAGAATGCGAACTGGTCACGATGCCTTAGCTGCTTAGCTTTAAGGTTCTCCTCCGTTGCATTGCCTAAAGGGGACTTGGCATGTTACACCACACCTGGCCTCATGATCCATAGGTGCAGGAGCATGTTGAAGCTGGTCCAGCTTCTGGTGCAGTGTGCTGATCTCTTCGGCTTCAGCCTGTGACTTATGGATCTTACGGGCCAGGAAATCCAGCAACGAGCGCTCTCAGCGGGCCTTCTGCTCCAGTGCAAGCTCCAGGCGATCCACCTCCTTCTGCAGCACCGCGGCATCACCCTGCACCTAGTGCTCTTGGCCACTCACTGCCAACCTATGCATCACTCGCGTCAGCAGCTCACCCTAGCCTTGTGCGCAAGCGCCGCCTTTAGCTCCATGCTTTCGTTTTCCAGGGCACTGATTCGCTCCGAGGCCTCACAGGGCATAAGAGCAGCACACCCACAGAGTGCATCGACTCGGAGGATCTCGAAGGATCCGACATTGGACATGTCGCAACGCGATCGGCACGGAAGGCAACGGCCGCAGGCCTTCTGGACATGCTCCTGCCCCGCGACGTCATCCCGATCGGCCTGTCGCCCAACACCACGAATCTGGATGGGCATAATCTCACGCTGCACGCCGTTGCCTTGCCCCGCAGCTCGGCCACAACAGCATCGAGGTCTGCCTGGCACGAGCAAAGGCTTGGCGCATGGTGTGGTAGCGCGGGATCCGCTATCACTTGCTCTCATCTCTTGAACGGATCTGTCGTGGCCTTGTCAGCATCCCTATTCTCGCATAGCTCCTGCACCAGATCGGCCTTGCATCATCGTGGGGCATCCCGCATTGTTGTTGAACAGCATTCGGTCAAGATATCTTCTATTGCCTTCCGCCATAGGCACATACATGTCCACGTGATCAAACCTAAGTTACTGACTTCTGCCTCTGCATCCACGCCGAGCATGCCTACTCCCTCTGAGCATTGCGGGTGTGGAGGCCACTGGTGGCCCTTACATGTTGGCGTGGGGAAAGGAGTTTCGTTTTTCGAGGAATCGTGGAGTGCCTGTTCCAAGCATGCCCGCTACGGATTCTTCAGATTGGCGGCAGCCGGTGGCCCCTTCCGAAAAACAAGTGACATATAGTGAACTTCTGTCAGATCATTTTACACCAATGCTCAGAACGTGGGTCTGTGACCTTTGGCGCGCTCCAACGAGATGCGAGTGGACTGCAGGTAAACGACCACAAAGCTGTCTTCTCTCGAAGAAGACCGCATCAAGGGAGGTGCACGGCCCTCTAACCCTGAACCTTCCACCGGCAACCCGAAGCTTGTCGCATTACTTCGCCCAAGAACCGCGCTGCAGTAATACAGCTTCTTCAGGTTGGGGACGCTCAAAAGGCGCACGCTTTCGCAGAAGTCGGGTGGCCTTGTCTTGCAGAGCCGCCGACAACGTCTGCACGCTCTCTTGCAAGCAGCTCAGCTTGTCCGAATCGGCCTGGGAAGGGCGGTGTCATCACCCCTGCCATAAAGAGCATTCCCCGCCTGTGCGAATCCTGGGTCCCCCGCCTTCGTCTCCAAGGAGCTTAGCACATGCTGCATGCTCTGCTTCATTTCCTGCTGCGTCATCTTCACTTCGGACATCTCTGCCTCACGGACAACCGGACAAGCGAGGACCATCCCAACACAGTGTCACAGTAGGGCAGAGTGAACTTCAGAGACCGAGATCAAGAGCATGAGCTGCAAAGGGTCTCCCAGAGAGTCTCCCGGCCTCATGGTTCACCGGCATGGGTGGGACATGTTGAAGCTGATCCAGCTTCTGGTGGACTTTGATGACATCTTCAGCTTCGGCCTGCGGTTTGCGTCATACAGGGGCTCGGGAAAGTCGACCCTTTTATTGGGGGAGACGTGAAACCCCAATGAACGCAGAGGACTCAGGAAGTTGACGAAGTCGACTGCGGGATCCTTTCCCCCCAATGAACGCACGGATTTTACAGCTACGACAAACAGCGAAAATCAGTACTGTCAGTACGCAGGTATCGAAATCCCCGAGGAACGCTGGGGCTCAACATGCCTGAAAACATCATCCAACATGGTTGCTGAAGGACCTCCGCCCGAGTGAAACGCAAGCAAAGCATGGAGTCAAGCCTAACAAAACTTACGAGAAGAGGCACCATTTCTCTGAACCTATATCGCATCGTATAGCCAACATGGCTTATGACATGCATGCAATTCCGCCCGAGGGAAACGCAGTTTCGGTCGATTTCCTGGAAAGCTTCCCCGCAGTGATTTGCAATCGCAAGAAAAAAGGTCAACTTTCCATGTTGCGTGTACCATCCGGCAATCAAAACAGCGGCAACGACAAGGGCTGTGGTAAATGGTGGAGATGTCAAAAGACCGAACAAGAGGTCAAAATCCATCCAAATCCATCCAGTAGGTCTCAAAAGACTGAGGCCTTTTGGATCACAGCGCCCGTTAGGTGCTGCAGCTGCTGCTGAAGGGCGAGGACGCCGCCGGCATCTGCCTCGCCAAGCGTACCGCCATGTATAAAACTTATTAAACTACGACATAGACGTCGAATAGTCTTACAGGTCCCGACCTTGCTGTCAAGTGTGGCCCAGACTTCCTCCATCGAGACCTCCTCCAACTCAGCCTGCGACCACATTTGCAGGGCTCCACTCCAGAACAAGTATCCAAGGCTTCCCGTAGCCTTGAGATCATGCAGCTGTTGGGCCGTTGTGCTTGAGTCTGCCTGCAAGTTGATGGCAAGACTTGGCCTTCATGTTGACTTCTCGTGTGCCTATTGGCTTCAAGCTTTTTGACTCTGAATCCCGCGTCCTGACACCTGGTCACCTGACTTATCCTTCCACTCAGCTGCAGAGTGAGTTTTGCCCTTTCTTTGGAGCGGATGCTCGGGACTCTCCAACCCTACCTCACTGATGCCTGCAGATCGTTCTACATCGTTCTACGGCGTTTTGCCATCCTGGGGTTCGTACTGGAAGTGAGCCTTCGGGTCTGAGTCTGTTTGTTCGGACCCGCTTTCTGGCAAGCGAGTCGCCCGCAGGTCGCAATAGCTGATGCGCAGGCAATGCTTTCTGATGCTGACTCAGCAATAAGGCTCGAGGCCAAAAGGAGAAGGAAGGAGAAGAATACGGACGCTCAAAAGGCGCACGCTTTCGCAGAAGTCGGGTGGCCTTGTCTTGCAGAGCCGCTGACAGCGTCTGCACGCTCTCTTGCAAGCAGCTCAGCTTGTCCGAATCGGCCTGGGAAGGGCGGTGTCATCACGCCTGCCATAAAGAGCATTCCCCGCCTGTGCGAATCCTGGGTCCCCCGCCTTCGTCTCCAAGGAGCTTAGCACATGCTGCATGCACTGCTTCATTTCCTGCTGCGTCATCTTCACTTCGGACATCTCTGCCTCACGGACAACCGGACAAGCGAGGACCATCCCAACACAGTGTCACAGTAGGGCAGAGTGAACTTCAGAGACCGAGATCAAGAGCATGAGCTGCAAAGGGTCTCCCAGAGAGTCTCCCGGCCTCATGGTTCACCGGCATGGGTGGGACATGTTGAAGCTGATCCAGCTTCTGGTGGACTTTGATGACATCTTCAGCTTCGGCCTGCGGTTTGCGTCATACAGGGGCTCGGGAAAGTCGACCCTTTTATTGGGGGAGACGTGAAACCCCAATGAACGCAGAGGACTCAGGAAGTTGACGAAGTCGACTGCGGGATCCTTTCCCCCCAATGAACGCACGGATTTTACAGCTACGACAAACAGCGAAAATCAGTACTGTCAGTACGCAGGTATCGAAATCCCCGAGGAACGCTGGGGCTCAACATGCCTGAAAACATCATCCAACATGGTTGCTGAAGGACCTCCGCCCGAGTGAAACGCAAGCAAAGCATGGAGTCAAGCCTAACAAAACTTACGAGAAGAGGCACCATTTCTCCGAACCTATATCGCATCGTATAGCCAACATGGCTTATGACATGCATGCAATTCCGCCCGAGGGAAACGCAGTTTCGGTCGATTTCCTGGAAAGCTTCCCCGCAGTGATTTGCAATCGCAAGAAAAAAGGTCAACTTTCCATGTTGCGTGTACCATCCGGCAATCAAAACAGCGGCAACGACAAGGGCTGTGGTAAATGGTGGAGATGTCAAAAGACCGAACAAGAGGTCAAAATCCATCCAAATCCATCCAGTAGGTCTCAAAAGACTGAGGCCTTTTGGATCACAGCGCCCGTTAGGTGCTGCAGCTGCTGCTGAAGGGCGAGGACGCCGCCGGCATCTGCCTCGCCAAGCGTACCGCCATGTATAAAACTTATTAAACTACGACATAGACGTCGAATAGTCTTACAGGTCCCGACCTTGCTGTCAAGTGTGGCCCAGACTTCCTCCATCGAGACCTCCTCCAACTCAGCCTGCGACCACATTTGCAGGGCTCCACTCCAGAACAAGTATCCAAGGCTTCCCGTAGCCTTGAGATCATGCAGCTGTTGGGCCGTTGTGCTTGAGTCTGCCTGCAAGTTGATGGCAAGACTTGGCCTTCATGTTGACTTCTCGTGTGCCTATTGGCTTCAAGCTTTTTGACTCTGAATCCCGCGTCCTGACACCTGGTCACCTGACTTATCCTTCCACTCAGCTGCAGAGTGAGTTTTGCCCTTTCTTTGGAGCGGATGCTCGGGACTCTCCAACCCTACCTCACTGATGCCTGCAGATCGTTCTACATCGTTCTACGGCGTTTTGCCATCCTGGGGTTCGTACTGGAAGTGAGCCTTCGGGTCTGAGTCTGTTTGTTCGGACCCGCTCTGGCAAGCGAGTCGCCCGCAGGTCGCAATAGCTGATGCGCAGGCAATGCTTTCTGATGCTGACTCAGCAATAAGGCTCGAGGCCAAAAGGAGAGGAAGGAGAAGAATACGGACGCTCAAAAGGCGCATGCTTTCGCAGAAGTCGGGTGGCCTTGTCTTGCAGAGCCGCTGACAGCGTCTGCACGCTCTCTTGCAAGCAGCTCAGCTTGTCCGAATCGGCCTGGGAAGGGCGGCGTCATCACCCCTGCCATAAAGAGCATTCCCCGCCTGTGCGAATCCTGGGTCCCCCGCCTTCGTCTCCAAGGAGCTTAGCACATGCTGCATGCTCTGCTTCATTTCCTGCTGCGTCATCTTCACTTCGGACATCTCTGCCTCACGGACAACCAGACAAGCGAGGACCATCCCAACACAGTGTCACAGTAGGGCAGAGTGAACTTCAGAGACCGAGATCAAGAGCATGAGCTGCAAAGGGTCTCCCAGAGAGTCTCCCGGCCTCATGGTTCACCGGCACGGGTGGGACATGTTGAAGCTGATCCAGCTTCTGGTGGACTTTGATGACATCTTCAGCTTCGGCCTGCGGTTTCCAGCATGTCATACCATGCGGCAATCAAAACAGCGGCAACGACAAGGGCTGCGGTCCTTCTGCTCCAGGGCAAGCTGCATGCGCTCCACCTCCTTCTGCAGCGCGGCGGCGTCTTCCTCCACCTCACAGCAAATACCGCTGTCCACTCGTGCACTGGAAAGCGTGGCAGGCCTGCTTGATGTGATCCTTTGGCGCAGCCTCGTCCCGATCAGCCTGGCATTCGAAGGCTGTGCATGACGGGTGGGCAAAGTCCCATGGTTCGTTTCAGCCATGCACGTATGCACGTGGCGGAGATGTCATCAAGAGACAACAATACATCCCATACGTCGACAGGCAAGACTACACAGTGCAAAGCTGAAAGCCTTCTGGTTCAGGGTGCTAGTCAGCTGCTGCAGCTGCTGCTGCAGGGCGAGGACACCGCTGGTGTCTGCCTCGCCAAGCGAAAACAACAACTACCACCCTGCCCCTGCGTCCCTGTGACCCTGTACCCCCGCCCCTGCCCTGCGTCCCTGTGCCCGCCCCCGCCCCTCCCCCCTTTCCCAAACCCTGATGACAGAGGAACACACACACACACGAGGTACTGGCCTTGCTGTCAAGTGTGGCCCAGACATCCTCCATCGAGAGCTCCTCCAACTCAGCCTGCGGATCACAATCGTGTCCAACACCACGTTTGCAGGCCGCTCACTCCAGAACACGTATCCAGGGCTTCCCGTAGCCTTGAAGTCATGCAGCTGCTGGGCCGTTGTGCTTGAGTCTGCCTTCAAGCTGATCGTGTCTGGCACTTTGCCACACTGTGCATTTGGCTTCAAGCTTTTTGACTCCTGGTCACCTGATTCTCCCATCCCACTCAGCTGCAGAGCGCCACATACCCAGCACGAGTTTGCCCTTTCTTTTGAGCGCATGCTCGAAAGCCTACCTAACTGCAGATCGTTCTACATCGTTCTACGGCAGCTGATGCGCAGGCAATGCTTTCTGTTGCTGACTCAGCAATGAAGCTCGAGCCCTCTGCAGGGCTCGACTACGACTCTGTCGCCGACTAACCGGAGCTGCAGTACCACAGCGCGTCAAAAGACAAAAGAGAACAATACAACTACGCAGCGCAAAGCTGGTGCCTTCTGGTTCAGGGAGCTGGTTAGCTGCTGCAGCTGCTGCTGCACGGCAAAGACACTGCCGGCATCGGCCTCGCCAAGTGTGCCAACAAGCAGAAGAAAAGAGCTACACTAATATGTACAGTGCAGATGTCGAATCGTCTGACGTGTCCTAAGAACATGCCGAACAGCCTGACGACGAAGGATCACACACACACACACACACCCATGGTCCTAACCTTGCTGTCAAGCGTGGCCAAAACTTCCTCCATCGAGACCTCCTCCAACTCAGCCTGCGACCACATTTGCAGGGCTCTCACTCCAGAACACATATCCAAGGCTTCCCGTAGCCTTGAGATCATGCAGCTGCTGGGCCGTTGTGCTTGAGTCTGCCTGCAAGTTGATGGCAGTGAAACTTGCTTAAGCGTCCGTGTCGCAGACTCCTGCCCCGCAGCCCTCGGCATAACGCAGGAGCAGGAGCAGTAGCAGTAGGAGGAGTAGTAGCAGCAAAACTAATCGTAGTTGTCGTAGTCGTCGTCATGGTGCTCCGGGGGCCTTGTCTTGCAGAGCCGCCGACAGCGTCTGCACGCTCTCTTGCAAGCAGCTCAGCTTGTCCGAATCGGCCTGGGACGGGCGGTGTCATCACCCCTGCCATAAAGAGCATTCCCCGCCTGTGCGAATCCTGGGTCCCCCGCCTTCGTCTCCAAGGAGCTTAGCACATGCTGCATGCTCTGCTTCATTTCCTGCTGCGTCATCTTCACTTCGGACATCTCTGCCTCATGGACAACCAGACAAGCGAGGACCATCCCAACACAGTGTCACAGTAGGGCAGAGTGAACTTCAGAGACCGAGATCAAGAGCATGAGCTGCAAAGGGTCTCCCAGAGAGTCTCCCGGCCTCATGGTTCACCGGCACGGGTGGGACATGTTGAAGCTGATCCAGCTTCTGGTGGACTTTGATGACATCTTCAGCTTCGGCCTGCGGTTTCCAGCATGTCATACCATGCGGCAATCAAAACAGCGGCAACGACAAGGGCTGCGGTCCTTCTGCTCCAGGGCAAGCTGCATGCGCTCCACCTCCTTCTGCAGCGCGGCGGCGTCTTCCTCCACCTCACAGCAAATACCGCTGTCCACTCGTGCACTGGAAAGCGTGGCAGGCCTGCTTGATGTGATCCTTTGGCGCAGCCTCGTCCCGATCAGCCTGGCATTCGAAGGCTGTGCATGACGGCCCAAGTGGGGTGGAAACACGCTGGCACATGATGGGCAAAGTCCCATGGTTCGTTTCAGCCATGCACGTATGCACGTGGCGGAGATGTCATCAAGAGACAACAATACATCCCATACGTCGACAGGCAAGACTACACAGTGCAAAGCTGAAAGCCTTCTGGTTCAGGGTGCTAGTCAGCTGCTGCAGCTGCTGCTGCAGGGCGAGGACACCGCTGGTGTCTGCCTCGCCAAGCGAAAACAACAACTACCACCCTGCCCCTGCGTCCCTGTGACCCTGTACCCCCGCCCCTGCCCTGCGTCCCTGTGCCCGCCCCCGCCCCTCCCCCCTTTCCCAAACCCTGATGACAGAGGAACACACACACACACACACACACACACACACACGAGGTACTGGCCTTGCTGTCAAGTGTGGCCCAGACATCCTCCATCGAGAGCTCCTCCAACTCAGCCTGCGGATCACGATCGTGTCCAACACCACGTTTGCAGGCCTCTCACTCCAGAACACGTATCCAGGGCTTCCCGTAGCCTTGAGATCATGCAGCTGCGCCGTTGTGCTTGAGTCTGCCTGCAAGCTGAGCATCGGTGTCGCAGATTCTTGCCCCGCATTATTATCATTTACAAAGTCGGGCGGCCTTGTCTTGCAGTGCCGCCGAAAGTGTCTGAACGCTCTCTTGCAAGCAGCTCAGCTTGTCCGAATCGGCCTGGGAAGGGCGGTGTCATCACCCCGCAATAAAGAGCACTCCCTGCCTTTGTGAATCCTGTGGTACCTGGCCTTCGTCTGCAAGGAGCTTAGCATGTGCTGCATGCTCTGCTTCATTTCCTGCTGCATCATCTTCACTTCAGATATCTCCACCTTGTCGTGAAAGGAACTGGATGCTCGATCAAGCTTCTGAACTTTGCCTGGCTGTTAGACCTGTACCAAAAAAAACAGAAAGCCCGTAGAGCCTCATGGCCACACTCCACAGAATACAGCAAGCAGAGTCAAACAATTGAAAAACAGTGATGCATTACGCTGTAGACTGTAGAGGCCATCTGGCCGAAAAGCAACGTGTTTCCCCAAACAAGAACAGCCTCCTGGTCCACAGGTGATTGAAGCTGTAGCTCGTGGTGAAGCTTGCTGATCTCTTCTGTTTCTGCCTGTACATGAAGTTGAATTCAGCAAGCACTGCCAAAAACTGCTGATGCGGCAGCAGGCCTTTTGCTGCAAAGCACGGTCCAGACGCTCCACTTCTTTCTGCATCAAAGCGGCGTCTCCCTGAAAGGCACCAGTCCGTATTCGCAAGCACATGTACACTGAAACCGGAATCCAGCCTTGCGAACAAGTGCTGCCTTCAGCTCGATGCTCTCACGCTCAAGGAAGTTTATGCGATCCGAGACCTGTGTAGGCTCAAGTCGGCTCAAGGCTCAAGGCGCCACAGCAAGAACCGCATATCAGGCAGAAACTCTGGCAAACTCTTACACCGGGCACACGGCATATCGCATCCAGAATGTGACATCCGGCACGTCCGGCACGCAGACCGTTCTCAAACAGTCAGCTTCCTGCAGTCACAATCATGAGAATCATGAGAAGCACCGAAGCATAGGGCGCTATGGCTATGGCTAGAACAAGAATCAAGCTGCCGGAGATCACCAGCGAGGAGTGCTTAGTGGGGCCCGAGCAGCTTCCGATGGCGTAGGAATGCTCGGCTCCATGATGGTGCGAATGCGGCGTACGCGGCGTCAAATCCCACAAGTGCAAATTCCGCAGGGAAGGTCAACCAAAAACAAAGAAAGATGACAACATGGTGAAAACCGTTTCTAAACTTCGTGAAAATATACTCCTACGATCACGCGGGACACTGCCAATGCCTGTGGGTCAATATTCGAGCCGTGGGTGGCAAAGCATGCACGCATCAGCATGCAGAACAATCGATATGCCAAGATGACATTATGGGCCGCAGCTGTTTGCTGTTGCCCGAAGACGAGGCCGCAGCAGGGCCACACTTGTGAACCTGCAAGCACGCAAGCCCAGAGGCAGCAAAGGCGAGACAGAGGGAGAACAACACGCCACAACACGACACAACATGCCACAACATGCCACAACATGCCACAACAACAATAAGAACAAGAAGAACCAAGGTGCAGCAACACGAGCAGAAAAACGACAACAGTAAAAATGCTACGTAACCTGTACAAGTCTCCAAGCTCCCAGGGGCTCTACGCGGCTCTACTGTTCACAAAGGCGCCTGCCCAGTGGAGTCCATTCCTCGGACGAACTTGTCGAGGAACCCACTTTCGAGAGCCTGGGGGAGAAACCATCAGAAACGCCTGTTGGCCAAATGCACAAAATATCTCACGCAAACAGGAGCGGTAAGAAGAGAGAGAGGCTTCCCGAGAGGAGCGTCCCGAGAGGGGGGCATCCCGACGAGAGAGCGTGTTCTCTCTCTCTCTCTCTCTCTCAAATGATCTCTTGGTGCCTTGTCGGCACGCCGCCGCTCGGCCGTCGTCAGGCGCCCATCCGCGTCTTGGTCAAAGCACTTGCCGATGAAATAGTCAAGCTGGCCCACAACTCCATCACCTCAGTGTTGAGTCGCTTCGAAAAGTGAAGAACATCCAAGGGGAGCTACTCAAAATCTGATGGTGTCTCTCTCCGTGGCACTATAAACTTGGGCCCGGCACCATCAAAATCATAGCTCCTTACTTCTGGAATTCGTCCCTGCTTGCGGGCCTTTCAGCAACACAAGCCAGTGTGAGCGGTTGAGCCCCACGATTTGCCGCTAGCACCCTCTCGCCCGCTCGTTGAAGAGGGGTATAGCACAGATGACCGCAGAGTTCCAACGAGCTCCACGCCTGCTGCAGTTCTGTTCGGGAGCGGATGGGTGGTGGCGCATCCAACCTGCAAGAAGATTCGCATTTTTCGACGCTTCAAGACGGTCGGGCCGACGGGCCCATGAAAGTCTTCGAAGCGAAGCATAAACGTGCCACACAGACCACTTGGGATGCCAAACCTGGAAACCACACGTCTTTCGAATTCTTGCGACGAGTATGCGGCAAAGCACTGCCCGCACTCGTTATGAGCTACCAGCTTGGTGGACCGCAGCACTACCAGCAAAGCACAAAACCAACTGAAAGGCACGCAAAGCCAAATAAAGATCCAGGCATCTTTGTCCAGGAAATGAGACTTGTCCTGCAGAAGACCGGAGCAACGGATTTGAATCTGCTGCTAACAAACATCTGAAGCCTTAAAGGGCTTGCTGTGGTGGTGGTGGCCGAAGATGTCGTAGTTCGGCACCGTATATGCCCCCTGCTCAGGTGCTGCCATCCACAAGACTACCGAACTAACTTCAGCTTGTGAAAACACAGCTGCTAACAACACAAGCCAGCATAGCAGGCTGCGACATTGCAGGCAGGACGTGTTGCTCGACCTACATTTGTTGCAAAGCTCTCGCCATAGTGGATCTGAGACCTCGATAACAACTGTCCTAGTATGCTCCGGTCGCCCTTGAAGCGGCCTAGCTGAGTGCTGGATGCGGCTAGCTGCATGTTGACAGATTGGAAAGGCCAGACGTGCAATGCTGCGGACGAAAACCATCGCGCACGCCTAATGTGACATGAGTCGTGCAAGGCATGTTCTATCATGATCCGACTCCATCGACAGTCTCTCAACCCGGTTGGCACTCTCACTTGCCTCAGTCCGTGCTTGCTAGTATCCACGCATGTGATTCCAGAATCTGCGCACGCTTTTGCATAGACATGGCGGCCTGTCAGTTTACGGAAGCATCTACAGCAACCGACATCTACCGTTTCGGACAGGGGAAACCGGAGTAGCTCAAAGCTTGAATGTTCTCATCATGGCTGAACACGGAGCATCCTCCATAACAGCTTCTTGAATTCCACATGTATCCACTGGTGTTCGGAGACTTTCTTGGAGTGCCTTCACAGCTGAAAGGCTGGAGCAGTATCGTGAACAAGACATTGTCTCGTGGCGTTTTTGCGTAGTTTGGTGTTGTGTTCTTTTTCGCGAACACCTGTTCTTGCTTGACATGTTCACGACACATGGCGCATGGCGAAGCATCAAGTTGTCGAAGCCTCGCTTCTTTCTTGCGCCTGGCCCACCCACCCCCAACAAAGCATGAGGGAGAGGTTCAGTTTGCATCATGGCTCGTTGCCCGGTTTTTGACTTAAGACCTTTGCATTGACCTGATCCAGCATGTGCTGTGCAGGTGCTCCCTTCGGTGTGCCCCTACATATTGTACATGCTTCGGCGCTCAGCCAGGCCATGAAATGCCAATGAAGGTGATGAGTTCAGGACCAGACGTCCCTTCGGGTCAAGGCTAGTCACCGGTTGATTTTGGCCTTAAACCGCTCACCTAGATGCTCACATGCCGGAGCTGTCATTCCCAGCCCCTCTGCAGAAGCGCGCAACATCACAAGAGTCTAAGGTGCAAAGCGCAAGGCACGCAGCGAGAGACGATTGCTACGGACGGCTGGCCACTGCCCCTTTTCTCGCTAACTTAGTCCTTCGGAAAGCTCAGGCAGGAGTCCTAAGGCTGAACTCGACTTGCCTTGCCATCTACCTGGAGAGTTTCCAAGCCTTCGCATTAGCCTTGTGAATTCAGATGCACTTCTTGTGCACGATCGTCGGCCTGTGCAGCAAGCTGCGGCTGGTTGCCGGGTGTTTCTTTCCTTCCAACCGATCTGCTTGGGACGAAACCCATCTTCCAGATAATCAGTACGGTCAATGCACATCTCCTTGGATTGTTGTCTTTTGCAAGAAAAATTCAAAGAAGGCACATTGAGTCGAGTTGGGTACTCTATGCGACTGAAGCTCCGTAAACAGGTCGAGATCCGCAAGCATCGCACCTGCTGTCCAACACTCAAAGTATGATCGAGCGCCGATCGTATGCCCATCGTGCGTCCTCTCAAGTCTGTGTTCCTTCACCGAGACATACATGTGGCCTCCTATGAAAACTGAAAACCGACGATCATCCGGTGCCAGCACGCCTGCAGCGGGCAGCTGCTGGTAGCCGGTTGTGGCTCTCTCTGAATGCTACAGCGAAGTGAGAAGAACCGCAAGTAGCCAAGGGACGTATTCGAATGGTGCTCGGAGTCAGCTTCGCAAGCTGGGCTTGAAGCCGCTTGCCGAATCCTTCAACGGCAAGACTTTCAGCACTCAGAATGCCCTCAAATTTGCCTTTGGGGAGCCTGAAAAGCTCAGATCGCTTGAGGCATGGATGCGAGGTAGTGCATGGTTTCTGGGTACTTTCTGCAAAGCAAAGCTTGCCATGACCGCTCGAAAGCATGCTTGAATGCGCTACGAAGTCGTCACAAATGGCCTGAACATCAGTGCCCGAACAACAATCGGTGCCCGAACTAAATGTCAGAATGAGTGATTGATTGATTGCCTGTGGGCGCGAACGCCCTTGCGTTTGCAAGGCAAAAAGGCTGCCCCAAGCTGTACGTTAGGAGACAGAATGAGTGACCCCAGTGTACTCTAGTCTGGCTGGCTGCTCTCCGTGCTTTGCAGCCCTGGTCATGCCGAAACGCTCGGCCTGGACATGTGCATTCAAAGGGACAACATCATGGACGGCATGGTGAAGAGGTGTTGTAAGTGGAACGGTGGCGGCTTGTCGCCAGCTCTCGATTTGCGAGGGCAGCTCGCAGAACCCCATCGCGAAGCGAACGTGAACGCGTCGGAATGGTGGTGGGGAGACCCACAGGATGAGACGGTATTTTCCTGATCGAAGAGTAGAAGATGTCAAGGCTAATGGCCGGCCCCCAGATTTGAGCACTCGGCTGCTGCTCCAAACAATTGTGAAACGAACTCATTTGCGCCCTCATGCATTACATGATTACACGATCGCACTGCACAGGCCTGGGAAGCAGGTGCTGCCACCTGACCTCCGGCACAAGTGTGGGATCAAGGAAATCACTCCGTAGCATACGTAGCATAGAAGGTGAGAGGTTCAGGCAAAACCACGTTTGCGAAGAGCTCCCTTCGAATGTCCAGATCACACCTTGCAGCATTGCTGTGTGGACATAGATCAAACGAAACAACTTGCCAACGAAACGTCCTCGCTAGAACGAAGCCTCATTATGGACTTGTATAGCTGGTCGTGGATGCCCTGACCGCGCACCAAGCTGACAAGTCACGCAAGGCGACTCACATCTGATAGGAGGTGCATCTTTATAAGGAAAGACAGGCCATTGCAGAGCGGATGAAGCCGGATTCAAAATTGAACAAAGATGTAAATCAAAAATTCAGGCCCCCCCTCGGAAGGGCGGACCCTAGCATCCCTATGGCTTAAAATCGAATTTAAATCTCTGCACCAAGCAGCAGCCGCCAGGACCCGCCACAGTAAGGATTTAAGTTCGAATTTATGCCCTTTTCTGGATGATGCTTCAGCAAGATGCGAAAAGACTTGCCTTCACAGCTGTTCGGTATCTGGTATCAAGGATGAGGATTTGAATTCAGAATCGCCCATAACCTAAACCCCTAAAGCCATGTGCTGTAAGCCCTCAAGTGCATCCTTTCGCCTAAACTAGCCACTCTTCTGCTTATGAAACTGAATACAAGCCGCCCTAAACCCCCCCCTCCGGTACCTATTTTCGGTCTTTCCGTAACCTGGCCTGACCCTTTACTCACTTCCTTCCGAACCCATTAATAGTGGTGGGACTGTGGGTTTCCCAGAAAAGCAAAGGATCTGAAATAGGTACCTGCTGGGGGGAGGGGGGACTCCACTCTTCTGCTTCTGAAACCTAATAAAACTGCCCTAAACCCCCCCCCCCTCCAGTACCTATTTTTCGGTCTTTCCGCAACCTGACCTGACCCCTCGCTCGTCTTGTGAAACGAGCCGCCCGAACCCCTGCCTTGCAATACCTATTTTAAGGTCGCACAGGCCCGCACTGGGCCTGCAATGCAGGCGTCTTGCAACATGCAGTTTGGCCTTGAGTGCACATCTGACTGCCCAACCCCCCCCCCCCCCCCACTCTGACAAAATGCTCCCGCCCCCCCCAGGCCTGTGGCACCTGCCCCAAACCGTCTGGAGGAGCCGAAATCCGATGTCGCGGGCGTTCCAGGCTTGGCCCTTCTCACAGAAAACCTTGCGAAAAGCCAACCAAAAGTGACCAAAATGGAATTGCGAAGAATGTTCTGGGGGACCTCACCTAGGACCGCCCCCGCCTCCTGCGGCACTGCTTGAAACCCTCCCCCAGGACCGTTGCCGCATGCTACACCCGCGATGGGCCGGCCCGGCTGCCGAGGCGGCGCTCGCAAGCGTTTACAACTATAGACCTTTTAGATTCGAATTCGAATTCAAACCCGGACAGGAGGAAACCGTAGACCTTTTAAATTCAAATTTACACCCGCAGAGCAGGAAACCATAGACTTTTTACATTCGAGTTTCAACCGAGAGTGGCAATTCCAACTTAGATTCGAATTGAAAACCTTGCTCTGGTACCGGGCGTTTCGAGTTTAAGCCCCTCAATTCCTAGAGGATTCAATTCGACTCTGCAGTAAAACCCACGGTAAAAGAAACCATTGTATAAGAAACTAAGACCCTAGATCCAGGGATTTTGAGCGATCTGCGGTGCCTTTTAGCTAAGAAACCTAGGGTACCCTAGTGTTGGAGGTGCTACTTTCTTAAAATCGCGTCTACAAAGCTCTCTAAAAACTTTTCGGGAAACATTGGGGCCCAGTCCAATGCTGCAAGTCGTGACTCCCCCGCGCCTCTGGCCGGGAGTCACATTCCAGGGCTCTAAAACGCTGGCCCTACCCCAAAAAAGCGCGGGAGTCACATTCTAGAGGTTCGCCCGTGCTTCTGGCCTGACCCTACCCCAAAAACGCGCGGGAGGTTTTCAGCCCTGAAAAGCTCCAAAACGTGACTCCCCCGCGATTCTGGCCTGACCCTACCCCAAAAAGCGCGGGAGTCAATCCCCCACGGTACCTGGAACATGGGTTTGGTCTAGTGGTATAGCGTATTCCCTTAAGAAATGAATTAAGAAACCAAGACTACCTGGTTCAAATCCCGCTGGATACATAGGTGAATGGAAATTTAGAACTTAGGGTACCTAGTGCCGGCAAACCGTTTTCTTATACAACGTTTTAGTGTAATTCCCCAGCAGGCTAGGAGACAAAGAACATCAAATTATATTCGAACTTACGCCTCTTTAGGCAGAAAGAATTGCATTCAAATCCAGGCTCTTCAGAGACGACCCTAAAACCCACAAGCAGAAGATCTAAGTCAAATTCAAGTCTTCTTTGCGTCTGAATTCCGTCCACATTCATTGCAGTACGGTGACAAGAGATGACAAGAGGAGCCTGCCTCCGTCTCAGGCTTACCAACCAGCGCTGGATTGAACAATGCCTCTCTGCACAAAGCTTGGATGCTTCAATGCTTCAATTGAAGTGGATTGAAAAAACTTGATTCGCTCACTTCTGCCTCTGCGCACTTGAAGCGCTCAGAGTTTAGTCGAATCACAGTCCCATCTGGCAACTCCTAGGCTTCACCAAGAAGACATGCACACGCGGAGCTACACGTGCAGCATCGTTCAGACTAAGGTTCGTGAGAGATGGCACAAGCATTCGTAGTCTCTGCCTGACAGTTACCGGAAACGTCCAGTATTCACTCTTTACAGGCTCGGCGATCCGTGAAAGCTGCAAGTCCACTGAACTGAACGCCTTCGCCAGCTCTTCGTCAAAGTTGGCCGCAACGTAGCAGCACTGGCACGTCGAGCTGAAGCTTTAGCAAACCACATGCTTGGCTGGCTCTTCATGATTCGGCAGTAGCATTGCCTTCTCTTTCATGTCGCGTGCAATCTCCTGAGCATCAGGCTGCCTAGTGCAACGCAAAAAACTAACCACTGCATTGCTGGTTCGAACTTGAATTTACCGTCATGAAACAGCTGCTCCGCATTAGCTGCTCCACATGCTGCCAGATGGCACGCTCCGCCGTGGTAGACAGCGACGTGCCTTGATCACAGGGCACCCGATTCCAAGCTGTGCAAATGCGGGCTGACATGCCTGACTCGACCACCAGCTTCATCAGGTACCTGAGGTGCGAGAGCATGGTCCTCAAACCCCTGCGGCATAGCGAATGATCGAGAAACCTCATGAAGACCATTGAAGACCCCTGTGGGAAGAGCACTCTGTCAAATCCCTGCCCGCCAAGTCAATGCGATAGACCGCGTGCGGTAGGAGGAAGCCCTGGCTGCGGGAGGCAACCAAACACCAAGAAACGAAACTCAAACGAAACGAAACGAAAACGACACGAAACGAAGAAGCGAATCCCTTCCTTTTTGTTGCGTGTACGGCGCGTACCCTACTTTTTTGGCGTGAGTAGGAACCCCGAGCACTCTACGATACTGGCCGGATCGGCAAAGAATATCTCTCGGATAGACTAAAACAGCACACAAAAAAAACAAAACAATGGAATCTCTGCTTTGCAGCTCCACATCCACCATCTGTGAGCTCACGTTGAGTAGGGACAGCTGGCCTCATAGACGGGCACCACGTGCGTAACGCCATCTCCACTGTCACACACAATCCTGCGAAATGTGGTGCTGGAGCAGGCGGCGACCGAACAACAGCTTTGTCTGAGTCAACCCAAAGTCAAGGCAAAAGGAAAGCCGAGGAAAGCCCATGTCCCGGTTGTTCTGCCGGATGAGTACATGGCGAGCACCGCCTGAGTTGATATATACCTCAGCTTCGCAGGCCGGTTCTTTGCTCTGGGGCAGTGGCACTTTGCGGCCGTGCAGCAGCGCAGGAACATAGAACACCTTGCAACGTGATCCAAGGGAGACGGAGCTGAAAGAGCTGTGCCCGCAAGGCCTCAAACATGATCTGTGTCATCCGTTCACGATTCGCCTGGTAAGGAAAATAGCATCCCGAACCGGAGGCTCTACATTCATATGCAAAGAGTTGCAGGGGTCCTTGGGATTCAGCGCAGCTTCGGCGAGCAACACGGCCTGCTCCTCACTCGCAATTTGCTTCGAAAACTTCAGCAAAAGACAATGGACAGAGGTATCACAACCTCACTGAGCTGCAAGGCCGTGGGCTGGACCCTGAGCTCGTTGAAGAAAGTGTGTCTCCAAATCAGCTCCATGTCCTCCCAATCCTGCGCCATGCAAAATACCGGACAACCTCTCCACAAAACATCAACAAACCCTAAGCTATGTTTGCCACACACATGTCCTGCACAATGCCGTGTTCGACAGGATAAGATATCTTGAGAATGCCGCCTCATTGTGCCATGCACTGGAAAAGCCTAACGAGGCAGCTTACTTGGCTGCTGCAGCTCGTAACTTTCTGCGATATGTCCGATAAATCGGGGGTGCCACGCTTTGCTTGAGCTTCCTCTCCTGCGGTCCACTGTGATCCACAGGGGCCCCATGTTATACACATTGTCACACATCTTTCGTCTCTCAGTGCTTTCAAGTACTGCACGTGCCGGTTGTCCTATGTAGTGATCTTGCTCTCCAGACCCTTGCATGACATTGGCCTTGGCTATCCGAAAACAAAGCAGCTCAAGATTTTCAGAAGCACGGCTGTGAAAGCTCGGAGAGCTCCGAACAGCTCTGAGGAAGATTTTTTCGGGGAACTCAGACCACAGCTTGCTTCGGTCGGCCAATTATTGATGGGAATTTGCAGCTCGGCTCTTCCTGCAGGATGAATCGCGTACGAGCTAGAATCCATAGGGGTCCGTAGGAGGCTCTGGAATCATGCACTTGGAGAGGTCCTGACCGGCAACTCCAGCCTTGCAAATGCCACTGCCGACCTCGGCTAGCAACCGCCTTGAGCTTCCCACAGCTTCAGCATTTAGATACTCTAGATAGTCTACTGAAGCCCCTGAAAACGCATGAGCATGCTTCAATGCTGTCGTGCTTTGGGTTTCTTACTGAGAACCAGGCATCTATTACAACTGTAGGCCCGAGGCCCTGCATCGAGACAACGCAACTTCTTTGGCCAGCAAGGTTAGACCATACAACCTCGAAGCGTTCCGTGGTTCTATGATGTTCTATGTCAACATGTCGATTCTGCACCTTGCTCATCGCGAGGCGCAATGCTCCGTGTTCATTGGGAGGCTATGGATTGGCCGGAGACGTCCTACTCATGGTGCTGCTGTTAAGAAAGATGTGTATATGGATGTGCTTGCGTTTGTTTGCTGTATTTGCGTGTATGATTTTCTTTGCGTGTGGCTCCACGCCGTTGGCCTCACACCAGACCTACAGCTTGCTGATAATCAAGCATGTCCGGGCCATGCACTTTTAGTGACGACTGTGCGCAGAGCCAAGCGGACAAGAGGCATGCCAGAAACTGACACGCTGCTAGGCAACTCTTCGAAGGCTGTCTCAGCAGCACGCCAAACAATGCACCGCATGCCATGGACTGTTTTTCCAAGACAGGGACGCAGTTCTGAGCTACAACAGCCAGTGCAACAGTGCGACCTTTCTCGGAGTGTCTAAGTGTCCCGACTAGGCGCGAGTCCTGCTCACAACCGTCACAGCCACTCGAGAAGGAAGTTTGGCGACTCCAACGGTTTGAGGGAGCGCCACGTCACCAGTGCTGCTAAAAGCAGCACAAGAGATACCATGAAAAGCCCCACTTCCTCGACAGCTTTCCAAGAGTTTTCTAAGAATGTCAAGCACGCACTCTGATAGGCAATGTCGGAAGAACTAATGGCTTGAGGTCATGTTTCAATGGCAGGGTCATACAATGGGAACCTTCAAGAGCTTCAAACGGACCTTAAGATCTTCAAGCACAAGGGTCTGCTATGACTGGTCCGCACGCACGAAGGGTGGCCACCGTCGACCAATTGAGCGCAGAATGAGCTGGCATAGTTCCCAGCACCATCCAGGGCGAAATCGCACCCAATAGTGACCTCACACAAAAATGTTCCCTTCACCGTGGCTTCACATTATCCTTAAGAGTTAAAGGTCCGAAAAGCATGCAAAAACTCACAGCTATCCGCAACCCGCAACAGTCACTAGGAAACCAGGACGTCTTTTTGGAAGCTTTCCGGGCACACGTGAGCAAGCATCATGAACATTGATGGAACAGTGACTGGGAAGCGATATCAGTCTAGAAGACCCCATGATTCTGCAACCAGTGCCTCCGGCCGACACGCCCCCCGTGCCACAGGTGGCAGCTGCCAAATTCGTTTGCGTGATGCTATGGGGGGGACCAGGACTGGATCCTGCAGACAGTGACATAACAAAAAGAAAGCAGTCTGGCCCTCTCTTTGCCGCCTTCCTCTTGGCAGCCACCCCACCCAAGCTTCACTCGGCACAGCAAGGCCTGTTGCCTGGCATCTTTCGGTGGTGGGAAGGTGGGAAAAACCATCTCTTGTGCCGGCTTCTGACTTCTTGGCAGCCACCACCCCAAGCTTCATTTGGGGACAGGCACACGAGTACCAGCAAGGTATTGCACCGTCTGCTGGCACGCCACTTACTGCTAGCTTCGGCAAACAGGGCATCAGGGCTCCTCCGGCGAGCCTGTACGTCCTGTACGTCCCCCAAGCTCACTGAAAACGGGTCGGCGAATCACCGGCATCTTCTTTTTCGACCCTGCGGCCTGTATACATTAGGCTATGCATGTGGCTGGAGTACTGACTGCCCTAGCACTTCAATACCACAGAAAGGGCATATCTTTCAGCCACCTTCAACACCTTCAGCACTGCAGCTACGAGCCATCTTAGGCACAAGAGGTTTGCGCGGGTGCCTGACTTTCTAATGGAGGATGTGGAGAACCCAGAAGCAGACGTCTGCACAAGCATCACCAAAGCCCCGCAAGTTCCAAGGTTGCGCCGGGCAGCATGGTGATGTGAATTGAATGCGCACTGCAGCGCTCAAGGATGCCTTTGGTGAAAGGTGCTCACATTCCTTCAAAAACCTGTTCACAGACATGTTCACACGCTGGAGACTTCACTTCGAGATCGTTCGTGCATGGTCACGTCATATCTGGCTTGTGTCAGGTGCAGCCGGGAATGCCCCAAGCCGGATGCAAGCCGAGCGGATCCTCTCGCCCTGTCTGAGCAGCCAGTACGTGATATGCCTTCAGTTGCGACACGGGCAACGTATGCTTCTATGCCGATGCGACACAATAAGGAAGAAAAGTCCGTGTCCTTTGGTCAAAGCAAGCAGCCTCCACTGCCTTTGGATCGCCGGCCTTCGCCGCTCGAAGAAGCTGAGTTACTGCCAAGGCTTGCACAGCTGTGAAGACCAGCTCCAGCGCCGTCCACCCCAAACCTGAAGGGGGCGAGCCAACTTCCTCCACACATCCTCATACCTCTGACCACGGGAATCGGAATTTCTATGAAATTCCCTGCACAGTCCTTGCCTAAAGCGAAGGTCGCCTCAAAGCGCTGGGCCCAACCAAACGCGAACAGCATAGCTACCCGAACCGATTCCTGGCACGCAGCATATCAACTATTCTGGAAAGGGACACGTAGAAAGTTGTAAAAAGTTGTGAAAAGCACTTGTGGAGTGAGAGGATGAGAAAGGCTTATCGATTTTCTACCTCGCCTCGGCTGGCCCAGACAGCAGAATCGTCATGAGCGTCAGCCACGCTTGCTGTGATGGAGAGTCAGCCAAGACTGCCTTCTGAGAACACTTGACACCATTCCGCACATGGCACTCTGTGAAGCCGCTCCCGAGCCTTAATGCCAAGGATGCAGGGCATGCGGAGGAGCAGAGCAAGCCACCAACCACCGGCACCAGCCAGCAGAATCATCCAGTCATTGTCTGCCTCGGACTGCATGGCTGCGATAACTGCACGACGACTGTGCTGCGACTTGCTCGGCCCCTTGCTGCCCGCTCAAGACTAGACCAGACCAGCATGTTGACATGCGTGCTGCGCTGCACGCGTCATCAGGATGTAGACGATGACAAACGGGGCAATAGATAATAGAAGCAACCTCAGTGACACAACAACGCAGCGTGCGACCACAGATTCTGCCACGCCATGCTGGCCGCTCGCCACTGTGACAGCGACCGAGCTGCGGGAAACAGCACCGCACTTTCCTAGAGAACGCATCGATCTCCTCATCAGCTGGAAGAGGTTTGTACTCCATGGCCTGTTCAGATCTCGACGAGAGAAAGCCTGCTCCGTCTGTCTCTGACTTAAACAACACATCTTTTTTTTCTCGTCTTTCAAGCTTCAGCAGGAGAGCATTTCTGGTTCTTCACTTGTCTAGGAGTGAAGAGGAGCAGCTTCGCCTCCGTGCTTTGAGCAGAGCCTTGTGCAGCTCGGACGGCAAAGATGTGCAAAGGCAAACTTGGTGTACGTGTTTACATCGGCCAGGTCGCATCGAAGGGGAACTCTTGATGTTTTGGGACGTTGACGCACTAGCCTTGCCTCACGCCCAACGGAACCGCAGGTCCTCCTCACTGCTGCTCTCGGCAGGGAGGTGGCCAAGCGTGTCCATCGTTGGCTCCTCGCCGCCGTGCCGTGCCGTGTGCCGTGTTCAAAGGGCCACGCATGAGCTCGCTTTCGGCTGCCGCCACAGTGGTTGACTGCAAGGGGTCAGCTCCCCGGCAGGCTGTAGACATACTGCCCCGCGTCTGCAGCTCAACTGCAGCAGCAGCCCACGATCTTCCCGAACAAGGCACTGGAAGGGCGGGTGCCATTTAAAAATCTCCCAGCAGCTGATGGCCCCAGTGCAGGTAGAGCTCTTTGGCAAAACCGTGGCCTCTCTGTCTCTCCCGAAGTAGAGATGTACCTCATCTCGCCGTGAGACACGGCCCACAGAAGTAGAAGGGCCCATGTGGGCCTTGGACCCGGGAAAAGTACCCATGGCTTCGAAGAGCAGACGGCTAGCCAAAAGAGCTCGCATCCAGTTCGAGCGGAAATGCACTTATGTGGAACCGCATCGAAAAAGCCACTGTGCCTCTTGCACTGGTATTGGTGTCCAGGCTTTTGGAGGCAAGGTGGAGGGGTGTGAAGCCCTCGTGATCCTGTGTAGTCAGTAGAGTCCGTCGTCTATGCCAGGAGCTGCAGAGCCTCGACCAAACCCGAACAAGTAAAAATTAACCCAGCCCGCACAAAGCCTGTACAGCGCCCCGCAGGCTGCCGCAATGGCCACCGTGTCACGGATGTCACGAGAGAAGCCGCTGCACCGTGATCACCTTATTAGACATGTGAGGTCTTTGCACCTCTTCTTGCTCTTTGTACTAGTGCTTCTTGTTCTGCTCTTGCAGAAGGTTGAGCACCTTCATGAAATAAACAGCTAAGCATTGAAACACATGCTGTCACATGCACAGTGCACAACACAACTTCTCTGCTTGCCATGCAGTCAAGACCAAATCGCGCTTGTTTGCGTCTACAGTGTGGCATCATCTGCGGGTTGCTCTAAATGAAGGGTCCGGTCCTTTCAAAGGGAATCTTATTAAAATTATGAACGGTACCTACCGTTGACCCTCGTTTCGAACAACCTCCAGTCTGGATTGGAAGCATCATTGCGGTGTCTCGGAGATCACAGCATCCACTCGGCAGGCTTGCTTTCACAGGTGGCTACATTGGCGGACGTTCCTGGAAAGAAGCCCTGCCGAAGACTGTATGCGGATGGACCATGTCCCGAAATCGGCTAGGCAGGAGCTCCAAACGATTCCAAACGGGCAGTGGCAGGTTGTGAAGCAGTCACAGGCAATGGCCAGCCTGGTGCACGTGTGACACACTCTGTGGCAGCACAGTGCACCGTTGGAAGGCAATCCTAATCAACCCCTACATGTACATGCCTAGCTTGATGCCACCGCAAACGCCTTTGTAGCGCTTGAGCCATGTGACCGCCACGCCACCCTCACGCCAATCAACAAAACTAAGATTCTGGGCAGATGTTCCGCTCAGCTGTGAATTCCTTCCTTCAGCACATCAGATGATGCACTGGCCAGAAAAGGCAACCACGCTCACTTCCTCGTTGGTGTGTCGTCGCTCGGTGTCGCAATTGACGTCCTCATCCTCACACTCCAAAGAGCAAGAGATTGTACACTTTCGGTCACAAACACTGAGCCCCCGCTGCTTGACTAATTCGGGGGCCACAAATCGAATCATGCCTGTGAAACCACTAGGTTCCGGCCATGGCAAACTTCCAGGTGCAGACCAGTATCGATGGCTACGTCGACAGACGAAGCTGTAGATTGTAGGACCCGCACCCATCCCCCATCGGATCCCCACCTTTTGGACTGGCTCGCAACCACCAGGGGCCGGACACTTCCAATATTGGTTCCCAATGGCACGGTGGCCCCACCGTTGCCCCAGCCAGGCACACTTCTTGTCGAGTACACGGATGCACATTGAACGCTTTGGCCTTGCGCAAGTCGATTCTGTGCTTGGAACAAAAGAAGTATCAGTTCGGGGTAGCTGTGGCGAAGGTCCGGTAAAGATCGAGCACTAGCTGGAGTGACAAGATGTCACGAGCGACTGGTGCTTTTCTACGAGCCAATACTCCGACTGTTGTGAGGTATACGAGTATGGTGAGCAAAGGGGCCCCGCGCCTGTAGCAGCTTGGAAGGAATGGGCACCTTGCTGGACGGCGATCCAACCAACCTCTTCGTCCTGGATGTTCAGGCCTCCATGCTGCGACGTTTCTGCCATCTCCAGAGCCACCTCATCGTTGGAGGAACTGACGAACATTTACAAACACCTGGCATTTGCCCCGTAGGCCCCGCAGGCTTGACCCACAACGTCTGAGCGCAGCACCCAGGCATCTGCAGGGTTCACACTGTTGACCCCCACCTCAGAGTTCTTCAAAGCAACAGCATGTCACTCTGGGCACGCCTTTTTCTGAAGCCGCCAAGATGCGGTAAACCACGGCTGGGAGTCCGATGCTGGCAAGCCGGCTTCGTTGTTGGCGGTCTGGATCGTTGCCAAGAACGCGGGTCTCTGCGTGAAAGGATGCTGAAAGTTCACTTTGTGCCATGAAGTGCTGAGACCTCCTTTCGAACGGCTGGATGCATGAACAGCACAAACTGAGAGTGGAAGAACAGAGAGACAGCATATGCAACCCAAAGCCATGAGTCCTGCAGGTCTGCACTTGGTACTGGCCGCGAGCTTCGAAGTTGAATCCCGACCCGCTTCCAACCACAAGCCACTGCCTGCACCGCTTCGGCACTTCGCTGCTCACTCACGCACCAGGGCTGTCACAAGCGCTGCACTCGTACTTAGCCGCAAGAGAAGATGCCACATGATGAGACAACATGCGAGCACAGGCGAGAGCATCGGCACTAGCACAGGCGCCAGCACATGCGAAGCGAATCGAAGCGATATGAAACCGATACTGTTCAACAATCATACCGCAGGTGCATCTGCAAGCCTGGCCTGGGAGCTGAGAAACTCCCGGTGGCATGGCCACGAAGGTCACCGTCATAGCGAGTTGGAGGCTCGGCGTGCTGCCTGGTGGTGTAGCAACGATGGCCTCAAAACCGGTGGTGGTGACCCCTTTCAGGCGGATAGCTGCGGGTCCTTCTGTTTCGCCGGAGGGGGCGAGCACCACGATTGGGGGCTCGGCAAAGGCCGCACTGAAGGAAGCACTGATCCACTCTCCGCTTCGCACAGTCACTTCGCCAACCTCAAGGCTTGGTGTACCCGCAAATGTCCTTGTCGTGGTTGTGGTCGTGGTCGTTGTAAACATCCCCACTGTAAAGGCTTTGGACCAGGCAAGGATGCTTGCCGCTTCACCAACGTGCGAGCGCTCGGAGTCACAATAAGCATCCTCAATGTAGAGAGGGAGAGAGGGAGGAGGAGAGAGAGTAGGGAGAGAGAAGAGCGAGGAGAGAGACACGGACGGAGAACGAGACTGGAGAGCGGCGAAAAATGCAAAAGAGCGAGCGCGAGATGGAGTGGTTTGGGAGTAGTGAGATTGGCAGGTGTGTTTGACAACGACTGTCCTCATCTACAAAGAGGTGCACAGAGGAGCCAGACGAGGAAGACATCCTGAGCCAGCCGCCGTTGTTGCCATTGCGTGATGACTGGCTTCCCACCACAAGTGGTGAATCGGTTCCCAAGTCCACTGACAGGCTGACTTCGGTCGCTCCCTCGTCCAGACCCTTCACGACGGCGTTTGTCAATGCAACACTGTAGGCAACAGGTCCCAGCTCCGTATCAAAGCTGCCCTGTCCCGCCTCCATGGCAACATAGCCTACTTCTTCCGTTACGTTGACATCTCCAACCTTCGATGTCTCAGCTGATTCCAAGGCAACGGACACTTCCGTCTCAGACAGAGCCTCACAAGCTAAAGTTAGCCAGGGCTTGGAGAAGAATCTCGGCACAGCCCCTTGCTCGTTGTTCGCGCTCTGCAGGGTTGCTACGACTGCTGGTACGGAGGCGAATGGTGAGAGGAAGCCGATCTTGGCCCAACCGGCACTAACCCCCTGAGCTTGGCAACTTGTGCCCACTTGCCTGGCTGAAATCTCCTTCAGCCCAGCTTCAACTGTCCGGCCATCAGGCAGCATATGCACTCCAGGCAGAACAGCCATGTAGGACACCGTCATGTCTGTTCGGGTGTCAGTCGGCCCTGGTGGAACCACAACGAGAGCCTGGAAGCCCGAGGCAGACACGGATCTGACCCGTACACTGAGTGGAATTGTCTCTCCACCAGCGCTCGCCCCGGGCATCAGCACGACCACAGGCAGACCCTCAAATCTGCTCTGGAAGGAAAAGCTCTGCCATCCAGCACTTTCACCTCGCAGATTGGGCAAATACGCAGAGTTGGCACATGCTGTCGCTCACTTCATCTGACCCTACACCGGCCACTTTGAGCACTATGCAGTGTTACTGCGCTTCCCCCTGCCTGCCACAACGATCGTGCCAACTTCGAGGAACGCGGAGCCGGCTGCATTGGTGGTCGATGAGCCTGGGGCCTGTGTGGTCGTGGTTGTCATCACAGTCGTTGTGGTGGTCGTTGTGGTGGTCGTGGTGGTCGTTGTGGTGGTGGTTGTGGTGGTCGTTGTGGTGGTCGTGGTGGTGGTGGTGGTGGTGGTGGTGGTGGTGGTGGTGGTGGTGGTGGTGGTGGTGGTGGTGGTGGTGGTGGTGGTGGTAGTGGTGGTAGTAGTGGTAGTGGCGGTAGTGGCGGTGGCGGGCAGCGCAAGGCTACCGGACCACGCGATCAGGGCAACTTGTTCACTAGCATGCTTCCTTTCATCATCGCAGTACGTGTCTTCATCAATGAAGGCTGCAACTGTAGAACTTGCCACTGACGACACTCGAAGAAATCCACCATCCGACCCCACGCGTGACACTTGACTCCCCAGGACTAGAGGAGACACTGTCTGGAGATCTGTCTGCAAGGGCACCTGCGTGATTCCGTCATCCAGGCCCTTGACCACCTCTCCTGTCACCAGCGCACTATAAAGCACCTGCTGGGACGCAACCTGAATGCTTCCGTGACCGACCTCCATGGCAAGGTACCCGACCTCCTCTGCCACTGTGATGGTTCCGACATTCGATGTCTCTCCCGACTCCAATGCGATGTCGGCGGACGATACCGACAATGAGGAGGCGGCCACTGTCATCCAAGGTGTGGAGAAAGTCATTGGCACATTTCCTGCCTCGTTGTTGGCAGTCTGCAATGTCAGCAGCAAAGCAGGGGGCGCCCCATACAAGTTCCAGAACAGCAGGCTCGACCAGCTTGTTGAGAGCCCGGAAGCCTTGCAGTTACTGGACGCCTGGCGGGCCACGGTTTGCACTCGCCCTGCCTCGAACCTTCGACCATCCGGAAGCTGGTGCACACCCGCTGCCGCCGCCATGTATGCCACAGTCATGCCCGAGTGATTGCCAGATTGGCCGGGGGGGACGGCAACCAGCGCCTCACGGGCGATATAACGACTTATAAGGGCTACAATCAGGCTACAGTTTACAATCGGCTACCAGGTTTTGCAGTGCGCTTGCCAACAGTTTTTTTGGAGTTCATGAGAACCCTGCCTCGAAGCTGGCTGCAGTGACACCACGGATGCGAACATTCGCCGGTACAGCCTGTCCCGTCGGGAGAACAACAATCACCGGCGGCTGCTCGAACTGACTGCGCAAGTGGAAGACCTGCCAGCCATCCTGACCTGCCCGCCCCCGTGGATGATGCACAGGTCTCAATACTCTGGTCTAGAAGATCCGACTGCTGCACACACTAGCATGAGCCGGTACGGGACATGATGGCAGATCACCCGTGAAGTTCCTACTGCAAGCATCTGACATCGCAGTCACCCGATGCATCCGCAGGCGTGGCGGATGAGAGTTCCAAGCTGAGCGCGAAATGCAACTCCAGTCCCAGCCTGTGACAGTGATCTCCCCAACCTCCAGAAAGGGGCCGGATACTGGAGGTGGCGGCTCGCGAGTTGTGGTGGTGGTCGTCGTGGTCGTCGTGGTCGTGGTCGTGGTCGTCGTCGTCGTGGTCGTTCCAGTGGTGCCGCCGATCAGCCTTGCAATCCGCAGCACGTGCATCATGGATGTGCATGTGCCAGTCCTTACAAGAAACATCTCCTGTCACAGTGCTGAGACTGCAGCCGGCATCGATAGGCGTCCAATACTTGCTTGATGTCACCCTCGGACAAGTGATCTCGATTTCCCACGAGTTTGTTGTTTGATGTGGGAATCGCATCGAAGTAGTAGCCATTCGCAATTGTGCGGTTGCTGCTTCTCTGACGGTAATAGTGCATGATGCTTTCCTCGGATGTGACAGCACAGACGCACAGCGTAGCCGATATCAATTTCAGTGGCAGCTGAATCTAAACAAGGAAACTCATGATAGCCATTGCGCAACACCGGGTAATGCATCCGTTGTAAGCATTCTAAGCTTCATAGTCGTACGCCGCATGGCCAATCTGTGGATCAGCCCCGCCATCGTCCGCTGATCCGATGTACGTCTTCTCAGACGGAAGATATTGAGACACCCATCGGCTGTCCACGTTCTCCCAGTACATCTGCAAAGCAGGACCCTTTCCATAGTACTCCGCTTGCGCATCCGCCCGCTTCTGCTCGTGATTCAGACCCAAGCCTGCAAAAGAGTGGATGTCACTACCGACAGGGCATGCGTGGCGATGACAAAAAAAGGTACATGCGCGGCTGTGAAAGAGCCGAGTCAGCCGAGTGGCAGTGGCCAATTTCATGAACCATGCTGCCCCTGTGGTTCATGTTCTTGCACCATCCTAAGTTGATCCTGCCATAGCTGTAGGGCCTACCCAAGTTGGACCAGCAGCTTCCGGTGTCGTAGATGCCAATGAGATAGTAGGGAGAGACGGCAGCATCATCCTCAATCACCGCAACGCATGTGTGCGTGCGCCAGTCGGCCGCTGCTGCCCGGAAAGCCTCCTTCCGTGTGTCGTCGACATCAGTGTCGAACTTGTACCGAACGACCACATACTCCTCCCACTGCGGGACCATGCCCTCCGGCGCCTGGCTGGTACGCTCGATCCACGGCCGGCCAGCTTGGCAGCCTGGACTGTCATTGCAAAGCCTCTCCCACATGGGGTTGGAAGTCTCACTGGCCACTTCGTCTTGCAAGAGGGCGGCCTTGGCTGCGTCTCCTTCATCAAGCGGTATGCCGTCTTCCTCTTGCGCCGGTGTCAGTCGCTTGCCGGCAACAACCGAATCAACGTAGGCGGTTGCGGCTGCATTCGGCTTGAGAAGTCCCGCACGGACCGAGCCACCACTTTCAAAAGGGCCCAGCCAACGATAAACGCGCATTGGGCAAGAATCTCCCATCACGCAATCACCCAGAGGGGCTGGCAAGGTGAGTCCAGGCCGGGGAGATGCTCCCCAGACAGCTGTGTTCAGTAGACTTGCCCCACATCGACATTCATCTTGCACCAACGCAAACAGGTCTAAGCCCTGACTGATGCAGAACTCGAAGCACAAGGATGCTGTGAGCTCATTGGAGCGCATGCGGAAGAACCTGCGTCAGACGAAGGCATTCTCACAGACAGCAGGAACCAAAGATGCAAATGAGGCAAGGCACGGCATGCCGCCACGGCAGGGCGAGTCCTACGAAGCTGCAGAGAGGTCTTCGGTTTGGACTTGGTTCGGGTCACATGCGGATGCACTCACATGCAGATGCACTCACACGCACTCACATGCACTCCTGCCGCCAGTCGATGCAAGTCTCATCAGCTCCATCTTCCGAAGGGGGCGCTTCATCTCCTCTGCACAGCTTCAAGAACAGAACCCACTTGCGCCCAAAGGGAGGGGACGAAAGTTACAAAGGCAGAGCACGCACATCCAACGATCCAGCATCATGAGCACCAGGCGGCCCTGTTTTCTCCTAAAGCGCTTGTGTCAAGCCTGAGCGATGCTCCCTCTGCTCGATTTCAAGGCCGACAAGTTGACCCATGCCCACGAACAGGACGAGGCGACGACTCGCATTACAGCATTAGGTCTTCGGTGGCCTTACACGAAATCTGTGGCACAGCTCAATGCTTTGAGGTACATAAGATGTGTTTGTATATATTTGTTAGAGGCGGCTTGAGTAGGCATGGGGAATCCCTAACCACTGTACCAATGCACGCGAAGGAGTCCGCCTCGGGCTGTCGTCAGATCCCGTGCGAGACCTGGAGTGATCTCTAGCTCTACAAATGCACTGTCGTTGGGGGCTGAGAGGTATCTAGCAGCATCTGAACCTCTGGGCCCTGGCGCGCCCAGCAACCCAGAATCATGAGCATCAGGGGCCCCTGGTCTCTCCCAAAATGCCGCTTCCGAGTCTTCGGCGACAACTGCTCGAAAAATCCCGACGGATCGGACACGCAGAGCATGAGACGACCGTTCTCCCTCAAGTTTGAGGAGAGAGCTTCCCAATATCTGGCAACAACGGGGAAAGGAGATAGAGACCTCTCCTTCCGCAGACACTCTGAAACATCACAGGTCACAGAAACGGAAGAGGGCCTGCGGCGAAGCAGCCGACGCACTCATAATTTGTGTCATGCTCCATCTGCGCATCCGTGTCGTCACCTCAGAGTATGGGCACGGCACGGCATTCACACCCAACACACAGGCACAGAGTCACAGAGACGTGTCCACACACATCTCAAGTATTCTCAATCCTTCAGTTCGCCCCAAGCGACTCGCTTCCAGCTCCTCCTCCACTTCATCAATTGCCCTGCATTCGCTCGCACAGCCCATGACGCCACAGTGACAGCGCCTGGCAGTTCAGGATAATGCAGGCGGTACGGCATGCCTCGCGTTCATTCATGCTGCATTCGTGCTTCACATGTTCACACGCTGCTCCTGAAGAGTCTCGGTTTGAAGAGGTGCTCGCAGGCGAGGTTAGGCAGTGGATCGCCAGCAGTCGAGTTGCATGTCAGGTGCCGCTGCTGGAAGGCCACGTTGGCACTCGGGTGTTTGAGAGACTCAGGACAAACGCGAAAACAATCCCCAAAGGGTGAGGCCACCCAAGAAGCGTCGTGCTCGAAAGCCGCAGTCGCTGCCGAAGTTGAGCGATACCTGAAGCACAGGCTGATCCCCTGCCGGCAGTTCTGAGAACCCAGTCTTCTGCGCATCAATATCAATTTCCTCTCTTATCGCATCTCCTCACCAAGCAGCTGGATGAACAAGCTTCCACTGCTCGGACAAGTTCGGCTCGAAGGTTCCGAGAGCGGATCTCCTTTTGAAACTTGTGAGATCAAGAGCACTAAGAGCAGTTCCCGGCAACTTTTGAAGCTGAACCCTGTCGGACCTGGCCTGCCAGAAGAGGCAGAAGACGAATTGCTAGGCAAGCGCTGGCCTCGATGCAATCGCCGGGTGTCGTTGAGTCGCTGAGCTTTACCAGACTCCCAAGCCCAAGCAACCCAAGCAACCCAAGCACTTCCTGCCAAACCCCACTTGGGCCAAGCCACTAGCCTCAGCATGCTGCGACTCGAGCCGTGAAGCGTAGGCGACTGATTGGGCCCAAATGGCTTCACCGGATTTTCCCCGTGGGCAGCGGAGCTTCTAATGGCTTTTAAAGATTCAGGAGGAGGACAACTTGAGAAGCAGCAGCGATGCAGCAGCCCCTTTTGCATTGGTCCTGCTCGGTTCTTTAAATTGCATCCAATGCTCTGTTCCGCTTCCAGCCTTGCCAGGCCGAGTAGAAGTCGTGCCTTCGCATGATGTTGCCTCAGCCAGAAGGATAGCGAAGGCTTTGCAAACTTCCTACTTTCCTAACAACGGATTGCGCAGTGCGACCAGCCACAGCAGTTCGTAAAAGTTCGTCGCGTCATCTCCGCACCGACGAGCTTCCTTTTGAGATAGGCTGTTGCTCACAGGGATTCATGAGGATGCACTGCACTTGCCGAATTTGCCAGCCAAAAGTAGCTCCCAGCCAAGCCGCTCTCGCAACTGATCATCAACTTTCTCATCAAGTCCGCGGCACCGAGGATCGTTCGGAAGGAGTGTCTGAAAGATGCCCTTGGAGTCCAAATCTCTCCTGTGTCTCGCAAAGGCATCTTCAGCAAGGGCGGATACACGCACCACAGATGGCTTGCAGAAAGGGGGCACCTCTCATGCATGTAATTCGGCACCGGGCAACAACCCTTGAAGGGCGTAGCCTTTTACTCTTCCGGGCTCTTCTTCCGACGTGTTCTGGACCCAGGTGACAGCGAGGAAAAAAAAAAAACGAAACACCCAGCAGGACCTCGACCACGGCCCTCAACTTCCTCTGAAAAGGACAATGCCGAGGATCATGAGCAGCTGGAGGCCGCCACCCCCGAAGACAAACATCTGAATCGTCCCCAAGGCATAGGCCCTCCTGAGCTGCTACCCAACCTACTGAGCTCCTGCTGAGCTCCTGCTGAGCTCCTACTGTCACCGGACTCTCATGTCGTGGGGGTCCCTGCATGTCCCTGCAGGTTCCAGGATCGCAGGATTCGGCAAAGATTCAGGAACTTGCTGCGCGAGACGGGGCGGCCCAGCTTCGAGTAGGCTGAGAGCAGCGAGGTGATCAGGGCCTCCTATCGGCCAGCGCATGCATCCGCATGCATCCGCCAAGATCACAAGGAAACCCAACAAAAACCCCCATGGTCAAGCTTTCAGCAGGCCACCTTCTGTCCTCATTCTTGTCAAGGAACTCAGGCTCCAAGAAATGCCAGTTCCAGGCCCACTCCTGGCCAATGTTGTTCATACAGCTTTGCTGCCAATCGAACCTCAGTGCTCGTCTCAAATGCACTCTGCCACTCTGCCATTCCAGCATGCAACAGCTTCCGTTGAAGACGGAATTGGTCGATAAGCAGTAATCCATTGGCATTTAATGCATTTAAGGCTCAAAACTTAAATCACTGGGCAAAGTGACGAAGATGAGCATGCACAGCACGGCTTTGGGACATGGACTGGCAACACAGGCAATACAGCATCTTGAAGTCGATTACAGCTTAGCTGCAGCCCCATCCTCAGCTGCTCACTGCCACCTTCGCGCCAGTAGAAGGCATTGTCGGTGGTGAGATCGTTATGGCCAAACGCTACCTAAGACACTCCGAGGCTGAAACAGCGTAAGATCAATTGAAGGATCTGCATACACGGCCGCGCTTGACTTCTGTCTTCGTTCTACCTGTCACTGTGCCTTTGAAACTGCACCCTGTGCTGCAAAGCAGCCATGTCCCTTTCAAGGGCCAGGCTCGTGAGGATGTCAGCCATATCCCAGATGAGCTCCCACTCCTGCCGGTTCAGGTTCCCAAGATCCCCGCCCTTCCGCTGTGTTCACCTTGCGTGGCCTTTCCAACCAGGTCGATGGGGCAGCTCCACGTCATCCATTCAAGGTTTGCGCTCTTCCCCTTGACGGTTTTCTGAACAGTCTGCTTGAGGCCCATCCAGCCACTGACCATGCAGAGGAGCCACATCTGGCCTCAATGAGTGGGAAACTTTGAAACTGCACTAACACAGTGAATGCACTGTCGAGCGATCGCACGCCAGTCAGAAGGTCCGAAACGTCCAGAAAGCAGCAAATTGGGTGGCACATTGCAGAGAAAGTTTCGGCAGTACAGTTCAGGCCCTGTTCAAGTGCTCACCGGCTATGGCCCAAGTAATTCTAAACATGCGATAAGTTGGACTTTGTCGGGACCATGCCCTCCATGAGCGAGTGAAGTGAAGTGAGAATTGGGTGAAACTCATCGACGCCACGAAATACCTCAAAGGTAGAACTGGTGCCCTGGCATCTCACGTACTCTCGCACGAGACGGCAGGTGCTACTATGTCGACCCTCTACCTCAACAACTCTCCAGAGCTACAAAAGGGGTGCTGCAATGAAGCCAAATTGCCTAGATAGAAAAATCATCGACTGGCACGAAGGCTGGACAGATATAGCAGCACGGCCTACTGCAGCCTGATGCAGACTGTCACCCAGACCATTGCAGACCGGTCTCGACGAGTTTGGTGAAAGCGAGGAATTTCCACCGGCTTGGAGCTCCAGGAATGGGTATGGAGTCTGGCACCGGTCTCTATGAACAAGAGCTGCTCCTGCACATCCCCAGCGTTTCACAACTTATACAACTTGCAAGTTGGGGAAGTTGCAGTCCCTGGTGTCCTCCAGGGTTGCTGCATCCCGAACTCGGTGCTTCAATGGCAAGAGCTTGCCCGAGCCAAAGTCTAACACTTCCGTAAGCAGGCAGAACTCACCTTGCAAGAGGGACGAAGAATGACGATTGGCCCAAGGTCCAAGCACCCTAAAAGCACCCTAAGCCCTGAAAATCCCTGAAGGGTCCAAAGAGTCTACACCTCGCAGAGACGTCGGCATGGGCCTGTCACGAAGTTCAGGTCCACGAAGAAGCCTCGGCGGAAGAGTCTGCAGCTCCTCCTCGACACATTTGAGCAATGCTGTGAGTTGCTCTCAGTTTGCAGCCTCGTGGCATTTCGGAGTTCTGAGACAATCTTTGGTCTCAGGCGCTAGGTACTTGTAGAAAAATGCCTCACACCAGCACACGTCGGAGGTCGCCACCAGCAGCCGCATTGCTCCGAGCTTTTGCAGGTTGCACTTCAAGAAGAAGCGGGATGGCAATTCGCAAGGTCCAGAGTACTTAACCTCCAGCACAGCCTTGTCACCCTTGACCCCATCTGTAACCTTTTTGTCCAGGTTCTCTACAGATGTTACCACCACACCATCCGGCAAATGATTTTCGGCCAGGAGCATGCGAGTTAGCAGAGCCGCACCTGAAGGCGACGTCAAGTCGTCCACCTTAGATTCTGCTCTTGAATACTAGCTGTGCTTGGCACAACCTCTGCATCACTGCAACTAGATAGCAAGTACAGAACCCCTGCTGCGCTTCGAGCTGTCCAGTTCAGTCTGAGAGCACAGATCGGGAAAACGAGCCCTGTCAGCTTTCCTCTGGCACGTCGGCCTGTTAGAAGTGTCAAGCGCGAAAACCGAGCAAATGTGAAGACTATTGACATGATGCAAGCTTCCAACCGGTCCTTTACAGCAAAGCATTTTCAACAGCGTCATCGAAATAGCTAGCACCATTGCGTCACGAAGCCAGAAGCACATGCTGCTGACCTCCACAGCTTCAGGATTCATCCGTTTCAGCGCACGGAGTGCTGCCAAGTACTTTAACTAAGCGGCCACAATAATGCACAAGGCTGCCCCATAGCCAGTGTAGGCCAACGAGCTGAGCCCAATTCCACTCTCCATGGCACATGGATACCAGGACTTCCAACCGATGGACAAAATGCCCTCAAGTGTTGGCTGCGCTTCAATGGTGTGAGTCTTCGTTCTACGTGTACAGTTTACAAGGCGCAACAGTGCGTAACAGGTCCATTTTAAGAGGTACTGCGACAACAGCAACGCTGCCCCATCTAGCTGATGGCACAACCTGTCAAGCGGAAAGGAAAGCACAGCATAGCACAGCTTGCAAGTGCTGATGACACGGCTGCAGCAGAAGCAGGGCGACCGCCATCATCAACACCAAACAGGTTCCCAGCATCTTTGCGGAGCCTGAAAGCGACCACTACGGAGCAGAGCAGAGCCCATTTTGGCGGCGAGCATTTGAACATTGTCCATTCGATTGGGAATCTAGCTTCCACAAACGAGTTCACGAACCACATGGACACTCCGCAGTCGCAAAGGCTGGAAGCAGCCCCAACCGTCCAAGTCCGAGTCTACGGTCGTCTCAGTCCTGCGTCATCTCTGGCATCAAAAATCTCGTGCCTGGAGTGCCATGAAGAGTGGCAGAGCCTGTTTGGTTGGTCCCAGTGTCGCTTCACATGGCTACACTTCCGTGCCAGGAAAACAATCGCCAAACCGATGGCTTCTCCTTGACCTTGGCCCACACGCGGGCAGAGTGCACGTGGCATTGTCGCATTGTCGTCGAACTCACTCTCTCATCCAGCTTGAGTTCTGTCCAAATCTTTCTGAGCCATCTTCCTCCATATCAGTTGCAACGAAAGGCGGTTGCTAACTATTGCAGCAAGCAAAAGCCGATGCACGGTGTCCTGTCCACGAGGTGCTTTGCAAATTCCATCTGTTTCTTCCAGAAATCGGGAACCTGGATCGTGAGAGCGCATTGACAGCAAGATGCGACAGGATTTCCCGGCCACAGCTGCTTCGCCTAGCAGAATCTACACGAGACTCGTCTATGCCAGTTGAGCTGCACCAGCGAGCGTATTGTGGTCAGCGTCCAGCATAACAAGTTCACGCTGGCTTGCGTGGACGGCAGCATCGAAGTGTCTCTTGGCATTTTCCGGACCCACCTCGTTAGTCTGTGACCACATGTGATCTAACGTCATCTTCGAATATCCTCGAAAGGACATCTCGCAGCTGATCTACGCGCTTCGAGTTCTTTGAGTTCTTCGATAACTTCGAAGTTGAGGCCGCAGCTATGAAGTCGTGCTCCCCATGCAGAAGCAATACCGGCCCCCGGTACCCTCGAAGGAAGTCCTCACTTCCCAGGATCCGCAGGCTCTCCTCACAATGTCTTCACGCAGTTTCAGGTTAGGGTTTAGGCAGTTTAGGGTTCCACACATTTCGACACATCCACGCCTGCCCAGGTTTGCATCCGGGCGGGAGAGATGCCCGCAATTGCTTCGAAAGCTCCTGGCCATTCCGGTCGGAAGTGCTGCTCAGCTCCCATCCCGCACATGAACATCCCCAAGTCCTCGAACATCGCGACCTGAGCAGATGGGCATAGCATGTCATGTGATACGAGTATCATGTGACAAGGCTCGCAACTGAGCTGAAAGTCATCCTCACAACCACCGACAACTCCCACTCCGCACAGTCAGCGAGCGTTGCGTTTTCTTGACGTTGCATTCAGGGCACAGCTTGCTCGGAAGAGTCCCGCAACCATGAGAGCAGCTGAGCATAGCGTTCAGCTGCACTCGTTGCGAAGCCAGAGTCCAGAATCAGGCCATCGAATTTGTCCTTCAGTCGCTGGCAAACTCATCCACACACGGTCAACTAAAGCTTAGACAACAGAGGGTGCTCCTGTCACAATTGCAAAGACCAAGCGAAATGACCTCTGCTCCTCTGACGCACTTATTTTGGGGAGGCGCCCCCCCGCCGGGAAAATGATTCAGGGGGTGACTGGGCTGAGCCAGCCGTGCCGCCGACACCGCACACGGGCTCGTCACAAAAGGCCTAACAGGCCGGGGGACCTGGTGCATGGTTCAATGGTTCCCTCATGAAGGGGGCATATCAAAGGCTGTTGCAGCACAGGACATCGGGGGAAAGCCTAGCGGACCCCCACACGACCCCCGATCCAAACACAATGATTTCGCCCGCTTCTCCGAATTTTGCTCATGCGTCCAATTGCATCCTTCCACATTAATCCTGATTCTGGTGCTTCGGTGCTAACCTTCGACTTTCATGCGTCCGTGAAACATTTCAGAAAACCACTCACAGCCTTTACGCGTTAAAACTGCTAATAGAAATCATGTGTTTGGCCAATTAGCGGTTGGTCACGAAAACCCCAGTGACAAGAGCAAGAGAGAAGAAATACGTGTGGCCAGGGTCTAGAACTATTGCCAGCCACTTCGCACGCAAAGGAAATGCATAAAGAAGAGGCGTTCACTTGCGGAAATAAGAACCCAAATGAACACGAAGACGGCTGGCCCCCGCCCCCCCAGGATGCGTTCGCATTTTATTTCAGTAACTCCGCCAGCTTAGAAGCGTGACACGGGCGTAGATGCGTAGAGCATAAGAAAAGCTTGCCGAAGGCCGAGTCTCTGGCATCAGGCCGATGAGATGCGTGGCCACGGCGCTGCCCAGTGATCGCCCTACAAGTACAACTGGAGCTGGCCACGGCCATGTAAGGCCATTCCTGGGCGGCAACAGACAGCTGAAGATCAAACGAATGGCAAGGATTGCATCGGACTATTTAAGCAGGCACTTTGTAGAAAACCCTCCTGAGCCAACGACTGTCGAATGATGTCTGGTAACTTCTGCATGCACTGCTCCGCGTCGCTGAGAAGATTCGCCATGGTTGGCTTCCCCGATGACCTCTTTGCTGACGACACCACGTGCCGTGATTGGGATTGGTACCAGTAGCCTTCAGACCGAAACACTCGGCAACTGACCAGCCATAGCCGCGATAGTCGAAAATCAGCATGCCTCGGTATCATCCATTCCTCTTGCATATCCTAAGGTATGCTCCTCTATGTCAGTTGTTGTGCAGTGCTCCTCTCTGTCAGTTGTTGTTCAGTCCGCACAAGCTCGCTGAAGGATGAGCTTCGAACAAAAACTTGCACTGTTTGTTGTCACGCAGGACATGCGGGAGCGAGGGATGAAAGATTTGAGAGCGATGCTTGTGAGAATTCGCGGCGAGTGCTGACGTCGCTGTAGAGGCAGGGCTGACAGATTAGGAACGTGAGAAGATAAGACTTGAGAAGGGCGGAGGAAACTGAGCGTCGAGAAGCACCGGAACGACAACCAAAACTCAAATTGTACACAAACTTCGTTTGAAAAAGCCCAGCATGTGACGTTCGAATCTGTTGTGCGCCCTCGATGCCGCAAGAATCTTTGAGCACTCTCACTTGGCGTACGTGAGCACTGTGCGCTCGTATACAGCTGTACGTGGATGATGAGTTTCCACAGCAGCTGTGCAAGCGCCGGCGCTTCGAAACTAGAAATCTGTAGTCCTCCGTCTTCTTCTTTTTCTTCGGAAGGGTTGGACCACCCGCTCTCATACGCAATGCATGCCCACCGTCGCTGTCTGACAGGTGAGGCTCGGTCAACTCCCGTGGAATCGACCCAGCAGGAATTCCAAGATTCACCACGCAGACACATTCCCCTTCATTCCCTGCAGCCGTATATTCTTGCGCGTGAGCCCTGGCTTCCCCTGCAACAAGCTTACCCTTACTACCCTTACCTGGTAGTATCCCGTCTCAGGGCTTACCTGCTGGTTTACAATCCTCGGCACTTCGCAAGTCCCTGGCTAGCCTGAGGTTTTGCCTTCGAGCCCATTACTGGGGGCGAGCTCATACAACCTTGCAAAATCGACTCCTACCCATGCTGGAGCCTGGGCGTGCTACACCACCTGCGCCCATGCATCTTCACGAATGCTGTAGAAATGTGTAGTGCAGTGGCCCCCTGGTTCGCAATCCTTGAAACACCCAATAACACAGAATGCCAAGAGGATGATTTTGTCGTCAACACTCAGCAGGACAAGCTAGAAGAGTCTCTCCCTGTCTCACTCGGGCTGCTCTTCTCGCTGCGTCTGCACCCCTCCTCATGCCAGCACGCGTCCAGGTTCGCAGCGTGTATGGGTGACACGAAACGACTGCGTACACTGACCGGTGGTGTATATACCCATCAGCTGGCGCCGGAGCAGAGAGAGATCCAACAATGTCAACACACAAACTGCACTAGGAAGCATTGCCCCTGCCTGCCAATTCGAAAGCTGAGGGTTGCACTGCACGGAAAGACTCGATAGATGTCTGCCCAGTCTGTGTAGTCTTCACAAATCTCGCCATTGCCATGATACAGGATCAAGAGGGTGTTGTGAGTTGCCTTTGCCCTCCGATTCATGAGTAGGCGGTAGCCAATTTCTGCGGGATCTGCTCCTTCCCCTACACTGCAGCTGCCATCGAAAAGCTGTATGTTTTCAGCAGCCCATCGGACATCATGGTCCTCGTCCCACATAGACTTCCGAGGTCTCAGAATCCGCAGTTGACGAGCATGTCTTTCTCTGCAAAGACACCAAAGTTGGGTGATGCCTTCTGCCATGGCTTTACAAGCCTCATGGCCACTGATGTGACCTGCGACGGGATGCAGCCATTGATCAGGTAAGGAAGAGCCCGACATGGGCAGACCCCAGCAGTTTGTTGCAGGAGAGGAATCGTGGCGCCTAAGTCGGTGCCCAAGCAGAATCGAAGGCAAAGCAGCGACAGGGATGACGGCCCTGACCAAAGATTTCAACGCCACTTCTGAAGCAGATCTGCGCAGATCCTCTAACTTCCTTATCTACGGGGAATGGGCAGATCGCCTGCCACCGCCTCCAAGGCGGATCCCTCTTGGAAGTCAGCCAACGCATCTTGGTATCGCAGCTCTCTCCAGGCAGCGTGGCCGCGACGGACCTTGCAAGGACATCCGATGGCTGCAGAAACACGGAGAACCTTCGAGACTCGGTGCGTGCTTGTGATTGCTTGGCTGAGCAGCGAGAAGGTTCTCACGGTCGGAGGCCTCTCGTGATCGAAACCATGATGCAGCTGATAACTGTCATCAGCAACTGCTAGCAGCTCAGCGCAATGCGTTTGTATCGCTGGTCGGTGATGCCCCCGCACTCCGTGACCCGCGCTGGCCACCTAGACGACCATGCGGATGTGCAGTGCGGCTTTTCTGTTGCTCCTTCGCAATGCCTTGGAGGGTCCGGTGAACCGGCCGAATGCTCTTCAAACTCCGGGTGTCCTCCCCACACATCCCGGATGTAAGCCGCTAGCACTGCGTCACAAGTCAGCTACAAAATGCGGCCTGACCCTGCTTTGCAGGTCTTTCAAGAAGGGAGGTGTCCTTGGTCCAGATAACGACCAGTCAGTTCATAAAAAAAGGACCACCTCTTTGACCACATCTTGTTTGCAGTTCCCTATAGTGAGCCGAGGCTCGACCTTGCCAGCAAGCCTTGTGTCCACTCCGTCGAATTCTTCCAGTTTAAAGCCCAATTTGTCCTTCTGCGACCTGCAAACAGTGCCCACCTTGCTGTGAACCGTTCACGCCAAAAACAAGGCTGCTCAAGAAAGTGCGTGCTCATGGCAGCTGGAGAACTTGGCATCAGCTTCGTCCAGCGCCTCGAAGTCAAACATGGCCTTAGACGCTGGCAACCAAGCGACGTTGCATGAGGTCTCGAACCCAAACAAGATCCCCGTCAACAGTTCCAGTCGGGGAACGTTCCGCACTACGACTTCGGAATGAGCCTAAACAAACCTGCCTTGATCTGCTCTGCTGCTCGCTAAGCTCCTGATACCAGATTGCTGATGAAAGAGCTGACGGGATCTCACGAACGCTTTATCGAATGCAACAAAATCTTGCTCCCCTCTCGCTCTGCACCGCATTTTTCCAGCGACTTCCATGAGCTTTGCATGATGACTCACTGCCCCTGCCAGCAACAGCAGAAATAGCCACGACATGTCGTGCCAGTGCGGTGCACGCAGTGCAGGCGGTGCAGGCGGTGCAGGCGGTGCAGGCGGCGGACCTGTAGGCTGATGTAGGCTGTCATCTCTCACGCCGTTTGTCATCCTCGTCGTCGCTGAAGTCGGCGTCTTCATCCATGCGACCTCTCTCTGCCGGCTTCTTCTTCCTCTTGTCGGCATTGCCGAGCATTCTCGAAACGCCTGCTTCCGTCTTTTTGTGTCCTTGCAACACACACGGGACAAGTACTGACTACGGCTCAGAACACAAAGCAAGAAGTTACTCAATGCGCACATTCATTACATTTCATTACATTTCATTACACTCATGGCAAAGTCATATGCACGGTCGATAGAAAACGCTAAGCTGGGAAGCTGAAGTCTGGAGCGCTCGCTTTCCTTCTTCTCTCTCTCTCTCTTCTCTCTTCTTCTCTTCTCTCTCTCTTCTCTTCTTCTCTTCTTCTCTTCTTCTCTTCTTCTCTTCTTCTTCTCTCTCTTCTTCTCTTCTTCTCTTCTTCTCTTCTTCTCTTCTTCTCTTCTTCTCTTCTTCTCTTCTTCTCTTCTTCTCTTCTTCTCTTCTTCTCTTCTTCTCTTCTTCTCTTCTTCTCTTCTTCTCTTCTTCTCTTCTTCTCTTCTCTTCTTCTCTTCTTCGTCTTCTCTTCTTCTCTTCTTCTCTTCTTCTCTTCTTCTCTTCTTCTCTTCTTCTCTTCTTCTCTTCTTCTCTTCTTCTCTTCTTCTCTTCTTCTCTTCTCCTCTTCTCTCTTCTCCTCTCTTCTCTTCTTCTCTTCTTCTCTTCTTCTCTTCTTCTCTTCTTCTCTTCTTCTCTTCTTCTCTTCTTCTCTTCTTCTCTTCTTCTCTTCTTCTTCTTCTTCTTCTCTTCTTCTCTTCTTCTCTTCTTCTCTTCTTCTCTTCTTCTCTTCTTCTCTTCTTCTCTTCTTCTCTTCTTCTCTTCTTCTCTTCTTCTCTTCTTCTCTTCTTCTCTTCTTCTCTTCTTCTCTTCTTCTCGTCTTCTCTTCTTCTCTTCTTCTCGTCTTCTCTTCTTCTCTTCTTCTCTTCTTCTCTTCTTCTCTTCTTCTCTTCTTCTCTTCTTCTCTTCTTCTCTTCTTCTCTTCTTCTCTTCTTCTCTTCTTCTCTTCTTCTCTTCTTCTCTTCTTCTCTTCCTCTCTCTCTCTCTCTCCCTCTCCCTCCCTCTCTGCCTGCTTTTTTGAGGACTTTGACTTTCTTGGGACGACAATCTCGACTGCAACTGTAGCTGGCGCGACCGAGATGCCATTCTAGCTTGCAACGATGCATCCTGCAAAGCGCGATGCAGAGGCTGCCAAGCAAAGTGCTCCCAGAGTGCTACAGATTCTGGGTCCTTGATGTCTTCAGGCTCCTCGGCGGGATGCGGAGGAGCCTCAGCGCATAACACGCATGACAGGTTCGTTCGGTTGATCGGATGAAGGCTTTGTTCGTGCGACCTGCTCCTCACTTTGGGTGGGATCAGCGCGCTCCGGCAATTCCTCTCACGCAAAACAAAGAAACAAAGTCAAAGTCAAAGCGAGAGCAAAGGCTGGTGAACTGCCTCGGTTTCCTTGAAGGGCTCAGATTGCATCATTGCCTGCAACAAGAGGCAACAAGAAACGCAAGCTTTTTGCACTGAAAGTGAAGTGAAAGGCTCCTCAAGGTGCACGCTGGGATCATCTTCTGCCTGCTTTCGCATGCGGCAGCGGGTTGTTCGCCTCACGCCTTAAGCCGGTGCCTCCTCCTGTGCCTTCCGCTGTGCCTTCTCCTGTGCCTTCTCCTCTACCTTTTGAAGGGGAGCCTCACACACTTCACAGTCTGCATGACTTGATTTTCGGTCAGTTTTAGGTTACACTGGCGAAGTGGTGAGTGAGCCTTTCGCGCGGCTTCGAACTCCTGCAACGAAGAATGGGTGAAACCATGAAAACTGGGTGCCAACCGGGAGTTGGGGAACCCAGCTGACTTGGCGCCATTACAACAACACGAAGCGGAATCGTACTAGCACATACAGGAACAAGACCTGAAATTGCTCTATCAGCACGACAGCAGAAACATGTCGAGCATCTCGAGTGCTACAAGTAGAAGAATGGCGATACTTGCAACAAGAAGAAAACAACCAAGTGAGTGGGCATTCTGCTGACGTTGACCTCAACATTGGTTCATTAAGAGCACATAAGCACGCCAAAAATACCTCGGGGTCCGCGAGGTATTCCAGCACAACAGAAACAATTTCAGTGTCGGTGCAAACGCAAACGACATGGGTCTGATGAACCCAACCGACTGAGAGTGTAAGTGTGTTTTCATCATCGGCCACACGAACGAATGGTAGGTGAGGGGTTGGGGAGGGGCAGTGGGGGGGGCGAGCCCAGACCACGAAATCCAGAACCTGGGGTCAGTCCAACGTGCTTGAGATTAGCAAGAAGCTTGAGTGTTTTTATCGCAGGCAAAACACTCAAAACTTCTTGAAACAATCTTGGCCAGAACTTCTTTACATGCCCATCCACGGCCGCCGTCAGTCCTTAAGGGCAGCATATCCACAGCAAGGGCCAGTCTCGAACGTGACTGTGCTCAGCTGTTTGGATTAACACAATTGCTGTTGTTCTTGTTTGTAAGAGCAAATGCGAAACGGATAGCGGTTCAGCTTGCGGGTTTTGCTTTGGTTTCCTTTTTGGATTGCTTGGCTTGCATCGCCATGTTGTCTGATTTGCTTGCCCGTTGGGCACAGTCATGTGATTCCACAGACGTAGGCCAGCTTTGGCGTCTCCATCTCCAGTGATGTGCCATTACAGAATCGCCAATGTATGTGCAATGTCGCCTCGTTGTGTGTCATTCATTCTTGACATTGATCTGTTGGTTCTTTATGTTTTTGCCTTCGCCTGGTCCTCTCGCGATTAGGTTCCTTCCTTCCTTCGTTTCTTGTTTCGGTCCATTCGTCCTTGCTGCATTGTTTTGTTGCATTGCTCCGTCCTTCCTTCCCGCCTGCCTTCCTCCTTCTCCCCACCTCCCTTCGAGTGACCACGGAAAAGAGACAAGCTCTTTCACGGTTTCGTCTTTGTTGGCTGGGAGGAGTTGCTCTTGACTGGCATCCCCACCTGACTTAGACAAAATACAGCAGAGATTGGCATTCTTTGATCATCCCTAACCCTATCCTTCACAGAACGATTTCACAGCGGGGTTTCCATGGTCGGGAATAGTTCAGACTCCGTCTGAAGGGGAGCAACTTTCTACCCCTCGGCTGCGTGAACGGGCATCGCGAACTCCCCGCTCTCATCGCGATGTAGCCTGGGTCTCAATTCGAGAGAACCCTGGCAAAGAAGGTCAAAAGAATTCTCGCTTCGTGTGTCAAGACACACGAGGAGTCTGTGGGAGGGATGGGCGGGTAAAGAATTGGAGCGCAGGCTTGAGCTGATCTTGGGAAGAGATGCATGCCAAAGAATCACGTATGCAGCGCTCCCTGCCACTCCAAAACATACATGAAGCGGAGACACCATAACTCAACACATGAAAAAAGGTGTCCCTTCGAAGACGCAGTCCTTTGGATCAACTCCGAGCTTGGCTGATGCCAAATGCCTCTGCTTTCGGAGCTCACCTCCCACACGGAACCACCACGAACCACTCCTCTGATTTTGATTCTCGAGACGACGGGCCTATGATTTTCTCGAGGTGTTTGCTTTCTGTTCTTGCCATCTCCACCTGCCGAGGCAACAACTCCACCTATCACAGGTTGACACTTTGCCTGTCGTTCTTCGTGAAATTCCGGACACCTCCAGGTAAGCACGCCCAGTGCTGAACATCGGCTTGAAGCCCTGAGCGGCCATGCCACATGATGCAACGTCATGGCATTTCCGTTGTGCACATGAGGCCCCGACTTTTTCCACGGCCATCATTGCCATCATTACTTTCTGCTCCCTTTCAAGAGTCTCTCGCCTGCACATTCGATCAAGTCGTTGGCAAATCAGGCAGTCGTTGCAAGCCTCTCTCGGAAGATGTCTTCAGTTCTCTTGAAGGCCTGTCACAGAATAGCAACCGTCAACATCATACAGCATATGAGCAAAAGCGGAAGCGCCGACTGTGGCTCATTCTCGGCATGGTTCGTGATAGATGTCCTTATATATTTCATCATGATACCATGTTCCTGCTGTCACCTCACAGAACTGCTTTTCTTGGGTTCAAGGCAAATCTGTGCCTCGCGCTTTGTCAAGCCTTCTTCTCGCATCAGCTTCAGCTGCTGGGCCACAAACTGCAGAGCGTGACGTATTGCGACAGAGGTATGGGATAGAAGCATCGCCTTCTTGCCCTCTTCCCAACATCCCAGCCCACCAGATCAGGCCTGCATAACCGGATGGTCATCTCGATATGAATCATTTCCAGCCGACCAATCATTTCCATCGACGTAGCAGTCCTGAAGCTTGCAACAGTGTACCCATGTTTTTCATTTGTTTTACAACATGTGAAGTATCAGAAGCTTTGCTTGATTCTGTGGGCTCCTGGAAACGGAGGTCCGGATACTTCTTAAGGAGGAAATCAACCTTGGGGGCATTCTCACGGCTGTCTGCCTTCACAGGATCATGTCACCGAGCCACCATCTGCGGGTAGGGATTCCGAATCGTGCGTGCCTCGCATAAGCCCGGGGCTGCTTGATTTTCAAAATTTTCAGGATGAGACGGAAAGTTCTCACTGGCCGCTGGCCTGCAGGTGCAGGTTGTGGTTCTCCATTGGAGGAACCCGCTGGCACCTGATGCGGCATGCAAAAAGGGACATGCAAAGGGGCGTAAAGACGTGCCGAAAAAGTTGCCCTCAGGCTGCCACCACTCCAACCACCTGGGTCGCTCCTGAAGCTGGGCCCATTGTGCAAGAGTACCGCCAAGCAAACTCGGCCAATGCCAAGAGTCCTTCAGGAGCCCCATTTGGGTGAGCATGCGCACCCTTGCAACGACCTCAAGCGTTGAAGTTGAACATGTCACCGCTGTGTCGACGGCAGTCTAAACTAAATGCGTTCTTTGTTCCTACCGCCTTCTGTTAATACGGGCATCACCCTTAGATGAAACTGTGCGACGCCTTTCAACACAGCTGTTTCACGCGCGATAAGTTCATACTTTGGCTGAGCAGGGCCCATTCTTTCCTCAGACAGCTGCACGTAATCTGCACAGACCTGCGGAACTCGGTGTATATGGCCGATGTGCACGGCAACAGCAAGCGCCACTCGACATGTTTGCTATTTGAGACGCCCTCCTAGTGTGCCGCATACTGCAAGGCCCCAGCATCAAGCTTCGCAGCCCGCCGGAAGTTGGAACCTTGCACAGTATTCACAGCTAAAAGTCATGTGACATGTGAAGACACGGGCATCGCCAACGCTTCACATGCAGCGGTGAGGCGGCCCCTTTACTCCCTTTGCTCTGTAATCTTTGAGAAGGCGTGTTGTGTTGAGCGGAACCTCTTCATCAAACCCTGAAGAAAAGCATCTGTCTGTCTATGAATCTATCTATACCTCTATACATATATATATATATACACTTATATATATATGTGTGTGTTGCTCATTCCTACCCATCCATGGCTTGCAGATGCAGCCGGCATGTCTCCACGGCACCTTAAATGCTAGCCTGCCCCGATTCTTGTGGCAGGGATGCCGGGACGAAAAATGTGTTCGGCACGTTCCCGATGCTATATCACATGGCCTCAAATACTCATGGCCCAGAACACAGAGCGCATCTCAAGCACCATGTCTCAAACACCACCCGAGATTTCAAGCTTTGCCCCACCCCGACATTGACATGGATTGACCCTGGACCTATGCAAAGCTGATGCGCATCGTTCGAACCACAAATGGTACGTGCTTCTGAGCCCCGAAACCGTTGGGGTGTATCGCGGCCTTTGGCATGGCATCGATGAGACTTAAAAATGTTCACGGGTTCACAGCTTGCATGCTTGTGCATACTTGCCCATGTGCATGTTAAGCTGTGATATGCTGGCAGCATGGGACTTCAAGTTTAGAATAAGGCTCCTGGTGTGGCGCTCCGTTCAGGGGCACTGCCTTGAGCACTGAACAGCAGCGGGCGATGGCAATCTCAATGGTGGCAAGACAAGAATCATGATTCAGAATATGCTGCTGGTTCGCTTACAACAAGAGCTGGCTGGAGTCGACGTTGGCGAGGGCAATTTGCTTCGGACGGGACATCATAGGTTTCACGTTCTGGGCCAAGACCGCCCGATCAACGTTCAGGGATGCCCTAGCACCCCCTCAGCTCCATCTGGTGATATTTCAAGCCCGGGACACATTCCCGGTTTAGGGAGCCATCCGTGCGGGGCTTGTAGCTCCAGACCGCCTCCCGACTCTTCCCCTGCGGACGCCCATGCTTTATACATGCTGCTTTCAGACCCAACAGCTCGAGACCACCTGAGGACTGCTATGGCGCCCTTTCTGGACACTCAGGACTCTCATGCACCAGGCCTACCTCCCGACATGCGCCCTCCCAGCTTCCTTGTGCCCCCCTGAACAAAGTTCCCTCTCATCAGACATCCAGAAGCCTGGGGGGCTTGCTTCGTGTCGACCCGGGCCGTACGCCACAGTACAGCCGAAACCGAAAACCCGGGGTGGGGCTCTAAACCCATCGGCACAGCGTTTACAGTTAGTTGGTTCCGCTCCTTGAGACGTCTGCGAAGCTCAGCCTGCAGCTGAAGAGATGATAGAGGTGCCTTACCATCTGGAGCACCATAATCCGCGCGGAGGTCTCCACTTCTGCTCTCATATAAGGCAAGGTCTGGGAACACATGTCTCCTCATGCATGCACAACTACTAGGACAGTGAGGAAATCTTTAAGCTTGTGCTCACAAATGCTGCTCTCAGGATGCGCCATTGCCTGAGTATCACTTGAACATGGCTGAGCCTTGGCGGCGATCATGTGGTAGTGTCAGACAGAACCATTACGCGAAGATGCTCTATGCAGTACACCACAAGTCAATGACCAAGCTTTTTTGTCACAGACTGCGCAGACCTGGCTTCTGCTCTCAAGGCCTTGATCCGATCCAATACCTGCGCAGACAAGCAACCCTCCAAGGGCTTTCGCAGACAAGCACACATGGACTGGCTTCTTGCGGGCAGGAAAGCCATCGACTAGAGCCGCGCAAGTACTTTCTCAGAGTCCCGAGATCTGTTTGGGAAACCGGGTAACACACACCTGATCTGATGTACCTCTGCGGTTTGCGCTGCCTCGCGGCTCTTGGCAAAGAAGGCCGCTGAGCTCCGGCGGCAGGCGTCTGTCCAGGCGGCGGTGGGGCCCAGCCCACCCTCTAGCAGCGCCCTAGCTGGGCGCCTGGCATCACTCTCTTCACTCCCTTCACTCCCTTCACTCCCTTCACTCCCTTGTGCCCGTTGAAAGGATCGTAAAACCGTAAAAGATCAAAGTCGATCCAAGTCACAGGTGCCAGCGATCCTCTAGGAGCGCATGCATGCCGTCTGACGGCTCGCGCTCACCGAGGGCACACAGGATCTTGCCAGGGCAAAGGGAAAGCGAAGGGCACAGAGCAATGGCTCATGGCTCATGTGGGAGGCCTCCTGGAGGTGATTGTGTAGGTAGGCTTCCATGGAGTCTAGGGCCGTTCTTGCTGCGTCTTTGGCAGCATCAGCCTGTCAGGACAGCAGCGCCAAGTGCCACACCGTTTTTCATAGCACATATAGCACGCAGTGTTGACTAAGAAGGTCACTGTAAGGCAAGGCCTTATCAGCCGCTGCACTCGCGGCCAGTCCTCCCATCCCGGTTCTGCGTGAAGCCATCAACAGGGGCGCCTGCAGGCCCTGCATGTCGGCTGCACATAGCTGCACCGGGCATGCACAACTTCACAACTTCACTCCGGCACTCCGAAATACTTCACGCAGGGGACCTCGATGGCCCGCTTGACTCCCATGAGGTGCTTTCGTAACTCCAGCAACAGATGCACTTCTGCGACATCTTCCACCTGCACTGCATGGCACTGCATGGCACTGCATGGCACTGCACTGCATTGCACCCCTCTCTCACACACACGGTGCACCAGGGATCCGCGCCTCGACGGCTTCAGTCTCGGAAATGCCCAGGTTGCCCAAGTTGCCCAGGTGGTCCAAGTATCCTCCGCTGGCCCCGGCCCCTGCAGCCGGGGCAATGGGATGTTCGCCGAGATGCGCACCGGGCTCTGGGCAACACGCTCTCGAAGAAGCCGCCTGCAACTCTGAAGGTGCAGGCAGCTCACGTGAGAGCCCTGCCGCGACATCCCTGATCTGCACTACCTCATGGTCTTTTGCAAAGCCTCTTGCCAGTTGTCCTCATCGATCTCAGGATTTAGCTTGTGCAGCCGGCTGGAATCGTAGTTCACATAGATGCTATACCTGGGCGAAGCTGAACCAAAAGAGACTCCGACTTGGGATCTCGTCTGCTTCCACTGTCACAACACGTTCTGACATGAGCCGAAGCACTGGTACACCAAGTTAGGTATTCCTGGCCGAAACAGCACCTGCAAGAAGTCGCAAGGGGCAGAAGAGCGCTCTTTCAGATGTGAGCAAAGATCCAACGTGACCTACTGCACTGCTCGCACCCATGGATGGTTTACCAACGCTGGGCTGAGCCGAGTAACTGGGTGCAGGTTCAGCAGCTCCTCCATCAAGGGTGCATTTTCTGCAATGGTGGTGCAGAGAAAGCGAGCACCCTGGCAGGCCAGGAAGCCTGCAGCACAAACGGCGAAATGAGTCGGAGTCCGGATATGCAACATATCGCAACCTGCAGACCAACAGCACACGCTGTGAGGCCAAAGGGCGCGCAGTGGCCGCATACTTCTCCCATACCTGCAACAGAATCGAGGTCATGGGCTGCCTCGGGTCTCGTCTTGAAGAAGTTTACACAGTTTACACTTGAACGGTGCCTCACGTGTGATGAAGGGCGGATCGATCAGGACGAAGGCGAAGGAACCTCGCAGCGCCTCTGCAGGAAAAAGAAATGAACTTCGATCCTGCGCATACTGCATGGAAAGAAAGGCCTCTGGCAAGTTCTCAGGCTCATGGAAATCATAGAAGACAAAGCCTGGCTAAGCAGAATCAGTGATTAGGTTCGCAAGGTCTGATCTATGGCACCTGGATCTGACTCCCACTGCCGATCGAAGTCTAAGACTTTGCATTTTCTTCGATGCTCCTGTGCACACTCACGTCGGGGAAACACTTGGTCCATCCACCAAAGCTCCAGCAGTTTCTAAGGCCGCTCAAACTCTGTCAGTGATGAACGTCCTCTGGCAGGCTGAAATACACACTCGGCGATGAGACCAGAGCTGCCGGCCCGTTAGCATCACAGATTTCTTCCACAAACGTGGACAAGGTAGGCTGGGAGAACCAGTACCTCCCAAAGGCAACGAGCAAGCCGCAGCAAATGCGCCATAAAACTGCCAAGTGCACTGATTCAGATCTGCGCGTTCTGCTGTTCCCTCCAAGAAGGTCTTGGCACCATCCATTGCTTCACAATCCAGCTTGTCTATACTTCGAAACTCGAATACATAGCTACAACGTTGAATACCAGCTTTCAACATCTGAATCGGAAACCCACTCCAAAGTGTTCAAATTTGTCCTTAGTCAACTTGCGGTACCTTGTACCATGTTTCGATCCAGCAGGCAGAGCAGAACGTCCAGTGTCCCGACATGGTCCGTTGTGAAGCTCTTGCTGAATCTGCAATGATGACGGCATCTTGCCTCAGCGGTATTGCACCGTAGCGTGGTCATGCCAGGATACACTCGATGCGGCGTAAAGGCATCGCTTGTTGCTTGTCAATGGTCTGCCTGCCCTGCACCCTGTTTCAAGTTCGGACCTTTCGGATGTGTTCAGCCTTTGTAGTGGTTCTGGTGACTGTCGTTTCCCGGTGGATTTCTTCCGCAGGATTTCATTGGCTGTGACTTGCTCCAGACTTCTGTCAAGAAACATGACCAAAAACAGATCTCAGGCGGTAGTGTCAAGTGAATCTCTCAGACTAGTGCGCCCAAGATCTCCTCGGACAAACTCCACGGGTGAAAGAGATGAAGGAAGTCAGAGAAACGAGTCAGAGTGTCAGAGAACGAGAGGGTCTCGTCGAGCGCGGTAAGAACTCTAATGCCCAGCAGCTTTGCTGCTTGGGGAATGAACCGGAATGAAGCATGATGGACTCCTTTTCGGCACTAGATTCACTAGATGACCGCAGCTCACAACGGCCACCATGTTGGACACGAGAGCCATGAATGCAGTCGACGTGCGTCTTGACTGCACCGTCGCGCCGGATGTTGTCACAGCTGCTACGTGCATCAACTGTGCGCGAGCGTGACTTCGTGCTCGAAGTCGAGCTTGTCGACTACCAGGCAATGCGCTCATTGCTGGCAAAGGGCATCAAGCCACAGCAGAAGTTGTAGCCTAGCAAGCACAACAAAATACAACAAATTGTCCCTCCGCATCCCTCATGGCTCATTCTCTCTAGGCAAGATAGCGCTTCGACCCAGGGCGCCGGACTCAGCGTCCGCAAACCCATCGGCGCGGTGTCCGGCTGACAATTTCAGTGACATTGTGTTCTGACCATGGCAGCCATCTTTCTGCGAGTGGATACAGCATCGAGCCCCGCACCCAGCATGCGAGGTCGCCCTGGGCACCTCTACGAGTATCGCAACCTTGAAGTATGAGCACCACTCGACATCCAGTCTTAAAGATCTTTGCTGACTTCTGAGACTCCTGCATCTCTCACAGGGGAAATAGGGGTCAAAGCAGTGGGCCTGCCAAGGACCCACGCTGCCCAACGCTGCTCGACGCGGAACTCAGAAAAAAAATGGAAGAAACAGGCGAGGAGGACCTGCGCATTGGGAGGGCAAGTTGCTGGCGGCCCAGCAAGGTGATCCATAGCCGGAAGCATTGCAGCAGCCTCGGAGAGCACAGGCAGCACAGGGAATCAAGATGACTTGTTGGCCAAGGACTCGAAGGACCGAACATACGACATGTCTGTGCAGACACCTGCTACTTAGTGATTCGTGGCCTCAAAACGGCGAAGGTTCGCAGAGGCAGCGCAACAACCACAGCAACTGGTAGCACCCCTCACCCGAAGACCGTCGTGCACATGGACTGTGGCGGCCTGGAAGCGAAGCCTCAGAAGCAGCGGGATGGCATGCTACCGCAATAACTATGGCAACTATGGCATAGAAGCATGGCAAGGTCCCATGGAGTGCAAATTTCTATATCATGTAAGAGTCGTCAGTAGATGAGTGAGTGACGCACTCTCAGGAAACAAGGGGAGGGGACGTGCCCGCACGTTCACGGCTCTTCTCTCATCGAGTGATATCGTATGAAGCAGAACTGTCTCAAATGCCAGTCCAAGTGACTTGGTTAGGCCGCAGCAGGTGGCAAAGCGGATGTCTCCCATCCAGCAGCTCAGCTCCCCGATGGGAATCGCCCTGTCCAAGATGCCCTCCAGCAAGACACGTAGAAATTGCAAGAGGGCAGGCCTGGTGTCACAGCACCGTTCACATGTGAACTCCTGCAGAACTGGATCTGTGGACATGTTGGAAGGACCCTCCTGATTCATCACAATCTTCAGTTTGTCAGCAGGTCCTGGTCGAAGCAACCAGGCTCCGCCATAACCGGGCACCTGGATGGATTGAAACGGTCGAGCAAGATACTGCAAGGCTTGGGAACAGAAGCTACACAGCGCATGACGCTTTTCATGTGCTGCGGAGCGTGTGCCAGCAGCTTGCATGAATTAAGCAAGAGTCAAAAGTTAAAAGTGCCGATCTCCACACACTTTACAAATTCAGGCACCCTCTGTGGATGTGTCTAAATTGTAGAGCCAGGCGTTAACTTCCTTTGAATTCGGAGCCCTGGTGCTGTAACAGGGCCGCGCACACTGTACTGTGCCTGCGGATGCCCGCAGATGCCTGCGAATGTCTGTGCGCACTGGCCTCAATCAAAATCAGCCCCCTAAATGCGAAGCACTTTGCCACCCTGGCTTGCCATGTCATCGCCACGCCCCCATGAATACCCATATTCATCGCAAGTGCTTCCCCATATGCATCCCATGTCTTCACAGAAGGTGAAGCCTGCCGGGCAGGCTGTCGCTTCTGTCGTTGTAGCTGTGCTCGGGATGCTAGGCGGTACCGACGTGCTCAGCACAGGCGGCACAGGTGGCGCAAGGGTGACGATCAGCAGCGTGGTCGATGCAGTGGTTGCCACGGGATCCGTTTGCTCCCAACCTGGACACCATTGGCAGGTATCTTCAGGTACACAGTGGCAAGCTCCACAGTCAAAGAAGTCGGCTGGGCAGCCGATAACTTGCGATGGCTGTTTCGGGCTGCTGGGTGGTGGAAGCATCGGGTGTGTCCCTGCTCCCGGACACCACTGACAGGTTGCCTCAGGAACACAGAAGCAGCTGCCGCAGTCAACAGAAGTTGATGGACAGAACGGAATGACAGAGGGATGCATCGAGATGTTTCTCTGAGGAGAGGTGGGCACCATCGGCGGCTCGCCAAGTGGGCACCATCGGCAAGCTGCTCTCGGAACGCACATGCATGTCCCACAATCAACATAGCCGTCCGGGCATCCCGGAATACGCGAGGGCTGTGCGATCTCACTTGCATTGGTTGAATTTGGCTCAACCGGCTCTGGTGGTGCCGAGCTGTCTGTACACCACTGACAAGTGGACCGGGGTACGCATTTGCAGTCCCCGCAGTCCACAAAGCGCCTGGGGCAATATGGGACTTCAGAAGGCCTAGCTGTGAAGTTTCTGCCAGGAACGGGTAAAGTGACATTGGGCTCCTCGCGGCAAAAGCTGCACGTAGCGGCCGGAACGCATAGGCAGCTCCCACAATCGACATAACTTGCTGGACAGCCAACTACCGATGATGGCCTCATGCCCACGCTGGATTTTCTGGTCGGCTCCTCCTCTACCTGAACCAAGGCTGTCTTAAGGTTCTCCTCCTTTGGGCTTGATCGCTGCCAGCTTCGCGTTGCTCCTGGACACCACCGGCAAGTAGATCTGGGAACACACCTTCGCTCAATCTTCTCAAGGCTGAAAACTTCCTGCGTTTCTCTAACTTTAAACAGCAGGCCCTGGCTACCCTCGTTCTAAACTTGCAGAGAGAAAGAGATAGAGAGAGAGAGAGAGAGAGACAGAGACAGAGACAGAGACAGAGAAAGAGAGAGACAAAAAAGACAAACCAAAGAGCGGGAGACTTCTCTAGATGCAGTCAGACTACGCAGCATTAACTACGCAACTGCCTAAGCTTATGCAGAGAGAAATCTCTTCAAGAGTCATGCCCAGGCTAGGCCAAAGGAGCAAGCAGGTCCCACAGTCCACGTAGGACACCGGGCAGCCTGGGATCCTGGAAGTGTGACCTGGCGGTGCTGGCAGAGCGGGTGCGGGTGCCGGGGATGCTCCCGGGCACCACTGGCAAGTTGACGAAGGCACGCACCTCAGATCCCCTCTTGTGAAGGCTACCATGGCTACATCACGAATACATCAGCACAACGTACGCCGGCCAGCTATGCCAAGCGGCAAACAAGTGCCACAGTCAACGTATGAGGCAGGGCAGCCCGGAATCTGGGATGGTCGCTGGTTGCCGCTGTGAATTGGAGCGGAAGGGGGAGTTCCTCCCGGGCAGAATTGGCATGTTGCCTCGGCCACGCACAAGCAGGTTCCACAGTCCACATAGGATGCAGGACAGCCAATGATGCGGGAGGGTCGGGTGACGCCACCAGGAGCTGGAGTGGGATGTGGATTTGCATGTCCTGGACACCACTGGCAACTTGACGATGGCACACACCTGGCATGGGCTTGTGCAACATCTCAATCTCGTCACTGCCCAGTTCTCCCAACAAGCAAAACCAAAAAACTTCTAGATTCTTTCTGCCAAAGCCGAGACACAGGCAAGTACCACAGTCCACGTAGGATGCCGGACATCCTGGCACCACAGACGGTCGCTCGCTGCCGCCAACAACTGGTGCTGGAGGAGGAGACGGGGACCACGCTCCCGGGCAGAAACCACAGGTCGTCGGCGGCACACAGAGACAAGTCCCACAATCCACGAAGTGGACGGGGCAGTAGGGTATGCTGGAGGGCCGAGATATGATGTGACTTCCACTCTCCAAAGAGGTTGTTGAGGCCAATGCAACTGTCGTCGTGTCTCCCGGAGCGAGGGTCGTTGCGGCCGGCTCCAAGCTTGTCGTTTCTGGTGTCACGATTGTAGCACCGGGGCACCAAACGCAAGTAGACTCGTGCACGCAAAGGCACCTTGGTGCATTCAGCCGATGTTTTGAAAGAATAGAGAGTGTCAGCCTTTGCATTGTGAGGGTTTTGTTGAACTTAAGACAACGGCTCCCGGCTGAAAAGTGGGCGAGCGCGGCACGTGTTTGGGCATACGCCCCGACATCGAAGTTTCACTAAAACAAGATTTTAGCATTTCAAATCCTCTCCGCAGGTTTCAAGGCATTCCAGGGCATGTCCAAGCATGAACAAATATGAGCAAGGGCAGACATGGATGGATTTTGTGTTTCAAGTGCCACGTGGATTGTGCAACTCGTACTGCAGCAAAGCCTCGTTCCACAATCAACATAGCTGTGAGGACAGAAGGGGACTTCGGAGGGGCGCGATGCGATGCTTCGGTTCTCTGCCGGCGCCGCTGCACCGGGACACCACCTGCATTGAAACGACTCGAAACGAATGGACCCCAAAAGTACCCTTAATAGCGGACAGGGCCGTGCTGCGAGGTGCAGCGGACAGCTCACTCACAACTTCGGGGACTGACTCAGTGCCCGGATCATGGGACCTAGCAATATGATTCACATGATATGTCTATTTCGCCACAATGGTAAGCAATCTGCATGCACTAAATCTGACTCTAGACGTGACCTCTCATACCTGCATCTTGCAAAACTCCACTCCCTTCTACTGGACACCCCAACTTCAAGATCATGGGGAATCGTGAATTAAGTCCGGCTGCAAACACAAACACAGAGCCGAATCACAGTCGGATGCCTGCAGGTGCCGGGGGGGACACAAAGGCACCTCAGATCTGCACAAAGGCAGGTGCTGCAGTGCTATTTCGCAGCTTCACTTGATGCAGATCTTCTGCTGAGTTCTGCCAGCTTACCACTGAACACATAAATCAGAACAATATGTGTGTGTGTGCGTGTGCATTTAAAACCTGAAAGCATTGCAGGCAACGTTTAGACAGGCACAAAGTGCACTATGTATAGTATACGTATGTACATGCGTTTTTTACATGCAACAAATAACATGTTCATAGTTTGATACCTTTCTGTTCTACCCAAAAACCCACACACACACACACCTTCCTATACATCTTTATATAGATGGGGTACCCGCGCTCCCCGTGACCCGCCTTTTTAATTTGGGTGTGCAATATGGGCTTGAACTAGAAAACTAAACTAACGAAAATGCAAAGCAAAAAACAACAAAAACTGACATGTATCGGCATTTTGTGTTTTGTGGTTTGTCTTTGGGTCACAAACGTGTGCGGAGTGTTGGGCCTATACACTGGCGCGTCAGCGTCACTGCGCTTACGCGAAGTGGCCTTTCTTTTTGATGTAGTTTTTTGGAGAAACCTCAAAATCCAAAAATGCTTGCCTTGTCCTCTTGATATCGCCTTGGGAGATTCGACATAGAGATTGATCCAATGCTGGCTGTTGGGCGAGATACCCGGTCTGACATGAACTCAAGTCTTGCCTATATGCTCCATGCACGAAGACTTTCTCTGCCCGATCGCCCATACCAAAAAGAATAAAAATGGGGTAGGTCGCGGGGGGGGGGGCACTAGCATATAATACACACATACATCTATATATATATATATATATATATTTGTTTATTTATTTATTTATTTATATATCTATCTATCTCTCTATCTGTATGCATATATGACTACATAGTGCAGGGGCCATACGGCTCTAACCTATGGTTCAAAGAACGGTCAAGGCACGTGCCACAGTCCACGTAGCTATCCGGGCAGCCAAAGATGGATGAGGGGCGCATCGTCACATTCTCACTCGGAGCTGGGAGTGCGAGTGTCGGCCGGTAAGGAGTAGGGCACCACTGGCATGTGGCTTCAGCCACGCACAAGCAAGTACCACAATCGACGTAGCTCTCCGGGCAGTATGGAACGACCGAAGGTCTCATTGTGATGTTGTGCCCAGGTGGTGTGCTGTTGTCCTCACCAGTGCCGGGTCCAACACCACACCACTCACAAGTTGATCTTGGCACACACAGACAATCTCCACAGTCAACATAGTTCGGAGGACATCCCGGTACTGTGGACTCAATTGGTTCAGGGACAGGCTGATGCAAGCCACCAGGACACCATTGGCAAGTGGACTCCGGAACACAGCGGCAGGTTCCACAGTCTTTGTAACCCACTGGGCAGTAAGGCACAGTCGACGGTCGTATGGCCAGCCGTCGCGTCCTGGGTGAAGATGAACTACAGTTACGCTCACTGTGTTTGCAAGTCAAGATGCCTGAGCACAACACGGAGCACGAAACGCCACTCAAGTTCAGACACTGCGTCGACTGATTCCCACCGCGCAAAGCTGCCCAAGCGGGGAGCACCAAGATGCCTGTCATGAGCAGACCCAGCAGAACACACGGAACCAATGAAATGAAATGCAGAGTGCCGAGATGGCTGTTGCTCATTCGAACCCCGCCTAGACGTAGGACTGCCACAGCCATTCTTCACACAAGAGGAAGGCTTTCCGAGGTTTTTTCCGGGTTTGCCGGGTTTTCACCACTCCTTCGAGCCACTGCTGCACAGGTTGGACTGCCTTGGTGGAAGTAAGCATGGAACCCTTTTTTCCCCATGCCTCAGAAGCAGACCCCCTACGATTCATTCTGACCGTCTTCGACGATTGCAACAGCAAAGCTTCGGGCGTCTGTGATGTTCCGACGAACACATTGGAAGCGAGACATGTGACCTCGGGTCAGACACGAGCGGCGCTAGAAACAGCAAACAAATTGGACTTCAGGCTCGCACCAAAAGGTGGCCAGGAACACGGCCCATGGCAACATCCGTGAAGGTCTCTGATGCATAGGGCTGCTACGCTGCTACAATGGACGTGCAGATGTATGCCCTCGGAGCAGAATGCATCGCTTGTTGAATCCCATCAACCCTTGCGTGTTAGGATTGTCCAGCGTGCAAAACTCAGACACGCTTTGCTGAACTTCTGCACTGAACTGCACATGCTCTGTACGGTTTGCAAAGAGCTTGCGGGATTGCTGGTGGCCAGGTTGCACACATTGACTTTCCATATACGTATCTTCAGACTCTTGTTAATTACATACCTATGTACATGTTTCTGCATATGTACATGTACATGCATATGTATAGGTATGTGTATAGCTATATATACATATGTATATATATGTATATATATATATATAGTCATGCAGAAGTTTACCTCATAGTCGTGTCCATCTATGTCTACACCTGTTGGCATCAGACAACGTCCCAACAATTCGATCCACAACTGGACCTGTCATGCAACGCGTTTACGTAGCTGTGAACGACCTCCGGCGCTCATTTTCAAACGATGCGACCTTCTTTGTTCCCGTGTCTGGCGTGCGATCGCACCACGAGCCTCGCAAGCGCTGCAAGGCTCTTTTCTTTCGGCTCTCAAGCCTGCTTTGCTAGGACGTAAAGCCCCTCAGGTGGAACTGCTTGTGCGGACTTCGCGTTGATCTGCGACCGGGTCCTCAACGTGGCACCAACTCATGCAAGTGCTACGGTCAAGAACTCCCGCACGCAAGTCACCGTACAGTGTATGTTCCGCACACTCAAGCTATTGTAAGGTAAATTCCTAGCTGCCCCGCTTGACGTTTCCTAGAGGCGCTGGAACTGCGCCGTGCCGAAACGCAGGAGACGGGGCTGAGGTGCAGGGCTCAGGTGTTCACCCGGAAGACGGAAAACTCTTCGGTTTAAACGTCAAACTACAAATGCACAGCAGTGGACATTGCATATCAGATGTGTCATGGGAGACTCTACTGCAATGGGTATCATTCGTTTCAAGTTCAGGGTTTAGAGTCAGGAGGGCCGCGTCTTGTTACTGCTGTTTTAGAATAATCAAGGCGTTTTTGTCCCCTATTCTCTGTTGCTATTATGTTCTCCCAGTTTTTCGTTATAACTTTCTCAATGTCCCTAGCAATAGAACTTTGTTGATTAATTTTGATATTCTCTGCGTTTGAATGTGCAAACCTTACAGCATTACAAGGTTTATGGGGCTAATGGCCATATAGGCTTTGTCGGGATTAGGAGTACGCAAGTAGTTGGAACAACTTGGCTGGACAAGGGCTATCTTAAGGTATGAAACAGGATGTGGGTGCAACGAAGCCTTCAATTCCGCAGTCCTACACCCCACGGCCCTACATGATCAGCTCTCTACATTACACTTCCTTTTTGTGTACCCGACATAGAGCGGCCATTGTGTAGAAAGTCATGTCTTCCAAAAAAATCAGCACTCAGCCCGCGCCCCAGCCTCCGATGCAGCCTACCGCGCTGCTTCATCGACAACCTGCTGCGACGGACTACTTTCTGCTGAAATTCTTCGAACTGCGGGCTGCTGAGGCACGTGAGGATCGTGTAGTGTGCGCCATACCAATCGCTACCCCATGCTGAGCATGTTTGCAAGCCAAGGTATGATGCACTCTAAAACATGTGCCTAAAACCTAAAACCTAAACCCGAAATCCTACCCCAACTCTTAGGCAATCCTGCCCAAGGCTCGGTGTTTCTAACCTGACTTTGTCCGAGTTTGGTGGTTTGCTTCAGGTCTGCGCTTGGTGATGGCATGTCCCGACATTACTAAACTCATGCAAGACAATTTTATGCTATATTGTATACTCATATGATATTCTAACACAGCACGCATATTCATTCCAGTAGGTTTTCGTCTGCTCTAGATTACAATGCCAATTCACAGCAAGACGGCAAATCCGGTCGGGACCTTTCAACATGACCTATATACTTATTAATCGCACTCATAGCATTACAACACAAAGTCATGATAATAACAAAAGACCATGCCATCTTGCACTACTACAATAGCAAGAAGAGTACTGAGAAGACAAAAAGCACCATAGAAAACCCGGTGCGCGGCTTTGGCCATGCACAAGCACATGGCAGAGTGCGATGGCGTTTTTAGGTTAGCGAAGAATCTGACTTGAGATCGGGGCCACGAAAGCTAGAAACGCGGCTGACAAGCAAGCTTTTTTCGAGTCAGGCGCAGGGCCTGACCAAGACGGAGGGGGAAGCCTGAAAAGGGAGGGGGGGGGGGGGGGGCAAAAGGGGGGGGGGGGGGGGGGGGGGGGCCCCCGCCCTCCCCAGAAATCAATTCAGGCGACCCTGAAAGGAGGGGGGGGGGGGGGGACACCTTAAGATTTATTCTGTCAATCCTATAAGGGGGGGGAGGGGGCCCCCCCCCCCTCCACAGCCCTTTATCTCTTTGATTTTCATACCACTTAAGGGTCGGAGTCGCTTCTTGACCCAGCTGAACACTAGAGAGAATTCTTGTAAACGACAACTCTCGCGAGCTCCAAGGAGCTAGCTTTCGTGATAAGCGGCTTTTTCACCCGAGCCTATAAAGAGCCACCTACGTCAATTTGCTTTGTTAGCTAGGCTGAAGCGTCCAGCGCGTACCTTCGCCTCCTCGTTCTCCTTTTCTGCACCCTTCTCCTTTTCCAGAGGAGCCAGGGTGTAGGGTACATGGTCTAGGGGGTGTAGGTCGTAAGGTAAAGGGTCTGTTTAAGGCTTGGTAGAGGGCCAAGGCGTTTTGTGGCTGGCTCGGTGCCCATGATGGAGGCGGACAAACCCAAAACCCAAATACCTAAAGCCCACCATAAACCCTAAACGCCCTCAAGCCCTAAGCGGGTGGGGGCAACCCTTACTAAACCCCACACCCCAAAAACGCGTCTGTATTCTTGTATGCCCTACAATTTAGGGCAACAGCTTCCCGACGTCAAGTTGGGGATAGTACATAGCGCCTGTCTAGAATGAAAACCCTGAGGCCAAAACAGCTTTAGGGTTAGGGTTTCGGGATACTACGCTGAAGAGCCAAAAAGCAAGAGCTCGGATACTACGCTGAAGAGCCAAAAAGCAAGAGCTCATTGTTCAGCTCAGGCCTCTGACGGATAACTGTAGCACATGGGGTGCTGAGGACAAAGCCCCAAGCCCTGAAACCTCAGGCACTACACAAGCCCCGAGAAGCCCAGCCTCGCTTGTTTTGGCGGCTTTCGCCTTCTCCTCCTGCTGAACAGTTCTAAAGGGGTGGCTTGCCTCTGGTTTAGGGTCCAAGGGTTTGGGGTTTAGGGCTTAGGAAGTAAGGTTTGGGGTCCAAGGGCTTAAGGGTTGGAGGGTTTCAAGGGGCAAAGGTTTTGGGCGTAGGGGTTCAGGGTTGAACCTACGAATGACAAAAGCACCTTTCTTGGTTTGTTGGGGCTTGTAAAATTAGGCCAGTGTAGACCTCAAACAGTGACCACGTGTAATTTACAACCCGAAGTCGTAGGGGGCCACGAAACTGCAGGCCTTCTCGTACAAAGTTTGAATGCAGAAACCGACTTTCCAGCCGCTGGAGCTCCGGACGCCCTCAACGTATACTGCATTTTGTACTACAATACTACAAGAGTCGGAAATTGAGCCACTGGAGCTTCTGACGTCCTCCATGTATATTATACTGCGTTTGAACTGCCAAAGTCGATTTCTCGAGCTCTGGACGTGGAATTGATCTCTTAGCCACTGAAGCTCTGGACGTTCGTACTACCCAAAGTCGACCCAGCAGCTCCGGACGACATCCGCGTGCTAGGTTTGTACTTCGACAAAGTCGACATTGGAGCAGGCGGAAGAGACAAGGCGGTTCCAAAAGCGACGGCAATCCTTGCTCTTGACGAGAAGAATGTGTAGAAGAGCACCAAGGAGGTTCCAAGAATGCGCGGCCGGAAGGAAGTGAGAGTGTCACTTGCAACACAAAAAATGCTCGCGTGATACGAGGCGATGCAAGCCCCAAAATGTGCACGTGACCTAGGCGGGTGCAACCTCGATGTTTCGCCCTCGGTGAGGAAATTCAAAGATGCTGCTTGCGATGAAAACCCACGTTTCGGGAGCCCCCACAAAAAGTCCGCGGGCATGCCCGCGCACAGCCGAGAGCCCGGGCCTGGGAGTGCTGCGCGGTTTCCCTTGACGCTGGAATGCTGGCACACTGCTTGGAGCTCTGGCTGTTCTTAAGAGGAACACGTAACGTGTGGTACATCAGAAGTAAACAGGTACAGCTGAAATTTCGGACTACTGGATCGAAGACCCTCAAAGACTCTCGCAAGATATTGCCCGTCTCCCCGGCCTCCCCTGCCTGCTCCTCCCACGCCCCTCCCCTGCCGCCCACACCAGCCACAACAGGGCTGGGCTTGCGTCGCAAAGTCTTCAAGCAATGCGCACATCCCGAAGACCCCCGCCGTAAACGTTAACAGCCCCTTTTTAAGCAGGCGGAGTTCTGAAGGGTTTTGGATAGTGGGATGGGGGGGGAAAAGTGAGTTTGCGGCTTTGAAGTGCTTGCGAGCTTAAACTGTCCACCAAACAGCCGTAAAACAAAAAACCTTAACCCCCAAGACTTAGTGTGTAGCATTCCTTGGTTGCCCCCCCCCCCCCCTTTGAACCTCTCTTGTGAAGAAGCCTCCTTCGAACATCCCCACC